GAGAACATGTTGGACTTTGAATTTACCATATATATGCCGTGACAAATGTTCTTACTGTTCTTCGAGTCCCTTGTTACCTTGACTTTGAATGTGGACGGCCAGAGGAGATATACTACCTTGTGGAGAGCGGGGACAACTGAAGGTAACGATGATATCTTTCAAAACTATTCCCGAACTGTTTCCTGTGTTGTCATGAGTGCGGAACGAGAGCATAATTACAATGATCTTGAAAAATTCCAATATCGCTATAACTGTATCCCCCCAGAAAATGTACGGAGATAGCCTAAAGTTAATCTTTGTGTACAGACGCTGATAGTTGTTAGTCATTTTTCATAGAGATTATGATAAGGACATGAGGTGCTAATAGTGAAATCATTGAAGTACACAAAGTTCCGACGCTCAAGCAAAGATAACTTGTTTAGGCCCCCATCAATACCCTTTCTTTCTTTCTTTCTTTTTTCTCTTGTGGGTGTGTGTTGAGGGTGGGTGGGATTGGGAATGAATTCCATTTGGTCCGTATAGGGGAAATGCACCTTTGTAGGAGTACAATGTTCAGAAGAAATAAATATATGTTATTTGCCGGCTGGGAGGTCTGTATGGTGAAAAACTGTGACCGAGGTCTTGAAAAGTACTACAAATTATTTTTTCTTTATTTTATATTTTTAAATAAGAAGAAAAAGAACTTCTTTGTTAAAGGATGGAAACATTGACGAGGATTGTTTAAACCTTAGCGTAGTTCATTGTAAATATGAATCCAATGAACAAAAATATGTTTGACCAGTTATGTAATGGACCAAGCCATCCCGAAGTACCTCTTAATATTAGTGTGCCAAAATAAAATTCTATCAAAGAAAGAATAGTGAAAACAGCAAAAAACAAAATCATAAACCATCCACGTTTAGCAAGTAGGTCTTGGAAGAACTTCTGCAGAAGCATTAAACTTGCGCAACTCTCAACAAACTCGAAGGAATAACACATTCAATAGGCGAAGTTTTCAACGAAGATTTTGAAATTTTCATCTGAGGCTTAAATACAATACAAAAAAGTTTATCGAAAGATAACGAAAGTTAAAAATGAGAACGATTCAGCTCAGATTCTCTACAAATAGAACCTATCCACTTATTTTAGCTCTGAGAGAAATCCCACCGCTTTTCTTGTTTAACTTCGTTCTGTCAGCCAGCTAAGGTTTCGTGGCAGATATTACAAGCAACGAATACTTTTAATATTTCATACTCGTCATTATTTTATTTTTGGTATGCTTCCCAATTGGTGGAAAAGGTAACCTACGTGTTTGTTTAATAATTCTTTTCAAATCTAATTGTAAATAGTTTTTATGCCCTGGGCATAGTTAAGAAAGGCTCCCTTAATTATTTTACTGCACTTTGTTGAGAAACACATGCGATAGTCATAGTTCGTGCATAACTGAGTGAAGAAGCCAGTGTGTTTATATACCTTTTCAACTTGTCCTTATTCTTTGTACAATCCCTTTTGTTAAATGAACCTGTAAAATGTAATTTCAAAACGTGAGAGGCGAGCACAGCTCAGAATATTAATTCAAATAGGATATTGCAGACACAAATAGTTGCGAGGTTCCTGGCGATTCCAAATTGAAAATATACTCCAGGTTAATAGTTATTTTGTTTAAAGTTTAGATTTGACTCATTACGGTTAAATTTCTATGGTTTTCACCAAAATCAGGAGTTAACATATGCTGTTAAAGAACAGAAAAAAGATGAAAATACGATGATAACTAAGGCTATATATAGCTCGGTAGCTCTCCGGTGGAGAAAACCTGAGATCCAGATGATGGCGTATTCAATTTGGTCGGTAAGTTGAATAATAAATTATTATGTAACAGTTTTACCATAAGTGCATTCTCACACAAAACAATACCATGTATTCTTCATATAAAAACACCACTGGGCTTAATATATTTCAGTTTTATTCATCTGTCGAGGAATCGCTGTCTTTCTTTGCTAACCGTACCTGAGAATTACTGAGACGTGAAGATGCAGAGGAAAAAACTCTGCTAAGGTAACCGAGGTTGCGTATTGAGGTTATTTTCTTTATATATTTAAGATCTGATCTGACTTTCATGCTTGACTTTTAAAGAGAAAAATGCATTTATTGCATGATGGAGAAAAATAATAGAGGCGCTATGTAATGATATTTGGCGTTGTCTATGGCGAAATTCAAAATTAACTTCTTCTTGAAGGAAAACGCGAGACATAAGTTTGGTAAAATAGATAAACACTAAAATTGTTAAAATTGAAAGAAGAAAAGGGCCAGAAAAGGAACTAGAATGGTTTAGGATGAAGAAGAGAAACACAAAAGGCACAAAGCTCAACGCAGTTCATTTTTAAAACGAACAGAAGGGCGAAGTGGACAAATTCAAACACGCATGACCTGTTGTTAAAGAGATCAAGCTTTCTCCAACTACATGTCCATTATCGTCTAAAGTTTAAGCTATCGACACCCAAGAATAAATGTTTTTTGTAGCATTTGAAGAACAGTTAAAATAGATAAGCATCTTTCAAACAATCTCAATTTTCCTGTAAACTCTTGGATTCAGTTTTAAAGAAGTATTAAATTTGCTCATTCCAGGAAAGTCAGAACGAAGGGATTCATTTAATTTAAAAAAATGGTCTCGAGAGGACCCGCAAAATTTCATCTTGGGCGTTAAAACTTTATAAATATTTTAAGAGCTAATGTCAGCATGCATCAGAAAAACAGCCGCAAGTCACCCAAAACTTGCTTTCACCCCTACTTTTATATTTTGTAGCCCAATATGTCCTAATTGTGGTGTAGTTTTTTTTGTGAAAATGTATTTTAGTTTTCGAGAAATGATTTTTTTCGTTCGACCGCTCAAATATGCAAATTATCACCGTGAATATTACCCAAGTTGTGACCTTATGTAACGAATATACTTGACCTCCGATATTTCTGTCAAAATAATCCTTTGTTTTATCATCTAAGCTAAATCCCCTGTCATTATTGAAGCTGGCAAAGAAACATTTTTTTTTTTGGTGAATATTTTTGTCTGACATACTTTTCCTACGTCGAAAAGTAGCATCAAAACAAAGACAGTTTCAACAATGACCGGTATGACAGAATCTACTGAGCTTCGAGCTTTTATAAGACAAAAGGATGGTTAAAAAGTTACTGCAAAAATTTCCTTGTGTATTTGTATTGTTCTATCTTGAGACGAACTCAAAGTCCGGCAAAATTTACTTGTTAGCGACTATGAAATATACATGGTGTGCCTATTTACCGCCACCGTTTACTAGCATAAATCACTGCTATTTATAAAAGAAATTAACATAACACTCTTACTTTGTTTATTTATGATTTTATGAGCTGTTTCGAGCTCTAGAGACTCAAGTCAGATCACTAAAATCGTCCTAGTAATGCTTATTTCAGGTATTTTATTGAGCGAAAGACACCTTAAAACGCACCAGCTAGGTCTCTGGTTATTTTTTTTGACGCCCTAAAAGGTACAACGAGCATCCTTTCCCATTTCTGATCGCCTTCTCTCTCCTGGTCAGCACCTAAAAACAAAGATTTGCCCCCCTGTCTAAAAAAAAAAAGTGATTTCCCCCAGTCCCCCCACCTCAAAAATCTAATGTTCCGTCAAGATACCTTTTACATAATTCCAAAATGAGTTTCGCTCCGGAACGAAATGACTTTTATTTCGCGTTTACATGCAAGATAATTAAGCCTGTAAAGACAATTATTTATGTCCTTTTCGGTCTTTTTCTATGCTTCCCTCGCTTCTTAAGAGGATTCATCCAGATATAAGAGTCGTACCAATTTTATATTATACAAGTGGAAGAATGAGTGTTTCGTTATGGAATGAAAACCCCAATAAACTCATTCAGAAATGACTCGTTTCGAATAAACTTTACTCTGGTATCATGTGACAACCGGTAGAAACTCGTTCTTGAACAAAACTCATTCCGATATAATGTAAAAGGCCCCTAAAAGTTTTTTATTCCCAGAGCATCACGCCTTGCTCTCCAGTCTAAATACTATAAATTTCAAAAGCGTCGAAGCAACAACCCGCTTTTAACTGCTTCGCTGCCACTGAAACAACGATTAGTGACCACAAAAGGCATATATATTCTAATATTTTCAATTCAACATAATCAAAAATCTCTATACGGGGTAAATATGCATTTGTGTTAGTATAAATTATTGCGTGACTGGCTGATGATATAAATGCGGGAGGGGAAAACACAACGCAAAACCTGGGCTCTTGTCAAAAGGTATTACCCAAAGGATTATTTTGACAGAAATATCGGAGGTCAAGTATATTCGTTACATGAGGTCACACAACTTGGATAATATTCACGGTGAAAATTTGCATATTTGAGCGGTCGAACGAAAAAAATCATTTCTCGAAAACTAAAATATATTTTCACAAAAAAACCACACCAAAATAACTAGGACATATTGAGCTACAAAATATGAAAATAGGAGTGAAATCGAATTTTGGGCGACTTGCCACAATATTTCAAATTTGTGCGATGGATGGTGACAAAACTATGTTATAATAAAGTATACAAACCCACGAGGTTCCAATTATTCACGAAAAGGAAAAGACGAAAAGTGGAAATGTAATCCAATTTACGGTCCTCGAATAGATTTCGTTTGATATAATTTCTTACGAAGAACAAAACATAACATACGCTCGTACTGAAATTTCTCGGTTTTTTTTTCTTTTTTTTTTGTTAATGGAATTTCCCCTGTATACTATACTTGGACTGTCTATTTTTTGTCATGTAAAACTTCTTTAATAACGCGAAGCGCTCAGAGCTTCATCAGCAACAGAATGAAGATCACCAAACCAAACCTCCCTAGAGGAAACAATAGTGTGCTCTATTTTGCTGAGACTTTGAAAACATCTTCATCTCTTGAAGATTTTCAGAGGAATTATTTTTATTAACTCCAGTAGTTTCTGTTCTTCTTCTTCGTTTATTCCAGTTGTTTATAGAACAATCATGACACTTCTCACAAGCGTTATAGCAACTTCCTTTGTGATTATCTACTGGCAAGTACGTGACATCTTATCTTCAGTCACGGAATGCCAAGAGGCAACCTACTCCATTCAAAATCGCATCTTGGCAGGTCACGCATTCACCACAAGGCCATCTGCGTCCATCGAGGTTTGCGTGATTTTATGTGGAGAGCATCCCAATTGTAAAAGTATAAACTACTTTCGAAATTCAAAGACTTGTGAGTTGAATAACATGAGCCGGGTGTCATCCCCAGAACATATGGTGGTTTTTGAATCAGCTATGTACATGACCAACGCTTTTCGAGTCCCGTGTAACTACGACATTGAATGTGAACGGCAAGAGGAGATCTGCCAGCTTGCGGTAGGCGGGAGCAAATGTAAAGGTAATCTTTATGTAATTTTTAAACAATTACCTTCTTAATTAGAAACGTCATGTACATGTAACTAGGGCAAATAGGAATTATATTTGGAAGATATTTTCTATATCTTTCGAGAGCAATGTTGCTGCTGTTGATTTTGTCATTGTCATTAATATTGATATTTTTTGTAGTTAAATCATTCCGCAAAGAAATTTGATATGTTAGAAAATTGCTGACAGTTCTACTGCAAGCTTTTACGCAAATTATAAAGCAAATAAGGTTAGAATTACAAATTTCTGCATCTTCTGAAATCATAATACTGCTGAATCGACAGTAAACTAAAAACAATTGTCTTTTTAGAAGAAATAGCATCTCAATTCTACAATTGTTACCTTCGGGGTTCAAATTTCTTTTCAAGCACTATTCTCAGTACGACCGGTACATTTATTTGAAAAAAGTATTGCATGGTGGAATGGTACGAGCGACCATACACTTTTCTTAGGCCATTTGTATGCGTCAGGATGTAGCTTTTATTGCACGTCTCTTTTTTTCTTTCTGGTGGGGAGAGTGGAAGGGAAGGAGGGAAGGATGAAGTGTTTGCTTCTACAGATGTAAATGAGACAGGGATATACTCCCATTAATTAAACAATGTCAGTAAGGATAGCAACTTTGATCAGTTGCTCTTCTTTTAAAAGCATGTATGGAGGCTCTTGGTATGGAAGATAGAAGAATTCCAGATTCATCTATACATGCTTCATCGTTTTTGCACGGGGGTTTACGTCCCAGTCTGGTTCGTCTCAACTCACGTTACTCATGGATGGCAGCCTACAATGACACTAAACCCTGGCTTCAAATTGACCTCGGAAGGGACGCGGTAATCAAGAAAATCGCTACCCAGGGGAGACCCGGTAACTATTCAATGTGGGTAAAGACTTACACGCTTTCATCACGTGCCAACGAAGAGACTGATTGGTTGGCGTATAGAGAGAACGAAGACGTGAAGGCGAGTCCTTTCTTTGGAATTTGATTCATTTCTTAAAATCAAGTATTTGAAAAGATAGTTGCCTAAAAGTCACATTTCTCTCTATTCCGGACCCGGAGAGAGCTCATGGAACGTTTCCTACAGTTTTTGTTCAATTGTCAACACTTGTGTGAAGGAGCTTGAATTCCCCTTTTTTATGCGTGATCCTTAAGTATAAAAAATAGATGAACGAATTGATGAATTACACGACTGATCTCTGAAAATCAATCAATTAGATACAAAGCCTAAATTTTTTTTTTGTTATAACATGCCGCTCCTTTCAAGGTTGATTTTTTTTAAGAGCATGGATTGGTCCAATTTTCTCGCTATACACAATCAAAATGGTTTTAAAAAGAAATATTTCAATAATTCTGACGAAAATTTTATTGTGATTCTTATCAAATTTTATGGCAACTTTAGGTATTTCAAGGTAACAATGATCAGGAAACGGTGGCATCCCATGTGTTGCCGCAGCACATCAGGGCTCGTTTCGTCAGGTTCTGGCCCGAGACTTGGACCGAAAAATACAGAGTCATGAGGGTAGAGTTGTACGGCTGTTTCTTTCAGTAACTGCTCCGGCCCAGATACGGTTAGAAAGGAAAATTCGTAACTTGCAATTGACCAGGAAATGAATTCAAGCAACAAGTAGTTAAATCAGTAGTACGCGATGAATCTGAGTAGCGAAAGCTATGTCAGGAGACAATATTTATACCATAATGAATGTCACTGCTATTGTAACATTTTAAAATCTGCACATATGGTCAATACGGTTTAAGGAAAAAAAATTTAGAGTTTGATGATCATTTATAGAAACATCATTCATACTTTGTTGGTGGAATTATGCGTGTGGGGATTATCATGAATATGTTTTAAAATAATTAGCGGTAGAAATGCAATATACCCATGTTTGAGTCAAGAATAAAGCATTGACGCCGTGACCGCAACTTCTTGTGTGAGGACATTTTCATGATAAGTTATCATCATGACACATGGTTTGGTACGTGCTTTTTTCTGTCGCTTCATACTATCATGACGGATGACATATATAATCAAGAACACCACGTTTAACTAAAATGACAACACGTAGATAAAAATATGTATGTGCAAGTGCATGTTTCAGATATCCTAAATATAACATCGAGAACAAAACGCATACAAACCATGGTGCTATTTTTTTGAAACATGTCTTGGTAGTTTGCAAATGTTTTCTTCTCTTTCAAATGGCAAGCTGCATTCCGCGACTATTTTGGTATCTGAATCATCTTTTAACCCGCCTGCTCCAACTGGGAAACAGTGGCACAATAGCACCACCAAAGAGGGCAAATGAAAAGAAAAACGAAAAAAGAGTGTGGAAGAAGAGCCGTTTTTGCTCTTCCTAGGTTTCTCTCCTCTCTTCGTCGCTTCATTTCGGCTGGCATCATTTCATAACGTAAAAATGTGGTTTGTTAGTCATCTAATTTCGCTTGTGTTTTTCAAGTCGCTTTCAGATATAAATTTCATTCCGTACTTCGTAACGGATGTTTTTCCAAATTATTGCTGCAATCAAAAACAATAGTGATCGTCAGACTATCTTACTAAATGAAGGTGTATGTGACTGATTGATCGTGAGTGACTGACTGGCCGAATAAATAAAGGACTGAGTGACTGACTGACTACGTGGCCGATTGATTACCTTATATTACGACTGATTAGCTTGCTAATTGACTGACTTACTGAGTAATGAATTGACTGCTTAACTGACTATCTGACTTAATGTCTGACTGACTGACTTATTTACTTACTTACTGACTAACCTGCAGAAGACTAACTGACTAGCTAACTGACTAACTTATTGACCTACTGACTGACTGATTGTTTGACTGGCTGACCGACTGAGTACGTGGCTGATTGACTAATTTACTGACTGGCTTGCCAATCAAATGGCTAACCGAATAATGAATTACCGGAAAAGTAATAGACTAACTGACTGACTGACTCTCTGACCATCTGACTGCCTGACAGTCTGACTCTCTGACCTTCTGACTGCGTGACTGAGTGACTGTCTGACCGTCGGACTGTCTGACTGTTTGACTGTCTGACTGTCTGACTGTCTAACTGTCTGACTCGATTGTAAAAGCATAAACTACTATTGAAGACGGAAACTTGTGAGTTGAATAACACGACCACAGTGACGTCCCTAAAGAACATGTTGGACTTTGAATTCACCATATGCCTGCCTTGACAAACGTTCTCCGAGTTTCTTTTTCCCTTGACTTTGAATGTGGACAGCCAGAGGAGATATACCACCTTGTGGAGAGCTGGAAAAACTGTAAAGGTAACGCTGATATCTTTCATAACTATTTTTTAACTGTTTCCTGTGTTGTCACGAGTGTGGAACTAGGGCATGATTACAATGGTCTTGAAAAAGTCCAATATCGCTATAACTTTCTCCTGGAGAAAATGTATGGAGATAGCCTAAAGCTAATCTTTGCGTGCAGACGCCGATAGTTATCAGTCATTTTACACTGAGATTATGATAAGGAGATGAGTGGTTAATTGTGACATTATTGAAGTACACAAAGTTATGACGTTCAAGCAAAAACAACATGTTTAGGCCCCCATCAACACCCTTTCTTTCTTTTTGTTTTCTTTTCCTTTGGGAGTGTGTGGTGTGTTGGGGGGGGCCTTCACTTTGGTCCGTATAGGAGGAATGGACCCATGTAGGAGTTCAACGTCCAGAAAATAGTGTTTCTGTTGATTGAACTACAGACAAACATAAATTTTCTAACAGAACTAGTTAAACCTGTCTCCTTCTTTAAACTCTCCCGTTGTGCCATGAACGTCCATCTCGGATGGTATTCAGGGCTGGAGTTAAGTAAGAGCATTTTCCTATCAGCATTTTTACGGAATGGGAATAAAACTTAAGATAAGAAGTTCTTTTATACAGCCATTTCTTAGTCTCTATTGTAACAGAATGCACACAAAAATTTACTCTAGCGATCAAGTAGCAGAAAGAACGATGAGGGAGGAAACAAAACGGCTCACATCCACAACAGGTCTTCTAGTTTAAGGCGTGCATGCTTGAGTTGTAGGACGAAAAACACTTGCATTTCTTCTTAAAAGTCATAACTTTGGGTAAAGTTTACACGTTTGTATAACACAAATTATTTACATCGTTCCTGAATTGTATTTTTCAAGCTTTCAGTTGATGGAAGATTTTATGCCATAAGATAAAGATTAACAAGGTCAAGAGGGGATTCTCTCTTGACAATACCATGCCTTTTTTCACGCAAAACTGAACAGTTTTTAAAGAAATCTGTTTTGAAATGCAAATGTTTCACTAAGAGAGAGAACGAGAGACTAATGACGATACCAAGTGTTTTCATAAAAGTGTCCGGGGAACCCATTCCCCCTGGTGGGCGATTCGGTTATAGGCCTGCAAAATGATCATAACAAAGGGTAGGTCGATCAACGGAACTTCGCCTATTACACAGCTTGTTATAGAGTAGAATAACTTCATGTATATCTGGCTCTGAACCTCGGTCCTTTCCTTATTCTGCAATTTCGTTCGTCTTGTAACTCAACCCCTACGACCGTTGAAGTTATTAAAGTTTCCTGTAATTCATTGAGACCTTATTTTTATGCCTTACAACCTGCTGAGCTAGGACAAGCCAGAATAATCATTTTATTCTTTTTAATTTACAGACTGAGAGCGACAAATAATAACAGCGTGACCGAATAAAGTCAAAACAACAAGCGAGCTCGGATCAAACAGGAATTCTTGCACAAACACAGGAAGGTTCCATGATCGTAATAGGTTCAACGTTATCTTTAAGTTTAAGTTTTTTTTTACTGAGGTTTTATTTGTATCATCTTAATTTCGAGTGGAAGAACCCAAACTATCGTCACCTTTGATGTAAAAAACAAAGTGTAATTAGCGGTATTCATTCTTTTGCTTTGTCAGCTGTGTTAAATTATGAATAATCATCAAATAGTCCTCAGTAGGATTCAACACCTGATAATGCTTTGTTTGCATTCTTTAATGAAAGACACCCTTAAGCGCTTTACCTTTATTAAGTTTAACAAGTGTCCCAAATAACTTCTTGACTTCTTTATCTGACGAGGAGATCCCTTGAATGAGAATCACTCGCAAATAGAGTTGGATAAGAAAAGATACAGCGAAGGTAAAGCCGGGTTTCCCTTTTTCCCTTAGACGTGATTTTACAATTACACAAGTTACTGTAAATCTGAAACTCCATTTAATCGTATGACTGATTGAGAGGCTGCGTGTAAATTTGTGGAGTTGTTTCTTTTTTCCTTATTTTATTATTATTTTTTTTTAAGTAAGAAGAAAAAGAACTTCTTTGATAAAGGATAAAATGATTGACGGGGATTGTGTGAACCTTAGCGTAGCTCCTTTTGAAAATGAGTTCCATAAGGAAAAATATGTTTGACCAGTTATGTAATGGACCAAGCCTTCTCGAAGTATCTGTTGAGCATTGGAGTGCGAAAATAAATTGCTATCAAAGAAAGAATAGTGAAAACAGCAAAAAAAGAAAAAAAGATCATAAAAAATTCACGTTTAGCAAATAGTTTATGGAAAAACTGCAGCAGCATTAAACTTGCGTATTTCTTAAAAATACTTGAAAGAATAACACATTCAATTGGCGAAGTTTTCAAATAAGATTTTCAAACTTTTACCTGAGACTTACATACAATCCAAAAAAGTTCATTTCTGAGTTTGTACAGATCTATCTTCAGTCGCTTCATGTTCATACCTGGGTATTGATTTTAAAAATGTTCAAGAAAGAATCCTTTAATTTCATTGATCTTATTCAATCCCACAAGTGGTGCTTTTCTTTAGTTATTATTTTAATCCAGTTACTTTGAAAGGGGAAAACTAAAAACTTTACATTTTTTTTTCATGTTCGCTTTTATCAGTTTTCGCGCGTTAAAATAAAGAATCTGTTCGCAGGAAAATGTCTCGAATTTACCATGTTATACTTTCCCTAATAAGTGCAATACTAAGAGCTTCGTCCACGAAGACATGGAATATCACCATAAAAATATCACCGAAAAAAACATCTTTTCCTAAAATTAAATGATTTTGATTCTTAAGACAGCATTTTTTCTCTAGCATTACAACGGAATTCGGTAAAAATTTGAAAGAGTTTTTCAGAGCAAAAATATTAATCAATCGACAGTTTAACTTCTTTTAAATGGTTTAATTCGTATATTTTGACTCTAGAACAACGACTATGCTTCCCAAAGGCGTCATAGCAACTTCCTTTGTGATGGTCTTTTGGCAATTACGTGATACGTTATCATCAGTCACGCAATGCCAAGACGCAACCTACTCCATTCCAAATCGCATTCTAACAGGTCACGCATTCACCACCAAACCATCTTCAACTATGGAATCTTGCGTGATGTTCTGCGGCCAGGATCTCAATTGTAAAAGCATAAACTTTTACCGAAAGGCAAAGACTTGTGAGTTGAATAACATGAGTGCGGAGACATCCCCAGAGAGTATGGTGGATTTTGAATTGGCAATGTACATGACCAACGCCTTTCCAATTCCTTGCCTCTATGACGCTGAATGCAAACTGCCAGGGGAGATATGTGAGCTTGTGGAGGGCGACAAAAAATGTAAAGGTAATGTTGATAACCATTTTTAATATATAATTTCCGACCTATAGAAAGATGGTTTTTGTCTGGTCGTGGTCGTGGCGCAAATGCATTATCACAATGATTTTGGAAAAGTGCGATATGGCCTCAACTGTTTGCCCCAAAGAAATGTGCGCGAACATTCTGGGAACGAATAGGAAGCCGGTCCATGAAGTGCTGGTATTGATGTTATGCAAATGTATAGGTAATCTTGATATATTTTCGAAACAATTCCCTTTTCCTTTAACCCTTAACGTACCAACTACGCATATATGCGTAGAAATATACGACGTGATTTTAACGCGCAATTGTGGTGAATTATTGGGGCTTGGGCACTGGTGTTTCATTTCAAATGACTTAACATAAACTATAGTTTGAGGCAGTGAAAGAAAATGGCCGATTTGGCGAGTTGTATTAAAGAATTTGGAAATTTAAATTTCGAGTGTGTATTGTCTGTGGTTTTTTAAAAATGGCGGCGTGCGAAATATCTCCTGAAGCACTCTGTGCGACTGAAAGCGATGAAAACGATGTGGAAATCGAATTTATCGACGAAGACAATTTACCTTTGGCTTGTATCAGTGTTTTGGAGCATCCCGAGTCAGAAGAAGAGATTGACTCCGATGATTTGGCAGAATCTAGTGGGGATGAGTCAGAAGAACTAGAAAGTGAACAAGATGAAGACCCAGAGGAGGAAGAAGAAGTATCGGCATAGAGCGAAGAAATAACGAGAAGGGATGATATTGATTTCAGTGAACTCGTGGGATTGGCAGCAAATGTAAACATTAGATCTTTGACATCAAGCAAAGGGTTTTTTGATCTGTTCTTCACTGCTCAGGTATGGGAGTTGTTATTTGCTCAGACTAATCTGTATGCAAATCAGAAACGAGGAGCTGCAGAAAAGTCTGTGTGGTATCCAGTGTCTGTGGAAGAAATGAAAGGTTAGGTTGCCATTTATTTGTGTATGGGAATTATTAACAATTATTAAAAGTCAGCTCATATGCAAGGCTAATGAGAGGTGCTGTGTGGTATTATAAGATTTTTTTCAATATCATAGAAGTGTGTGTTTCAAATGCACACATTTTGGAGAGAAAATCTCCATGTCATACCACTAGAACTGCTTTAGACTTCAGAAAGTCATTGATAAGTCACTTGATTGAAGGAAAGTCCTTTAGAAGGGACACTCAAATGCGTCCACCACCCACTTCTGAAATTAGATTTAATCAAGAACACTTCCACCACCTGGTAAGCAACGACAAAAGATCTACTTGCAAGGTTCACTTACAGCATGTAGGTACCTGTTATAGCTGTGCAGTGTGTGGAGTATGCATGTGCCTGGAGCCCTGTTTCCTCAGGTATCACACATTGAGAGACTTCTATTTCAATGATGAAGATCATGAAGGCCCCAGATGTCTGAAAGAAGGAAGAGGGAGGCCTCGCACCAGAGGAAGAGGAAGAGTTCTCCAAAATTGAACATGCATAGACAAATTTGATAATTGAAAAGAAATAACAAAGGCAAGGTGATATATGAGACAATAAAAATGACTTACTCTAAGACTTTCTCAAGATTAGATTTTGTTACTAATAAGATAATTCATGCCCTGACAATAATCTTAATGGGTCAAATTTGTGTGCAGAGAAGTGTTTTTAACCCTTAAAATGATATTTTCAATGTGTGAAGGTCATGATTTTTTGAGAAAAAGCAATAGTTCTGAAATTTATTTGTTACAGGATTCTTTCAATTAGTCCTTCTTGAAACTTCCAATAATTATGCTAATTATGCACGCCGTGACGTCATCATATGATGTGTATCCCCTAATAAGTTAAACAAATTGGTAGAAAATTTTCCACTGGTTATGAACATATATGGTCATATGGGGCTTTATTAAAAAGAAATTGATCTACAACTGATTTTGTAAACATCACTCGGGTTTCTCCAAAAAAAATAACATACCCGTGGTATGTTAAGGGTTAAACATGAAAGTGGGAAATCATTTTTGGAAGAAAATTTCTTTAATTTTGAGAGCAATGTTGCTGCTCCTGTTTTTTTTTTTTTTTTTTTTATTATCATTTTTGGTGCTATTTTTTGTTGTTGAATTATTCCGCAAAGAGGAATTCGAAATATCAGCAAATTGCTGACAGTTCCATTGCAAGCTTTAATGCAAATTATGAAGCAAATAAGGCGAGGAATAAAAATTTCTGTATGCACTGAAATTGTAAAACTACTGAATCGACAGGAAACTGGGAACATTTGTCTTTCAGAAAGAAATGATATTTTAAATCTTCCATTGTTTCCTCCTTCTTAGTTCAATTTCCATTGTAGTTCTATTCTCACTACGACTGGTACATTTATTTGAAAAAAGTATTGCATGGTGGAATGGTACGAGCGACCATACACTTTTCTTGGGCCATTTTTATGCGTCAGGATGTAGCTTTACCAGCATGTCTCTTTTTTTCTTTCTGCATTGTGGGGAGAGTGGCAGGGAAGGAGGGAAGGATGAATTGTTTGCTTCTACAGATGTAAATGAGGGACATACTCCTATTGATTAAACAATGTCAGTAAGGATAGCAACTTTTATCAAAGAATTGTTACTTCCTCTTCTTTTAAAAGCATGTATGGAGGCACTTGGTATGGAAGATGGAAGAATTCCAGATTCAGCTATAAGTGCTTCATCGTTTGTGAACGAGGGTACACATCCCAGGCTGGTTCGTCTCAACTCACCTTCTGGATGGGTTGCAGATCACCATGACCCTAAGACCTGGCTTCAAGTTGACCTCGGAAAGGACGCAGTGATCAAGAAAATCGCTACCCAGGGGAAGCGCGGTGTCTATCACTGGGTAAAGACTTACACGCTTTCATCACGTGCCAACGAAGAGACTGATTGGTTGACGTATAAAGAGAACGAAGATGTGAAGGCGAGTCCTCTGTTTGGAATTTGACTTTTCTATTGAAATCTATTATTTGAAAAGATACTTGCCTGAATGTCACATTTTTCTCTGTTCCGGACCCGGAGAGAGCTCATGGAACGTTTCCTGCAGTTTTTGTTTAATTATAAACACCTATGCGAAAGAGCTTGAATTCCCTTTTTTGCGCGTTATCCTTAAGTATAAAAAAAAATTGAATGACGTGAGATACTTATCGATTGATCTCTGAAAATCAATCAGTCAGATACAAACCCTTCAATTTTTTGTTGTAACATCGCGCTCCTCTTTCAAGGTTGGGGTTTTTTAAGAGATGGTCCAATTTTCTCGTCATCCATAATCAAAATGGATTTAAAAAGAAATATTTCAATAATTCTGACGAAAATTGTACTGTGATTCTTATTAAATTTTATGACATTTTCAGATATTTCAAGGTAACAATGATCAGGAAACGGTGGTATCCCATGTGTTACCGCAACACATCAGGGCTCGTTTTGTCAGGTTCTGGCCCAAGACTTGGAATAATAGATACAGAGCCATGAGGGCAGAGCTGTACGGCTGTTTTCTTCAGTAACTGCTCCGGCCCTAATACGATTAGAGAGGCAAATTCGTAACTTTCAATTCGCCAGGAAATTAATTCAAGCCACAAGTAGTTAGATCAGTAGCACGCGGTGAATCTGAGTAATGAAAGCTATGTCAAAAGACAATATTTATACCATAATGAATGCCACTGCTATAAAAACATTTTAAAATCTGCACATAAGGACACCTATAGTTTTACGGAAAAAAATTGGAGTTTGATAGCCGTTTATAGAAACAATATTCATACTTTATTGGTAGAATTATGCTTGTAGGGGCTATCATGAATATGTTTTAAAATAATTAGCGGTAGTTATGCGATGTACCCATGTTTGAGGCAAGAATAAAGCATTCAAGCCGAGACCGCAAATTCTACATGTCTTTGTAGTTTCCAGATGTGTTCATATCATTCAAATGGCAAGTTACAACCCGCAACTATTTGGAACCTGAATCATCTTTTTAGCCTGCCTGCTCCAACTGGGAAACAGTGGTACAATAGCACCACCAAAGAGGACAAATGAAAAGGAAAAAGAGTGTGGAAGAAGAGCCGTTTTCGCTCTTCCTAGATCTTTCTCCTCTCCTTGTTGCGGCTTCATTTCGCCTTGCTTCATTTCGTAACGTAAAATGTGGAAAATGTGGTTTGCTAGTTATTTCGGTTTTGTTTGTCAAGTCAATTTCAGATATATTCTTTTCCGTACTTCATACTGGATGTTTGTCCTCAATCAAAAACAATAGGGATTGTTGGACTATCTAGCTAATGAAGGTGTTTGTGACTGACTAATCATGAGTGACCGTGACTGGCCGACTAAATAAAGGACTAAGTGACTGACTGACTAAGTGGGTGATTGACTAACTTATATAATTACTGACTAGCTCGCCAATTGACTGAATTATTGATTAATGAATTGACTGGTAAGGTAACAAACTGCTTAACTGAGTATCTGAAGGAATGTATGAATGACTGAATTACTTATTGACCTACTAAATTCACTTTGGTCTGTAAAGTGAAAGTACACCTTCTTAGGAGTACAAAGTCCAGAAGAAAATAATGGTTCTGTTGATTGAACTTCAGGCAAACATAAATCTCGTTACAAATGCAAAACTAGTTAAACCTCTCTCCTTCATCAAACTCTCTCGTTGTACAATAAACGTCTATCTCGGATGGTATTCAAGGCCGGAGTTAAGTAAGAGTATTTTCCTATCAGTAACTTTGCAGAATGTGAAATAAAGTTAAGATAAGAATCTTTTTTATACAGCCATTTCCTAGTCTCTGTTAGAACAGAATGCAGACAAAACTTTACCCCAACGATTAAATAGCAGAAAGAAAAAGAGTGTTCAGAGGGAGGAAACAAAACAGATCACATCCATAAGAGGTTCTTAAGTTTAAGGCATGCATGCATGCTTGAGTTGCAATGTGGAAAACACCCGCATTTCCTCTTAAAACTCACAACGTTAGGTACTTTGATCGTTTGTGTAACATAAATTATTCACTTCTTTCCCGAGTTATATTTTTCAAGCTTTCAGTAAATGGAAGATTTTATGCCATGAGATAAAGATGAACAAGACCAAGAGAGGATCCTCTCTTGACAAACCATGCCTTTCTTCAAGCAAAAATTGCATTTTCTTGTTTGTTTTGAGAGAGAGAGAGAGAGAGAGAGAGAGAGAGAGAGAGAGAGAGAGAGAGAGAGAGAGCTAGCTAGAGGAAAGGGCACTTCTGTATCTTTTTTCAGGCACTTTTGTAACACAAACGGGCACTTCTGTAACGTGTCAGGCACTTTTGTAACTGTGCAGGGCACTTTGATAACTTTTAAGGGCACTTTGGTAACTTTTAGGGCACTTTTGCAACTATGGAAGGTTATAAAAATTATTTATTTCCTGAACTACGTTAACCCTTAAAAAAAAAGCTAAAGCAACCACTTCAGTTGCTTTTAAGGAAATGAAACTTTTAAACTGGACGACCTCCGAGCTGATCGAGTTAGGGGATCAGAAGGGTAGTGCTTCAAACGTTCTACATGGACAGGAAACGTTCTTTCACAAAAAAATAGATCGTTTTGTTAAGGGTTTAAGGATTGCGGCAGACAATCTTTCTGATAACAAATAATAGTTATTCATGATTTGGAAAGATTTATGTTAAAACAAGTGTTGATACGGTATCTGATTCTCAAAACCAACATTGAAAGTACCGTAACTTATTTCATACATACTGAGCGAACGACTGAAAATACATCGTTCGTCTAATCGTAGACATGAACGATAGTACTTCACAGTGGAGGGCAACAAGCGTGCGGCTTTCAGTAAGAAAAAATTTCAATACGTATGAAATAAAAACATTACACCGTGGAAAATGCTTGAACGATTTTTATTCACTTGTTGCTATGCATAAAGATCTCACTCGTTTGCTGCGCTCACTGCGTTCTCCTTTCCTTCATTGCTTTTCGAGTACGTTTTGATAACTACCCGTCGTGCACACGTCACCCACCTGCACCGACACTGGAAAAATAACGCAAGGACGCGGAGAATGGGTCAAAGTTACGACAGATTGTAGAACAAGTAATCCTTAGCCACCTCTGTCCTCCATATGTGAGGGATACTTTGTACTTTGTAAGTTCTAAGTGCGCTTTGTAGCTAGCGTTTCATTCTTTTGTTGGTTCTTAGTGCGCTCCGTTGTTTACGTTAGATTCTTTTGTTAAGCCTAAGTGCGCTCTGTAGTTTACGTTTGATTGTTTTGTTAGTTTTAAGCGCGCTTTGTTGTTAGCATTTGATTCTTCTGTTAGTTCAAAGCGCGCTCCTTTGTTTACGTTTGTTTGTTTTGTTAGGTCTAACTGCGCTCTGTAGTTTGTTTGACTGTTTTGTTAGTTCTGAGCGTGCTCTGTAGTTTGTTTGACTGTCTTGTTAGGTCAAAGTGCACTCTGTAGTCTACGTTTGATTGTTTTGTTAGGTCTAAGTGCGCTCTATAGTTTATGTTTGACTGTCTTGTTAGGTCAAAGTGCACTCTGTGGTTTATGTTTGACTGTCTTGTTAGGTCTAAGTGCACTCTGTAGTTTACGTTTGATTGTTTTGTGAGGTCTAAGCGCACTCTGTAGTTTACGTTTGACTGTCTTGTTAGTTCTAAGCGCGTTCTGTAAATTACGTTTGACTGTTTTGTTACTAAGCGCGCTCTGTAATTCATGTTTGATTGTCTAGTTAGGTATGAGCGCGCTCAGTCGTTTACGTTTTTTTTTTTGTTAGTTCTAAGCGCGCTCAGTAGTTTACGTTTGATTGTTTAATTAGTTATAAGCGCGCTTTGTAGTTTGTTTGATTGATTTGTTAGTTCTAGGCACACTCTGTAGTTTACGTTTGATTATTTCGTTTGGTCTAAGCGCGCTCCGGAGTTTACGTTTGATTGTTTTGTGAGATTTTGAGCGCTCTATAGTTTACGTTTGATTGTTTTGTTAGTTTTTAAGCGCACTCTGTAGTTTACGTTTGATTGTTTTTTTAGTTCTTAGCGCGCTCTGTAGTTTACGTTTGGGTGTGTGGTTAGGTCTAAGCGTGAATAGACACAACGAATTTTTATTCTTTCATGAACACTATTACTTTATGGAAGCTAGAAAACGCAACTGAGTAACCAAAATCTTTCGGCCAATGCCAGATCACGTCAGAGCGTCGACCTACAAATAGCATAGAAAAGCACTGCGCCTAGTCAAATGCAAAAACATACGTTGAGCTTTCTTGCGAAAGGGAGTGTTTTTTTTTAAATTTAAATACCAATTCCTATCAGCAGGGTAACATGTGTCTCCAAAGATTGTTACATTTTCGATCAGTTGCGGGACGTTTTGATTGCCGAATCGCATTTCCAATCTACCTTTTTTTTTCTTTTCTAAGTGAAGCAGAACTTGCCTTGCCTTAAAAGTCAATTTGTTAAATCAAAAACTTACCAAAACTTTTTTATAGCATTAGGGTTATAAAGAACTGTTTCACTGAAAAGACGTCAACGCAATTTCAAAATTTGCCCTGTGAAAAGAAAAACATGCATCCTTCTCAATCAAATATAGCGATTCTGTGCTTTTCATTTAATAAGTGACTTCAACTCGACTTAAAGGTGTGTTGTGGCTTACTGATTTCGTTCTTTTTATTTTGTTTCCTTTATTGCTGGATGAAAAAAAACCGGTCTTGAAGAACATACGCAGTTCTTGCGAATGCCCATTTTGCGCTTTTTTTAGGAAAATAATAGTATTACATGCATATCTTGTTCATATTCTTGTTCTTCACCAAAGCATTTCATGTTTCATTTAAAAAAAGTGTGCTTCTCTCACTGACGGAACGTCTTGCTAAACAGGCACTTCCGTAACTTTGCATTCTTCATGTACCAACCCATACATGAAAGCAATTTTTTAATATAAAGATTTAACTAAAAGCTGCAAGATTTCAGAATAATAAACTACAATAGTATACCTACCTGTGGTATAAGTTTAGTAAAATTTGACTTAATAACAAGGACGAAATTAAGTTTCGAATTGCGCTATCTGCAAAAAGACGTTTTCATCAAACTGGAAACTTCAACTCGACATGAAAAGTGTATGCGGAAACCAACAAAATTTTTCCACACGCAATACCCAACTCACAATTTAAGGTGGAAAAATAGTGAATTGTATGGCGTCTACTACGCTCCTAAATACCCATATGCTGCAGAAATTTGGTGACTTAGGACCAAAAAGTAGAACTTTCCACGGCATAGGGAACTTTTGTAACCTGAACGCAGTTTAAATGTTTATAATGCATTTTGCTTTGAAAGTCTGGCAAAGATTTTCACAATGCAGAACGAGGGTAACGTCTAGTTTCAGGAAATGCGAAAACCGGGTCTCAATAGAGATAAAGGGCGACTTTTTAGCCGAAGAGACAACTAAGTTACAAAAGTGCCAATCATACCTCTAGAGAGAGAGAGAGAGAGAGAGAGAGAGAGAGAGAGAGAGAGAGAGAGAGAGAGAGGGAGAGAGAGAAAGACAAATAACGATACCAAATGTTTTCGTAAAAGTGTCCGGGGCACTCGTTACCCTTGGTGGGCGATTGGGTTGTAGGCCTGCAAAATGATCATAACAAAGGGTAGATCGATCAACGGAACTTCTCCTATTAAACGGCCTGTTATGGAGTAGAATAACCACATGTATACCTGGCTCTGAACGAGACTTAGTCCTTTCCTTATTCTGTAATTTCGTACATCTTGTAACTCAACCCCTATGGCCGTTAAAATTATTAAAGTTCCTTATAATAGCATGATTACACTTCGCTCAGTGAGACCTTATTTTCATGCCTTACAATGCAACCTGCTGAGTCAGGACAAGCCAGGATAATCATTCTGTACTTTTTAAATGTTTTCATTCAGAGATATACAATACAGACTTAGGGCGACAAAATAATAACAGCGTGACTAAATAAAGTCAGAGCAAGAAGCAACCAAATAACTTCTTCACTTCTTCATCTGACCATGAGATCATTCTTATCATCATCGCCCGTTGCGCCAGTAGGCGCATAAGGCCGTCACATTCTCCGCCCTACCCTCTGTGGCGTGCCACCGCCTTGGCCACATTCCAGCTCTTCCACCCCGCCTAACCTCCCTCTCTTTAGACAGTCCTTCTTCAAGTGGTCTTTGGTCTCCCTCTCGCCCTTCAACCTTCTGGTGTCCACCCCAATGCCGTAAAACAGTCGTTCACACCCTCTCTCCTGAGGGTACACAATTACCCTCTTGTTTGTCATTCTTTGTTGTCATCTAATCCTCGGTATTCGTCTTGGGCATTGGCATTGGAAACTGTTCAGTTTTCTTTCATCGGTCTCTGTGATCTTCCGTGTTTCACAAACATATGGTAGGACCGGTCGGACATAAGTCTTAAAAAGGCATATCTTGGTTCTCCTTCCTACTCCTCTGACTTTCCTCACCTTCCGTAGCCTCTGGAATGCACCTCGTACCTTCTGCAGTCTGTTCCTAATATCTTTACTGCCTCAACCTTCCTTGTCTACAGTAGCTCCAAGATACGCATAGCGCCTCTTCATCTTCCACCTCTTCACAATTCACCACAAATTTCTCCCTTTTCCCAGAAAAATCAGTCCTCAGTGTCTTGAACTTTCTCGCATTAAGTCCAAGGCCTACTTTGGCTGCTTCCTCCGTCAATCTCCCAGGCTTCTCACACAAGTTATTAAAGTTGGATGAAAGTAGTACGATGTCGTCCGCAAAATCAAGATGCTCCAACATTGTTGCTAAATTCCATCGTATCCCTCTTCTCCTGTCTGTTGTTATCTTCCTCATGATCTAATCCTTGGCCAGTAAGAATAAGAATCCTGACATTGCACATCCCTGCTTTACTTCCTACTTAATCTTGAACCAGTCTGATATCTCGCATCTGTCGATTACTGCGCGTTCAAACCCTTCTTATATGCCTATCACTTATTTCATAGCTCCTCATAACGTACCACAAGCTTTCTCTGTGTACCGAATCGAAGGCTTTTTCAATGTCCACAAAGTGCATAACAGACTCGCCCTCCATTCGTTTGCCTGCTCTAAGATGTTTCTTTATATTAAGATCTATTCAACTGTACTTTATTCGGTCTAAATCCAGCCTGCTCCTTTCGAAGCCTCTCACCTCATGGCTCGTTTCGTAAGGTTCTGGCCGATGACTTGGATAAGTGTATGCAAATCGATGAGGGCAGAGCTGTTCGGCTGTTTATTCAGTGACTGCTTTAGCACTAAAACAACTGGAACAGCAACTTCAAAGCCTCAATTGACCTAGAAATTAACTATAGCTAGACGGAATAATATTGAGTAGTGAATCTATGTAGTGTCAGCTCTGCAAAAGGACTACTCTTTTTTTTAAGAAAATGAAAACCCCTGATGTAAAAAGAAAAGAAAAAAGGGCAATGTGCGCAACTGATAAAAAGTTTTTTGCTAGTCTTTTGAAAAGCTAACCAAGTGCTTCAGTTATTTTCTACACACGTTCAACAGTCTGCTAATCAGCTTCGAAAAACAAACGTCATCATTAAAGCACACACTGGATCCTGGAGATCTTAACGATCATCAAATTTCATCGGAGCAGACATTACCTTTTTTTTTGGCTTTCTGATAGGAATGTCGAAATCACTCTTCAGGATATTCTACTGGGTAAATTGGATGAGGAAAGTGATTTATCAAATCACATGTTGATTTGCAAAGTGTCATATCCCATGGGACAAGACGTTGACGAAGTGTCAACTCAAACATTGACTTATTTTAGGGATTGATAAATGTGAAATATAAGACTGCACGATATAATGCTTTAAAAACAATGCAGATGAGAAATATTAGGCTAAATGAAAATTATTCATTAATCATGGGCTCCCTTCCATTAGAATATGATTCGTTACACAACTTTCGTTTGTATTAAATAAGAAATAGCTATTGACATGTATTACAATGTGTATTTGTATCTATTAATTGAAATCAAAATGTGGAGAAAAAAAATTGGATGGTTTTTCAGTGTTTGCAACTATGTGAATACGAATTGAATTAGGGACGTATTCAATTTTTGTAATCAACCTGTCACATTTCCAAGGGAAACTTAAAACTCTATGACAGGGTCAGTTCAAGAACGCGAGCTCCATATAACGAACTTCTGCTTCAGTAACACTGCTCATCGTCAAGTTTTGAGTTTGTCTTTAAGTAACATTGTCTGTCCCTTTATCTCTCTGTCTAGATCGCTCGAATTAATCAAATCATGCAGTATTATGGGTAAAACTATTCCCACAACAAACTTGGTAATCAAGGAATAAAGGACTGCGTCCAATAATATTCCTCGGTCAAAGTCCTGGCAAAGAAGTGGTATCGAACAGGGAAGCCTGCGTATCAATGCACCTAAACAAGAAAATATTAAAACTATGAAGAAGAGAGGCTTCTTGTTAACTCTAAGTAACTTCCATAGCAGAGAGCACGAATGTGTCGCCATGTCTGATTCTGGTGAAGTGGTTTTCAAGTTATCTTCATCATTGTTTTTAACCAGAGCCACAACAAGTAGCAAAAAAATCAGTAACATCGTCAGAAACAAAGCAACTTCGAGGGCTGCTTGAGAAACGGCTGCTTTAGCGAAACAATTGTGCCACCATATCATTAAAGAGCCAGCGAAACCCAAAATGAGCACCGCAAACATTCGGAGATTTGAATTTAAATCCCGGTTCTCGTATCCTACAGAGTGTTCATGATAGACTGTTAAGATCGCCGTTAAGTTGCCAGTTTGGAAGAACGTCATAAAAAGGGACAACACCCTGAAGACATTGCAGGAATCTTTGCCTTGAACACTGAAACCATTCCATGATTCTGTGACATCCGAGAAAAGAATTGTGACTTGACAAACGCACTGAAAAGAGCCCAATATTTTACACTTTTTAATAAACCTTTGCTTCTTTTTGTCTCTGAAACATCTCTGCAGCATTCGTACAGTGAAGAATATCGCACCTAAATCCAGTGCAGATACTAAAAGGGAAAGTGATGAGATCATGATAGTTGAACTGCAGCCTCTGATATCTAGCGGAAGCAAGATGTTTTGACACATGATAAGAAATATGATAATCACATTAGGGTTTTTAAAGATACAGTCTTTCAAGTGAAACTAAGCATTAGTATCTTAACTAAAGTTCCAGAAGGAATAAGAATGTGAATTTAGGAAGGACAAAAAGGAGAAGAGTCCTTTGGTAAAATTAAAAAAGAAGTTTGCTTGTTACCGAGAAATTCAGCGAAGAAAGGCGAAAGATCTCACCGAAACGGATAAGGCCTTGTGGTCTGAGCAATCTTCGCTGTTCGCAGCCGACCAGCAACCATTAACGAGTTTTGCTGTGACGTGCTAGCTAACAAGCTGCTTCTGAGTCTCTTCAGGCTCCGTAGGGCTCATTTGTGTTTCTATTTGCGATCAACATTTCCATATTTCAGTGTTGACATTACTTGATACGATCGAGGTCACGCAAAGGCGTGAAATCAGTGTCGAAAGAAATTTTGAAGCAAAAAAAATAAACCCTTCCTTACTCCTGTGTCGTCTTTGAACGAGTTTTATAGGAAAACTATAGGTGCCTTGAAATTTGATCCGAACACTCTCAGGATACTAACCCACAAAAATCAAATTAAAGGATTTCACTTTTTTGAATATGATCTCCTGCAATGGCCGACAGAAAAATTTCGCTAAGCAACTCGACAGAAAAACTGCAAAGTAACCAAACAGAATATCAAAAAATCTTTTCACGGTTTTGAAGACCAACCTTCAAGATTGAAACTGTGCTGAAGTGTTATTTGTGCGATCATATGTGATCACATTTAATGCGCTCAAAGAATAATCGTCTGTTTTAATTTGCCTCGAGCAGTCGGTTTACGATTATATAAAGCTAAAACGGTTCCATATTTGCTGGATCGAAAGCGTATTTCATAACCTCTCCTTTGATATATCTTTTATGGTGGTTAAAGTTAAATTCTACGTGTTCTACGTCAAGAATATATTTTCTTATTATATTGAGTAGTAAAGTTCAATTTGTGAAAAAAAACATCGTCTATTTTCGAGGCAAAACGTTAAAGCTTCGCAAAGTAATTTATTACATGGGGCAGAATGAGTGGACATCATTTATCCATAACCGATAAAGCAGCAAATTTGAACGCGATCTTGCTTTGAAGAATTTCCGAATTTCAGAAGTGCTTATTTCTGAATCAACGCACGATTAAAGATGTATGAGGGTGAGAAATTTACTCTGTAATTTGCCCCACTAAAAGAGAAAGAGAACAGAATAATTATAATGGTGTGTTTTTCTCTTTCTTTTTTCTCGTTGAGAGCCCGCTCGTCCAATAGACGGCTGAAATACTGTTCTGCAAATGGATTCTTACGAAAACTATGAGTGTGAATTAGTAGTGAAATTTTTGCCTTTCCGTACATCATATAGATAGCCATCCTAGCTATCAGGTGAACAGATGACTGAGCTACCGAGTGTTTGAAAGCGTCACATAAATTATTCACATCCCCTTTGAGAGCTTGTTATTAAACGCATGCTGTTTATCTATTCTAAAATTTTCAAGATATTTTGTTCCACTGTGAGAGAATGAAAACATGGAACCTAATGTAGAGTTAGCTTATTAGCTGTTGGCGTTGCTGAGCATTTTCCATTCTGTGTACATTGTGTTTGGTGATGAAAGGTAATCTGGAAGTCTTTATTGCACTCCCACACTTAACAACGCTTTGTTTGTATTTTACTTAGAGAGATATACTATTAAGTTTCAATTTTGATTTGGTTTTATTCATAAGCCTACGTACTTTCTTTCTTCCCCAGCTAAACAGGGTATTTCTTACTTGAGAATCGTACACAAGTGAAACGTAACGAAAGACTCAGCTACGGTGAGTTTTAATTTTCCTTTCATTAGATTTGACGTAACTTGTGGGCGGCTTCTGAATTTAAATATATTTATCCCATCACTGATTAAGAAGCTCTAGGGAAATATTAAGTTGTACATCACGGTTAAAAAATAACTTTGCCCTGAAGGAAAACACAGAATGGAAGTTTGACAGGAGAGTTGAACACTACACTCGGAGAAAATAGGCTAAAAAAATAATTGAAAGAAACTTTTTTAGTATGGATGGCGTGGGACGAGGATCGCAGAACCTTCCTACATCTCAGTTAGAAACATGGTAAACTTTGGTGTGAACAAAAATAAGGCTGCCTTTATTCAATAGCGGATTTTAAAGCGCGCGAAGCTAGCACGCAGCGAGGCCCTATACTTATAAAAAGATGGTAGTAGCCGATCTTCTTCCAGTGAATAAACTCTTCAACAGCAAGTAAGGAGTTCTGAGAAATTAAAGAGATAGCAAATAAAGAAACTGGAGCTCCACATCCAGGCTTCGCTAAATCTTTATTTTAGATCAAGCGTGACTACCCCAGTCTTAAACTTCGGCGTTGTTTTCACTTCGGTTTCGCAAAGAGTTCCTCGAAGCGCTTTCAATGAAAGCATCCTGTAAAACTCCAGATGGAACTATGAACTATTTAATGAACGAAGATTTCCATTTCTCTTTTTTTGTTTATTTTACTTGGGAGATGTCAATTTAATTTCCCTTCTCAATGCTTTAAGTTATACTCAAATAATAAAGTTTTTACATTGCTCAAAGTGGAACCGCAATCCTTTTTTTTTTTTCTGTCATAGTAAGGTCAAGGAAACGTCCAATAAGACATCCTCAATACCCATTTTATTTTTACTTGTTAAAGCGGAAATGTAAAATAAATTCATTGTGTTTGACATGTGTTCTTACAGAATTTCTGTAAATTTACTCCATTTTGTGATGAGATTTCTCGTCTACCATTTGAAACAACAAGAATAATTTGCTATAGAATGGAATATCATCACACCAAACCTGTTAGGATAAATTAAAATCGTTCTCACAGCCTGCTTTCTTTTACGCAAGGTCTAAGCATGACGCGTACTCAATCGACCTCATCGTCTGAAGAAGACTAAGAGCATGCAGTCGAAACGACGCGATTCATTTCCGCATCGTGAAACAAACGATTATACGTTTCTTCTGAAAGGTCTAACTTTTTTTTCTTCAGGGAAAGGTCATTTAATTTTCATTCATAACTTTTCTATTTTACTTAATTCTTTATTTCCTTCTAGGAAAGTGATTATGCCTCTCAGTAAAGGCGCCATTGCAACATGGTCTGTGCTCATCTATTGGCAAGTGCATGACACGTTATCTTCAGTCACGCAATGCCAGGGGGCAACCTACTCCATTCAAAATCGCGTCTTGACAGGTCACGCATTTCGCACCAAGCCATGTGCAACCATGGAATGTTGCGTGATATTCTGCGGCGAGGATCCCAATTGTAAAAGCATAAACTATTATCGAAAAACAAAGACTTGTGAGTTGAATAACGTCAGTGCTGTAGTGTCTCCTGAGAGTATGGTGGACTTTGAATTGTCAATGTACATGACCAATGCCTTTTCACCCTGTCACCTTGACTTTGAATGTGAAGGACAAAGGAGGATATGTCAGGTGATGGAAGGCTGGAGCTACTGTAAAGGTAATATTGGGATTTTGTTTTTAGTCTCTTGTTATTTTGACAATGGATGTGATGCACAGGAGCAAATACATAAGTAAAGCTAACATCTTTTCAAAAATTTCCTTTTAAATTGGAAATATCGTGTAAATTAACTAGCACAGGTCAGTACCATATTTGGAAGATAATCTCTATTTTTAAAACAATGCCTAGAAATAGAAATAGAAAAGTATATTTAATTCATTGGTGTCTATAAATTGTGCACGCAACTGATTTGAAGCGCAAATATCGTAGGCAACAGCCCCAGTTGTTCAATTTTGTGGTCTCGAAAAATGGAATGAGACATGCAACCTGTTCTGGAATGCCATCAGAAATGTCTGAACATTTCAGGACCTAAAAAGAAATCAGTTCCTTCTTAGCAAATGTTATTGTCGCTGCTGTTGGTATTATGGTGGTGGTGGTGGTGATGGTGAAAAGGAAGGGGAGGGGAGGGGATGGGAGGGGATGGGAGGGGAGGGGAGGGGTAGAGAGTGGAGGATCACCAGGAATTGTTTGCTCCTCCAAATGTAAAGAATGATTAGGACATATCGTTTGACTGATTTTAATTATTGAAAGGAAGCTTTACAAAGAATTTTTATCTTCTCTTCTTTTGTAAGTATGTATGGAGGCCCTTGGCCTGGAAGATAAAATAATCCCAGATTCATCTATAACTGCTTCATCGGGAGCACAACCCAGTCTCTTTCGTCTCAACTCACCTTCTGCTTGGGTTGCGGACCACAGTGACCCTGAGCCCTGGATTCAAGTTGACCTCGGAAAGGACGCGGTGATCAAGAAAATCGCTACTCAGGGGAAGCTTGGTGCCTATCAGTGGGTAAGGACTTATACGCTTTCATCACGTGCCAATGGAGACACTGACTGGATGACGTATAAAGAGAACGATGATGTGAAGGTGAGTCATTTGTCTGGCATTTGATATATCTAATAAATATATGTTATTTGCCGGCTAAGGGTCGGTCCGTATGGTGAAAAACTGTGACCGAGGTCTTGAAAATACTGCCCGAGGCCGTAGGTAACATATTTATTGTTTTTAAACTTGACGAAATTCTTTCCGAAAGAACCCGAATGACTTATGGCCGTAAATATGGCAAGATCTTCCATAAACTGAACAATTTTTGAGTGAGTAAATGGTAGTTAAAATAGAGGTGATGCAAATTTAAGAGAGATGCCTCAGCGAAACATTTTCATTTCCGTAACGATAAAGGTGATTTAAAAGGCTTCCAAACAAACTTTGAAACATTATTTTTACAAGTATCTGTCACAATCTGACACCTGTCAATTAGAGAGCGCGCAAGAAAAAAAAAATCGTAGGAACATTTGAAAACCAACAGAACTAGTTTGGCAAGGACTGTCACGACAATGTTTTCTTAAAAATCAGTTAATGATCTAACGGAAAGTATTATTTACTCTCATCGACCATTCATTCATGTACGAAGATTTACCTCTGTTCATTAAGTAAACGGCGAGGAAAGTAATTGTGAGTAAATTCAATTTTTTATTTTGAAGTTGTGGGAGTTTGCTCGTTTGTTTGCTGTAATGGCGTGTTTAACTCTGATCTTTCCTTCACAAAAACTAAATTCGAACGGCACACTCCAACGAGACACAAGGGAATTTAATGCAGCCTTTTCTCAATTCCTTCAATTTCTGTTGTGCAATTTAAGGTACAAATGTCCAAATTGAACGGAATTGGAAAGACTCACCAGGAGCGTATATTTGTTGTAGAACTTAAATTAAAACTTCGCTCGCTTTTTTTTTTACTATGAACAAATTGCTCGAGAAAATTCAGGTATTAAATGAATGAAAGTTCCATCGTTCAGTTTAACTGTAACCAAATACCTCACGTTTCCACTTTCTGGGTACTTTTTGTGTACGATTAAAATTAATTGCAGACGGTTTTTAGGCCGCTTGTCAACCAACGTAATGACACTATTGTTTATACAAATTCATTCTGAAACCAATATTTTTCTGTCAACCAAAGTGATTTGATAGAGAGAAAAGGGAGGATTCATAAGTTATTTATCGGCTTGAGGTAGTGACCGACGTGTTGGCTTAAAAATACTGCCCAGCCGGAAAACGAGGTATATTTATGAAAAATGACGACGAAAGTTGGGATGTACTCGGCGACTCACGAAAGCGTTACTGTGGCCCGTGGGCAGAGATAGGAAAATACTGACCGAGTAAAGAACCAATCAGATTGCAAGATTCGTTACCATGCCCTCTAAAAAAACAATAAAATCAATTATTTTGAAAAATTATCATTAAAAGGTCACATTTTTCTATATTCTGGACCCGAAGAGAAGACATAAAAATTGTCCGGCGGTGTTTGTGTAATAATATTTATTGCGCTTGTGAAGGAATTTGAAGTCCTCTTTTTCTTTTTTCTCTGATTTAATTGAATCGATGAATGAATCAATGAGTTTATCGAGCGATCTGAAAATGAAACATTTATAGCTACAACCCTCGTCAAGTTTTGTTGAAACATTCGGCTCTTCTTTCGAGGATGAGCTTTTTTCAAGTGGTCCAATTTCCTCGCTACACACTTTGGAAAGAGGTGAAGAGAGAAATCTTTCAATGATTCCGATGAGAACTCGGTAAAGTGATACTTATAAACATCTATAATATTTCCAGGTATTTCAAGGTAACAATGATCAGACAACAGTAATTTCCCATGTGCTGCCACAGCACATCAGGGCTCGTTTCGTCAGGTTCTGGCCTAAGACTTGGACCTATATATACAGAGCCATGAGGGCAGAGGTGTACGGCTGTTTCCTTCAGTAACTGCTTCGGTTCCAATACGGTTAGAAAGGCAAATTCGTAACTTTCAATTGACCAGGAAATGAATTCAAACCACAAGTAGTTAGTACGTGCCGTTTTGTAAAGTATTCAAGTAATTATAAGTAGGCAAGTGAGCTTAATTAGCGAACTGCGAGTTTTGTTTTGTAATGTATTGTAAATCATATTCTGTTTAGTAGTGTAATGTAAGTAACACTACGCTTTATGTCACCGTTAGTACGAGACTGTTAGTATAAGGAAGAAATAAGTACTGGTGATTAATCCAATAAGCACAGTAATGCAATGAGTAGAGCGATGTCGAGTAATGTAAGTAGAGTAATGAAATGTAAGTTTAGTTCTGTACAAATGTTTCTTCAATAAATGTTTATTAAATAAAAAAAAATGTGTTGCCACAGCACATCAGGGCCCGCTTTGTCAGGTCCTGGGTCTATTGTCGGGTCTATCAGTACAGAGCCATTAGGGCAGAGTTGTGCGGCTGTTTCCTTCAATAACTACTTCAGCCCCAGTTCGGTTGGAATAGCAACTTTCAAACTTTATCTTGACCTAGGTATCAGACTCGTAATAATTAGATTTGCAGTTGGAAGTCACAGAATTTAGCTGTCGTAATCGGTTTCAAAAGACTGCAGGTTCTTTACGAGGGTTAAACAATTCACAATTTGTACAATTGGACATAAACTTTTATTAATTTGTTACTAGGATTATTATTTGTAAAGATTTCTAGCAAATATGCTCCTGCTGAGATTGTCATTTAACTTATATACTTAAGGCAAAAAGGACTTGGGTATTCATGGTAATTGCAAAACTAAGGCGTTGAAGCCAAGATCATATAACTTGCATGAACAATCGATCATGGATCAATAATTACGACAAGGGACAAGGACAAAGTTGTTTTGATGCTGCTTGACATAGTAATTTCAACAAACGACTCATATGTTTAAAGAATATGCAAAAAAATATTGAACCCTGCGATGAAACAATCATTCATGGATGACAATTTTGCAGGTGCACGCAATTGCAGTGTCCAAGCAGCAATTCGGAAGTCAAAGTAAAGCGATGGTGAACAGATATGCTAAGCAGGGTGTGGTTGGGATATATAGCGATGTTACTTAGATGCAATGAGGCAAGATTTGTACGATACTTCAGTATGCATACAAATATTTTATAAAGAAAACTTACATTAAGCAGAAACGATAGTTTATCTTTTAGAGGAGTGTTCAATGGATTATACGGAAATCTTTCCGCTTATAATCATGTGATTCCAAGAAGCAGATTAAGCTGTCAACCCCACAAAAGTCTGCCAAAATTTTGATCCGCCATGTTAAAAAATCGGTCCGCCATCTTTAATAAGATGCCTGCTCTTCCCAGTGTCTTCAGTTGCAAATACCGGTACCTCGAAATTTGAATATCAAATACCTTTATCACTCATCCCACGAGTTAAAAAACGATTACAAATACTCCCACTCAATTCATATGGCATGTTGCGACGCACACACAATCCGATGTCGTAATCATTTTTTTTTAGCCTCCTACGGCAAGGAAAGAGTGGCGTGGAAAGTCTTCCTTGTCTTTTCCAGGTTTCATTGCTTTTCGGAGAACTAAGTAAGTATCCACGTTATAATTCGGCTTTATCGTTCGTTATTATAATTTAAGGTAAATTATTGAAAGAGGAAATTGTCTTTGAATGTCTGTGAAATAGAGTGAAAATAGATGCGGAATGTATTTGTGTCATAGGTTACTGGATGAAGCTGTCATGAAGGGACTTATCAAAAACTAGATTTTATGGAAATCACGTGTAGTTGCCATTCGCGATAAAAATCATAGTATATTCTTGAACTTAAATCGATGAAAAAAAAAATAGGGCCGTCACAATATCATGGGTAGGCTAAGATACATTGAAGAGTAATTTGCATTTAAATAAGTGCGCACTGTGTCTGTGTTTGGGTTAGTGTTATGACAACAAACGTTTAATCTTTCAAGTCAGCTTGCCAGCAAGCCCCAGTCATTCCTACCGATAGTGAATATATAAGCATGTATTTTATAGTTTACTTGGAAGTTAGAGAGAAGAAGGAAGACTAAGAATCAAAGTAAATTTGAAGTAAATTTGAGGTAAATTTGATGTATGTAAGTGAGACAGAGAAAAGAAGAGGTGCTAATTGCGTATGAATTCGGGCCGGCTCTTAATGATCTGTGAGATCTGATATTCAACTGCCGTTCAAGACGGAATGAGTATTATGTCAAATTTTCCAGCATAGGTACGACTATTCCAATTTTTTAAGTCCCTGACTTATCTTAACATATCTATTTGACAAAGGCGATTTTTCATAGAAGACGAAATAAACTTGCCTACATAGGGTTCTGACCAACCGAAAGTATTCATGGTTGTGAAGCCATGGCCTCAAGGAATTGGGTTGCTATTTGACTGGGAGACTGACATAAGACTCTGGGTTAGCTGTCAACTTTAAAGCGCTAAGAAAGCAATCTAGAAAATGGAAATTTGAATTTAAGCATCAAACATCAATCAAACTAAAAATAATTGGCCATAACAGTTCTTCTCCCTCTTTGCGTCATAGGAGAGCAAGACAGGGTTTTATTATCGCATAATACATCAAAAGTTAAATTGTTGTTTTTATAAGCCTAAATATTGCGAACATATGCTTTGTCATAGGGACTTTAAATATCTTTTTAATGCCCAATAATTTTATCTACACGCTTGAAGATTGAAAACTAGATACGTCATATCAGCGATATTCCACATAAGCTTAGTGGAAATTTGCTTTTAGCTTTTAAGTTTCCATATCATCAATATATCCTTTGAGCCAGGCGATCAGAAGAATAAGTTAACGAGTGTTTTGAGGCGCAACATAAATTATTAACATCCTTCCAGAGAGCCCATCAACAACGCAATATTTTGTTTTTTGAAACATCAATGAGTGGAACAATCTAGACAATAACCTTAATTTTGATGTTAACAAAACATGGTCATATACCTCGGGCGCCACCTGAGTAATCTATTCAAAATGTTTGATGTTAATTAGTTCTGCTGCGAGGGAATTAACATTGTTTGTTGAAGCAAAACTTTGTAACACATCTAATAAGTCCCTTCACCTGATAAGCAGTTTTAGCCAAAACTTCAATTAAAAATTTAACATTCAAATTTGCAGTTTTGCAACCAACAAATTAAGAAAAATTAAAATGCGGATAAGCATCTCATACCGCTGAACTCTGCTCTGGGAACAACCCCATCAATAGGACCACTATTTGGTGCTTCGAACGTGATACAGGTCCTTTTACGGTTTTTTCTACAACTTCGTTCTATTGGTAATCTAGCCATATCGACCAATGATGAGAAAAACGCTCATTTTTTCAAATTTAAAACTCTTTTTTATCTAGTTGTCTCCAAGCTGGTCAGTCAAGTAATGACTCTGTAACTCAGCGAACGACTGACTTCGCGTGCAAACAACAACTGTTAAGTGAAATTGTACCGTAACTGTCATAATGATTTTTTTCATGTCAGAGCTTTGAATCTTTTATTATCAATAAATAACAGGATTTCGTTCAGTAAGGAGCCACATTTTCATGCCTCATTTTCATTCTCTATGTCTTTTTTAACTTAACCTTTGTTCTTAATGTATTTCATATTGTGTGAACAAATTGATAATTTTGGACTCGATAACTAAACAAAGTAGAAATCTCATGTTCGCATGACAGTAAAAATCGGAAAAAATTATCTTATCCTCTGATTTAGTTTACTCTATCATGTGCAACCTCGGGAAAAAGTTTATCTTCTTAAAACCAGCGAGTTTGCTCAACCTTGCAGAGAAAAGAGTTCAAGAATAAAAATTAACCTGCTAGTATCGTGCGCTAAAGCTTGCTGGCTCTCTGAAGACGTCGCTGGCATCCTACCGTCTGTTTGCACTGTTAGATGTGTTGAATAATGAACGAGATATGGAATTTTTAGTGCGCTCCCACACTTAACAATGCGTGGTTTGTATATGTATTCTTCGTGGAAAGACAACCCGTTGTGTTTCAATTTGATTCGGCAGTTAAAATTTTTCTCAAGAACTTTCTGTTTTCTCTTGCTAGCCCAGAGACTTCTTGCAGAGAATTAATAACAAGTGAGGTTTCAAAAGGAAAACTCACCAGCTGTTAGTCATATGTTTCCGGTCATTAGATTTTACTTAACTTTTGCGCCTTTGAATTTAAATTACATAGTATTTGGTGACTGAGATGAAACCGCTACGGGGAGATATTTCGAATCTTTAGTTACAACGTGTAAGGGCAACGGTCTTTGCTTTGAGGCGGGAATAGGAAAAGGAGCTACTATTGCATGATTGATGAAGAATGCATTCCCTTTTTCTGTCAACGTTAGCTGACAAACCCCCTAAATAAGGCTTTGCCCTGATACTTGTTTAAATTATTTTGTAAAAGGAGACATGAAAAGTATTTCTTACCGCTTTCCTGTACTCAATTCCACTCTCCTCTGACTTAATCAAGTCTTCAGCTGTATGAAATACCAGGAGCTTTATCTTCAATAGAAAATCACCAAACCAAACGTCCTTTATAGAAAATTGTGCTTGAAAGGACTTAAGTAAAAGCACTTTGCATTTTCTTAACAAGAAAAGGAAAAAAATTGATGATAATCTCAAGTCTTTTTCGTTTTTCTTAATCTTTTTTTTTGTTTGTTTGTTTTAGGAAAATGACTGCACCCCTCACTAAAGGCGTCATAGCAACTTACGTTGTGATTATTTTTTGGCAAGTACGTGTGTCATTCTCTTCAGGCGCGCAATGCCAAAACGTTACCTACTCCTCTCAAAATCGCGTCTTGACAAATCACGCGTTCGCCACCGAACCATTCGCAACCATCAAATCTTGCGTGATATTCTGCAAAGAGAGGCCCAAATGTAAAAGCATAAACTATTACCAAACAACAGAGACTTGTGAGATGAATACCATGAACGCAGAGTTGTCCCCAGAGAATATGATGGACTTTAAAACAGCCGTCTACATGACGATTGCCCCTTGTTACTATGACAAGGAATGTAGAAGTCAAGAGGAGATATGTCTGGTCCAAGAGGGCGGACGCAAATGTAAAGGTAACGTTCATATTTTCATCTACCTTTGCCGACTTTATTCGAAAAATCTGCTCGGAGGCTCTTATAGCTAAGGCAATAACTATATTTGTATCAGAATGGATAACAACAGTCTTGAAATAGCAGGACACGGCCATTCATTCACTCTTTCACAAAGGCTTACTCAGAGAATTATGAAAAAAGTTCCAGGATCATAGACGAAGCAGGTCCATTAGTCGCTGATATTGTTGATGCTGTTTTGTTGCTAATGTTAGTTGATTGAATGATTCTGCAAACATGACTGCTAAATATATTAAAAAATAAAGAAAGTTTTACGACAAACGGTAAACGTAAAATCTAAAGGAAAGACGAAAAGATGTGTGATTATAAGGACTACACCTCCCTGTGGAATGCTTAAAATTGTTGAATCGAGACAATGCTGAAGGAAATTATATTTTGGAAGAAGGTTTATCTCAACCTGCAATTAGGCCCAGGTTGTGCTAGAGCTTTTTTTTTTGTTGTTGTTTTTTTTTTAATGAAAAATCTGTCTATAAGAAGTGTAAAGTAAGTGCGACTCCCAGTTTGAAAAAAATTTCAAATTTTTGAAAATCGCCATATCTTCGCCAATTTTCAAGGACCTGATGTCCTGCCTCAGATCGAGGCTGCCAAGTTTTGGCAAAACAAACATTCCTGCTTTTTAACCATTTAGCTGTCATGATATGCAAGATATGTCGGGATGAAATTTCATCAGGAAAAAAAAATTCAGGCACGCTAGTCTAGTTTTAGCGTCGGACGGCAGGGTCTGCCCCTTTTTCTTTTGAGAGAAACTAACTTAAGCGCCGCTTTTATTCAAATGTCTGTGACTCGTACCCTAGCTACGTTTGTACTTGTAACAATTTGAAAAACTATGGCTTCTACGAGAAATTGTCCTTCCGTTGAAAGTAGTGAAGCCAGTACAAGTAGAAGTAGTGCAAGTGTCAACCAAAACGCAAAAGACAAGTAGGAAAAAAGGATCGTTCCTCGGTAGCAATTCGCGTGGGATATTTTTTCTATCTCTTTTTAGGAGATGCATTTATGACTGACGTATGAGTCAATTGGTAAAGGTTTGATCAAAGGATATTAGCTTGATGCAACCGCCGCCAGAATTTGGAAAGTGCGAAAATTTTGCCACATTTTTGTTTGCCGAAAATTGGAAAATATTTGAATTCGCTCTAATGCAAACCGGCCCCTATTTTTATCTGCTGTTTCGTTTTTTCCGTGTATTCTTGGCAAGACCTATTGATATAGTTACAGCAGTAATGGAGAAAGGAAAGGTATAAGAGACGAAACTGGTTCTTTGCTACATTTTGGGTACTTCTCGATGTAGCTGTAATCACATGACTCCTTTTTCTCGGTGGTAAAGGGGGTGGGTCGAGGGAAAAATTAGAATGAAATGTTTGCCGCTTTTTCAGCTTAAGATGACAAGGACCTGCTCTATCAACCGAATGACTTAATTTTGTGGTTATGATAATCGTATTATCAGATAATAAGAACTTGCTATTCTTTTAAAAGCATGCGTGAATGAGGCCTTAGGTCTTGAAGATGGAAGGATTCCAGACTCAGCTTTTAGTGCTTCATCTGTCGAGAGACCGGATACTGTACCCGAACGCCTTCGCCTGAACTCTGCCACGGCTTGGAGTGCAAGCACTAGTGACAAAGAGCCGTGGGTTCAAGTTGACCTCGGAAAGGACGTGGTGATCAGAAAAATCGCTACCCAAGGGAAACGTGGTGCCGGTCAGCACACGAAGACTTACATGCTTTCATCGCGCGCTGACGGAGAAACTGACTGGGTTATGTACAACGAGGACAACGTTGAAAAGGTTAGTCAGGTGTTAGCATTGAATTTCATTTTTAAGATGAAGAAACTTCCATATTCTGGACCCGAAAAGGTTCATGAAATATATTATGCAATTTTTGTGTTAATACAGAAGCGCTTTTGAACGAACATAAATCCTTCCATATCGATATTCTTTGAAGTATACAACCGAAGATTAAATCTAAGAATCAATCCGAAGATCCACGGCCTAATAATTTAGCTAATGCACCAACTTTGCTTATTTTTCTAGGTATTTCAAGGTAATAATGAGGATCGAGACACGGTGGTTTTCAATGTGTTGTCACAGCACATCAGGGCTCGCTTTGTAAGGTTTTGGCCGAAGACTACGAAAAATCACTACAAAACAATGAGGGTAGAGCTTTACGGTTGTTTCCTTCAGTAACTAAAACAGCAGCCTTCAGAACTGTAAATTGACTTAGAATTCAACTCAGGTCAGCTAGACCAGCATCGAATGGTATATCTGAGTGGTGTTCACCATGTCAAAAGACAACATCGATTCCGAAATGCGTGCTTCGGATACGAAGAGCTTTGCAATGCACCAAAATGGATAACACTAGTCGAAATTAGACTTAAATGATTGGCTTCACGAATATCATATAATTGATCGGCAGAAATATTCTCGTGGGAAATATATCATGGGTATTTAATTGAGGACTTTTCGGTAAAAAATGCACCGTACTGATAATATCTTTGCACAGTTGTCAAGAGTTATCGCAATTACTAATACTTTGTTAAAAACTTGTAATAAAATTTCATTCGGTGTACGTAATAAAAGTACATATCTGATATTCTGACAGAACTTTCTAATCAAATGATTACACTGAGATAAAAATCTTTAAAAGGCAGACTTTTGCAGCGGCCTAAATATGAAAGTGAAAGGGAAAAACATATGTATGCCTTCGTTTTAGTTTTGAAAATATGTTAATAAATTTTTTGAAATTTCCTAATAACTCAAATATGCCTTGCTACCTTTCCGATTTCGAAAGTATTTTTCTTAGCCTAGTGAAGTTTGTAAACAGTGATACGATATTTCCATCAGAGCAAAGAGAAACGAATGAGGAAAAAGAAATGAAAAAAGAAAGAAGAAAAAAAGAAAAAAGACGTAGTATCAAGAGGGGTGCCGCTCGCGCTCAGTCTCTCCCTCTCCTCTTCGTTTTCTCTTGCTTCCTTCTCATTAATACCCCGAACCATCAATTTATTAAATGAACGCCCGGACAGGCTATATTCCTTTAAAAGTTTTTAACGCTAAAAAAAAGTAGAAAACACGCTGTATTATCAATGATGCTTTCCTTTTGTAGATGATATTGGAAGCCAAGTTCCGATGTTATTCATCTCGTTCTACGTCATCGCTTGTTTGTGTAAATTGCCTCTATCTGAAACAGTACTTTGAACTTTAGCGCGCGTTATCTATTTTTTTCTCGCTACCATGACAATGTGAATTCGTTAAGTCCATACTAGTCGATCGTAAGTTGTTTTAAAATGACATTCCTCGCACAAGAAGCCTGGAAACAAAAAGGTAGAGATATACGAATACGAATTAGAGATATAAGAAGCTCCCTGTAGCCTGTATGCCTTGAAAAACATGATTAAAGACGCAGTAAGACGTCTTTGGGTTAAGGTGTCCATACTAGCAAGCCTGAGATAGTCTTTGTACTCAGTAGATCTACCTAGATCAAGCACAGTTCTTAACGCGTAACTTTTACATGAACAGGTGTTAGTCATGAAGAACTTTGAGGTAGAATATTCACTCGCCACGGTCAAATAGGCCTATTGCAGGACATTGACTTTTTCAGGCGACTTAGGCTATTTGTAGATAACTGAGAGCTCATTCATCAAAATACAGATTTGGTTGCATCAAACATCATGTGGCATCAGCATCAATAGTACGCTTGCATCAAATGGAATAAATCCTGATAGCAGTCACAAGCTATACTCTGTTATTACGACGTGAATGATAGATACTTTGAAATTCAAGGGCCGATAGACAGAGGCATTTTTTTCTGAGGTAGGTAGGTGGATATCTAAGTCAAATAAAAGTAAATGCATTAATGGTATTTATGCAGAAGTGACTGAGAGACCGACCGTATGACTATCAGAGAAAGTGACTATTCAGGTTAATGCCTCACTGAATTGGCTGAATGACTCACCCACACCCAAATTTACAAAATAAAAGAAGACTGGCCGACTGAATGAAAGACCGTTGAACTGTTTGGCATTGGCTAGTTGATTGAATGAGTACTGCAGTTCGCAATCCAGAATGTCTGAACGCTTGCTTGACACAGACTACACGACGGATCTATTCATTGACTGGCTGACTGACCGTTAGAGGGACCGCTTGACTAATTGACTGCTTGTTGGATTTATTACTTGACAAAATGAATGATTGACTGATATAATGACCGAGCGCATTAATGACTGACTGACTGACAGGTTGTGCGACTAACCAACGGACTGGACGATACTGACTGACAGACAGCCGGGAGTGACTAACCGATCGATACACAGACGGTCTAACTGACTTAATGACTGGTGGTATTTCTAACTGACCGGCTAAGTCTAAAAAGCTGATTTGCGTACTCATTCCCCTTCATGGCTAATGCGCCTGCTTTCCATATTCTAAACTTGGCAATCTCTTTCTCCAATATTCACTTAATTTTAAATCTGGTATAAATGACTGCTGATCGTTCCAAGTTCCATTGCTATTCTCTTTGGTATTTTATACAACGAATAGAACTTATGTTCTCTTGTAGCAACCTATAATGAAATTAACTTCATAAGATGTAAATAATGAATTCACATATATCACATCCTGACAGAACATCCTGCTTAAATGATTATACTTGGATTAAACTCCATCCAAGTGCAAGCCTTTGAACTGCGGTAAAAATAAAACAATTACACAAGCCTTCGTTTCGATTTTAACAATATGCCATTTTAACTTTTAACAATGGCTCGATTTTGCCATCAAAGCGAGAAAAATTGAAATCAGAAAAAGAAGAAAGAAAGAAAGAAAGAATGAAAGAAAAGGAAAAGAAAGGAAGAGAAGACAATATTCAGGGTATAATCCCACTTCTTGTGTCTCTCTCCTCTTTTCCTTCTTTTATTTCTCATATTTTGCTTCCTTTCAATTTTTACACTGCACCGCCATCTACTAACTAAACGCCTCGACAGGCTCTATTCAGTCTTAATAGCTCTTATAGGAAATATATGGAAAACATGCTTTATTACTGATGGCGTTTCTTCGTTTGGGTGTTATTGGAAGCCAGATTCTGATACAATCCATTTCGTACTACATGAGGGATGTTTGGTCCAATATGCCTCGATCTGAAACAGTAATTTGATCTTCTGCGCGCGTGCTCTCTTCTGTCTTTATCATGACAATGTGTATTTTCAAAGTCAATAGTTGTTGATCGTAGTCGTCTTAAAATCACATTCCTCACACAAGAAGCCTGGAATCAAAAAGGAGGGTAATATCCAATTCACTCAGTAGCCTACAAAGAAGTAAGCTAATTTTGATAAATGTACGTGTAATAGAACAAGGTATTATCATCAGAGAACTTTGACGTTAAATTTATCGCACACTCGATACGGTCAAATACGTTCATTGGAGGCACATTAATTCTTTTAGGCGACACTTTCGAAAGGTTTGGGTAGACCTGAGAGAGTGGTTACCAAACAAGTTTTGTTATTTATAGATAACTGAGAGTTTTTTTTGTCGAAATATAGATTAGTTAAGTACGGTCAAGTTGCAGCAAGTCAAATTATAAGATCTAAATGAATTTAAATTCATGAATCCAGTGTTAACTCATACATCAGACGAAAATGATAGGTACAAGGAAATTTGAAGACCTATAGATAGAATCATCGTTTCTTCTCGGTAGACATTCAATAAGTCAGTTGGCAGTAAATGCAATGATGATGTTTATGCAAAGTATGGACAGATATTACATAAGAAGAGGTTTTCTCAGCAATCCAGATGTAAATATGCACCTGTTCGATCATGCATTTCCTCATTAATTTGGCTCTGACGTTTCTGATACACTTGATGACAGAAATGTACTTGACAGACATTTCAATGATAGGCCAGACTAACACAATTTCCTCTTAGCCTAATTTTCATAATTTTTTTCGGTGGGCAAAGCTCGTCGTGTGACAAGGAAATTTGAAGATCGACAGAAATTATCATCTCTTTGTTGCTAATCGAATAAGTATCAATGGAGTAATAACATCTATGCAAAATAGAGACAGTTACAGCGTAAAAACCGCTTCTTCCATCGATCCAAATGTAAACATGCTCCTTTTCAATCAAGCATTGCGTCATTAATTTCGCACTGACGTTTCTGATACAGTTGATGACAGAAATGCACTTGACAGATATTCCGTTGTAACCAGGGCTCTGAATTTTTTAAGTAGTACTACGAGATCTAAACGAGATTGGCCTGGTGAGGGTTAATTAGTAGATAAGTATTTTCCCGAAGGTTCTACTTCCCCTTCAATCAAAAATGTTGACTTTTTCTCGTTCTAGGAAGCAAGGGCTGTTGTGCAAGTAGTTGTTGTTTTTCATGGGCGGTCGATCTGCTAGAAGAACGAGTCAACCAACGATTTCACGATTCAAGCGCCATCATTGCGAAAGAAATTCTCTGGGTCAATCTTCAATATCTGAGGTCCAATGGCTTTAACAATCAAATAAGAGGAAATGGAGCCCTTGTTTTGACGGCGAATCTGCTTTGGTTCACTTACGTTTTCCCAGAAAGGCAGATAGAAATGCACATTCAAAATATTCGAACCGTTAAAGTTGGTAGAGCTAGGGGATTATCTCGCGCTTTGATAATCGATTTCGTCGAAACCACCACTGGGAAGGACGACCAAGTGGTGTTTGCGATCAGGCATCCCAAAAGATGGAAGAAGTGGATTAACGAAACGGTTCAAACCTCAGAAAATTCTATGCCGCCTTCATATTGGTCTGTGTTCAACCCCCTTCAAATGTGAATATGCAACATCTCACTCGACTGTTCAACTGTTAGACAATATAACTGATTAGTTATTATCGACCACTCTTGTGCAAGAGGCGCCAAACTCCTTGAACAGCGAAGGTTTCTTTTATGTGCTGCTGATTTGACAACTTCTAATGCTTCACATCTAAATTACCAAAAAAGCTAAACTCTTACTGAAATTGTCTACGCTTGGAAGTTGTCGATCATTTATCAAGTGAAGATTTGGCACACGTGGTCAAAGTCGTCTACTGTGCAGGGAAAAAAAAGTGTCAACCTTAGTTATAGATCTAGGAAATTAGAAGATCTGAATTCTCACTTTGAGCTTTGACAGAATAAAATGGGAAAACTTTCTTGCCAGTATAATTCTTTAAACAGTGAAGATTATGCACTGATTATCACATATGAAAAAAAACAAACAAAAAAACCAATTCTTATATGGATAAAAATCAGCAAAGAATGGCTGAAATTAGAAGATCTGAATTCTCACTATGAGCTTTGACAGAATTAAAAGGGAAAACGTTCTTGCCGGTATAATTCTTTAAACAGTGAAGATTATGCACTGGTGATCACATATGGAAAAAAAACAAAAACAAAAAAACAATTCTTATATGGATAAAAATCAGCAAAGCACACCACTGTGGTGTTCTTTGCTGATTTTTTTGCTGATTTTTTTTTGGATTTTTTTTTTTTTTTTGTGACACCTCTACACTTTATCCCCTCCCTCGATTGCCATAATGAGGATAGGAAGAAAATGAAAAGGTAAACCAGATTCTTCCGCTGATATTTTAGCTGTTTTATAGGCCAAAGTTGGCTATTTGTCAGAAAATAAGAACTCTCGGGCTCTAATAAAACCATACCAAAGAAAACTGTAGAAAATGCCCAATCTTGAACTTATGCCAGGCTATCCTTCCTCTAATGTCCAAATGTCTATTGACCAGCATACTATATATTTGATGGCTAAATATCTTATGAACCCAAAATTCTCCGATGATTTCACTAAGGAAACAGCTAGTTTGTTTCAGTAGTACCTAGTAGTGGCCCACCTCACCAAAGAGTTCTCTATACCTCAACGGAGCACGAAATCTAAAGATTTTCAGTTTCGATTATGGTTTCATAACGACTCAAAACTTTCTCGGTGCTCAGCACTTGTGATAAGAGGAAAAACATTCTTTCTGAAGGCAGCACATGCTTTTGTCTTCAGTACAACATCCTAAATATATCAATGAGCTAATTTGTGTAAAGTAATCGTTTCATTGAGCTATTTGTGCTGAGTAGTTTTCCGTGACGTGCCACAAGGTGACGCGGTATCTTCTTCGCCTGTTAAAGGTATTCATTCAGTACACAGCGAAATAGCAAAGGTACCGGTAGAGAGAAAAGAGAGGTTGTGTTGGGAAAACCTAGACCAAATTCCAGTATAAAAATCTCAACACCTAAACACAGAGCCAGGAAATAGGCAGGTGGGTGATAACTGAGCGCATTTTTTCAGTATGGAAAGCTGATATGTTGGACTGGAATACAGTGTGCGATATGCTTTAAGATTGAAATTGCCGAATACTCACAACGGCGAATGAAAATTCTTTCTACTGCATTCCTTTCGTTTAGTTAGTAGCAATTTCAGTTACACGTTTTCGCCAGAGATCAGCTAGATAAACGAATGAAAGGTATAATAAAGTACAACTCTGACGATTTCAAGGCCTCTGAAGATGTGGATCGAAATAATATCTACAAGCTTACTAACAGTGCTATGCTGCCTAAATCTATGGCTCTTCTTGTTGCCGGATTGCCAAGATCTTTTTTGTCTTCCGTGGATGCAGTTAATCTCGTGCGATATGTAATGATATTTCCTTGAATTCGGGGTTTTGAAAGCTACAGGGACTGTATACTATTGAACTGGTAGAGACAAAGTTGAAAAGACAATTTTTCTCTAGTGGTTTTCCTTGGTACTTGAAAGTGTTTGAAATCCTCTCTTTATCGCAGGAGACATGGGTTGTTGTTCAAGTTGTTTCTGCGTTGTTCATTTGGAGGGAAAAGTTAACGCACGCTTTCAGAATTCAAGCGCCATCATAGCCAAAGAAATTCTCTGGGTTAGCCTTCGATATCTGAGGTCTAATGGCTGTTGTCAAGTAAAAGGAAACGGAGCCCTTGTTTTAACGGCAGATTTACTTTGGTTCTCTTATCTTTGCCTGAACAGACCGATAGAGATAGGCATTCATAAAATTCGTTCAGTTAAAGTTGGGTCGGGGAAAGTCATGCTTGATTTTGTCGACACAACCACAGGAATAGAGGACCAAGTTGTGTTTTCTATAAGAGATGCACAAATGTGGGGAAGAATAATCAAAGAAACCGTTTATAAGTCAGCGAATTCAATACCGCCCTCCAAAAACGACAACAACACAGCTTACTCCGACTGAAATGTGAATTCGTAATATTTCCGCCTATTGATATTGTTTTTGTAACGATCTTTCCTAATGATGCTTCTTATTTAAAGCTACTCAGCTGACTTTTTAATGAAGCATTTTTTTTTATAGATTCCTCTCAAGTAATCTAGTTAGGGCAGACTGGTTTGTTGGCCTAAGGCTGTTTCAAGTACTCGCACTCTTTATACACAATCATCCTTTGTGAAGAGCCGTTGTGTAAATTGCTGCAGATTAGAAATATAGGTCTCTCGTCGAGTTTACACTTCAAAGTGCTAAGAAAAAAGAGCAATCTGTTTTGTGTGAGATCCTACTGAAGAGAAGACTCGATCTCTCGCTCGCTTCTTGATGATGTAGAAGCGCAAAGACGGCCATAAGTTTTATTCTTGCCACAACGAAGAGTGAGCGAAATGAAAATTGTATTCTTTAGTTTGTTAATAAATTTGTAAGAACCAATAACTGTTTTTACGTCATAATTCTTGATCGCGTTGCAACAAACTAAAGCATGATCAAATTGATTTCCATTCTCGAACCTGTTAAATGTAAAATTTACAGATACAAGAATGTAATATTTAATTTTCTTCCATGAAAGTCTCTTTTTGTGGTTAAATTTGAAGCCAAATCGTATGTTTTTAGTTTAATCAATTTTTGCCATTTGTGTATTCTAACTTTGAGAAGATTAGTCTGCGATAACATGACCTCAAATTAATGTACAAACGTTCATTGACTTAATCCCAAAGTACGTAAAAAAATGATTTACCCTCACTCCAGACCTGCCAGGAAGGCGATCTGCCAATCAATTCACCTGTATAATCCTGAAGACTTGCTTCGATTTGAAACAACGTGCTTTGTTTCGTATATGAAAAAATATACCACTACATGACTACCCACGCGTACATGAATGTGTGGCAGGACTTTAACATTATCGAAATTACAGATGGGTGTGTTTGTGAGTGTATGTTCTTTTAGAGTTATTTCTCAACACTTAAACCTGTTTCTTTTCTTCCTCTTTTTAGAAAACATGGGCTGTTGTTATAGTTGTTTGCCTCTTGCAAGTTGGACTCATGAACTTGAGGGGCGAGTCGCACAGCAATTTGGTAATATCGGTGTCATAGAGAGGGAAATACTTTCGGTCAACCTTCAATATTTGAGGTCTAATGGCTCTCGTCAACTTGTAGGAAATGGAGCCCTCGTTTTGACATCAGATTTGCTTTGGTTCAATTACCTTCGTCCTGCGAACAGACGGCTAGCAATACACATTCAAAACATACGTGCAGTTAATGTTGGCAGGTTCGCTTCAGGTAGCATCCCAGCGGCTAGGATGCTACCTGAATCGTTGATAATAAATTTTTTCAACGCAGCCAAAGGAGTGGAAGACGAAGTAGTGTTTATGTCCAGCGATCCGAGCAGATGGAAAGCACTCATTAATGAAACTATATACAAGTCTACAAATCTTTTACCACCGCTTGAACCATATACATTTAAATGAAGAGCAGTTTAAAGAGAACACTCACGGAAACAAAGAATGATTATGGCATTGACGAGATATATAAGCACCTTAGCCTTCTTTCATGAACTCAAAACTTTTTGAAAGAAGTTACGCGCGAAAAACCATCGATCAGAATTTAATCATTTACCAGTAGGGAGGTCTGTATCCTGAAAAACTACATATGCTCGAGAGCTTGAATGCCGTCTAAGGCCGTAAGTCGAGGGCAGTATCCAGGACCTAGGGCACAGTTTTTCCCAATGCTGACCGACCTAGGCCGCTAGTTATTTAAAAAAAATTATTTTTTCTAAAACTAAACGAAATGGCTGTAAAAATAACCCGTAAGTACTTAAGTAAGACTTTAATTAAAGAGGGTTACATATGACAGTCGTAAAAGTACTGATGGCGCTCGTCACACAATAAAAAGACCTCAAAATTGTTTATTATAAACAGCTCAATTCATTAACAGAGCTACATGGTCATGCTGATTATTAAGGCCGAGGAAACACAAGGTAACAGTGCCGGCAAAGCCTATGATATGAACTGATTTTTCGCACTGGCTTTCACAACTAAGGTTTTGTATTTAGCACTAACAACTAAGTGCGTTCGGTCTCTAATTGCTCCGCACATTTAGATTTAAAAAACCGTGCAGTGTGAGGCAGGGATCATCTTGTCTCCTTTTATTGCAGCTTTAATCCAAAACGTTTTGTAGAAAGTTTACCAGTCAACGTTTGACAGTTAACAGTAGCCAGAGAGCGTTTTAAAATTAAGTTGTGAATTAAAACTCTCTTATGAATGTAGAGCTAGACTAGTTTACAGTCTCAATAGACGCTAAATCCTACCAGCAGCTGATAAATAATTCCCGTTATTTCACTATTAACGCAGTTTCTTATTAAGAGTAAATGTCAGTAAAAATTAAGGAAAATTCAAAAAACGTGGCCACGGTCAAAAAATCGATTGCGCTCATACTTTGTCAGTTTGAAGGCCTAGGTAAGTAACTGAAGGATATGAGGTTAGTTTTTTGAAATATTCCATATAACGGCAGAAAACCAAGAAAAACGGTCACCCTACCGGAAGCTCGGATTTCACCTAGCGGAAACTCGAAATTTTACACTTTTCAGCTTCTCGCTACACAGACGTTTACATAGCTGTGAATCTTTCTTAAGTATAATTGAATACATTGATTCTTCCTTAGTCAAAACATGGGAATTATTTTTATCTCTGCTTATTTGTGAGCGAACTGAGACCCGATTAAGAAGACACACTTTTCTCATTTACGCGAAGGTGTAAAATAATCCAAACTCAGCGACGAAAAAAGCTGACCGGTAGTTCTTCAAATCCTCTGATATTATAACCAAAGACAGTTCAGTCATTGATTTTTAGGTCTATGGTTTTAAATCTTTAGGATCTAGTAGCACTTTTGCATGAACGCCGATCAAAATTCGATAAAATTCCAATTGAGCGCCTTTGAAATCTACAACTCTACATAACAAAGCACTATTGAATAAATTAAGTCCTCGGCCAAAGTTTGTACATAAAACATAAGGTGATTCGCTCCTGTGATTGAAGGGCTACTTTATGTTGAAGATTTCACCACTAACTGATTTTTGCGTACATGACCGTACATGGAATTTATTTGCACTTGTAGTAGTATAGTCAACTGAAAAATTAAATTAATATGACAAAGAATTACACATGTCGATTTCGGTTGAAGCGACGGGAAAAAATATTATACTTACAATTTGTGTTCCATATGCGGCTAGTAAGCTTCGAAGTGCGATCTGTGGTGACACTTTTGAAATGTAAGTTGCGTAACGAACTTCTAGGTTTTTAAATAATTAGTCATCTGATCTATTTTTGCCGCGTTGCGCTAAGATAATTAAATATTCACAAAAAAATGACAAACGGCTTGAGAAATGCAAATCATAAGGGTTTTGCTTTTTTAGCGGTTTGAAACGTTTTAAAAATATATATTAATGTTAAATATTGTCTACACAGGTAAAACAAACTATGAAACACCAAAATTACGACGAGCTGAAATTAAATCTCACAGGCTCGCTCCCTAATCTGCGTCACGCACGAGCGACTTAGCTACAATTAGTACAGTAACAAACAGATATTTACATCCGTTGATTTTAAATAAGTCGTATTTTTAAAATATCTTACTCAAAGATGTGCCAGGTTTCCCAGTTAACTTGCTGAAAAAAAAAGAAAACCTTAATAGTAATTCTAGTTCAATTAGAATTGATTTTATTTAGTATGAGAAGTTTTTGTGCCGTCGAAAACCAATCGGAAGTAACTGTTTCCACGAAAAGCAAATATTGCATCGTTCTCTAAATAAACAAATCTACTTAACCATATCACCAGAGTATGTTGTTGGCGAAGTTAATAGACATACATAACAACGACGTCTTGCTCGTTCTTGAATATTGTCGGTGGGATTTGCGGCGCAGACGAACGCACTTGCTAAGTAACTTCCAATGGCTAATTTCTACCCTTACTCAGCTTTCGTCACACTGCTCACGCTGTGTAACAAGGATATAAAACATCGCACGAAGTCCTAAAAAACTCTCCGGACTTGAACCAGAATTGATTTTAGCAAGATTGCGTGTTTTTAAAAGCCAACGAGTTTATTGGAGATGACTACCCGTACCGTCTCATCGTGTCACTTAGGCATAACCTGACAAGATGTCGATAGTTTCGACTCCTGATGGCCGAGAGAACTCGGATTTCTTTTTTTCCGAGTACGCCTGTGTCACTTACTGAATAATACATCATTCTCATTTATTCACCAGGCTTAAAAATATTCCATTGCGCGTATGCCACACATGACATTCCAATCCTAGGATGCAAGTTAATTTATTCAATAGTGCATTGTTATGTAGAGTTGTAGATTTCAAAGGCGCTCAATTGGAATTTTATCGAATTTTGATCGGCGTTCATGCAAAAGTGCTACTACATTTAAAAAGGACCTGCAAAACTCCTTCAAACTGAGACCACGGTAGCAACTTTCCAGGACCCACATTAAATGCTCTTCACGCTCGTATTCCGTTCTCCTCATACTTGAAGTTGTTGAGTAAGCTTACACCATCCCATTTGACGTGCCGAGTGCTTGACTCTATGGCTGTTTTGAGCTGAATTTCTGTTGTCACATCATTGCCCTCGTTTACATATCTTCCAATGTCTCCTTTAATAGTCGCTGCTTGGCGGTCGCATATTCCTTTTCCACCTTGAGGATCGGAAAAGTCGTTCCGTTCCACGCCCACGCCAGCAATGTCGCCTGCAAATTTTGCTGAAACGATAGTGTATCCGCTGTGGTAACAGCCGGCATTATCTTGTTTATAAAACGCCCTTTCTAATTCCGGCATTTCCTTCTTCAGCGAAACAAGACAATCCTGCATTATCGATACCACTACAGCACTGTCTTGTAAACAGTTCTGAAAGACATGTACGAATGTTTGAGACTCAAACTGCTCGCCTTCTTCCGACTTCCTAATAGCAACTGTTATGTGCCATGGTAAACCGCGCTTAGCAAACCAGTCTGATTGCGGCTCCCGAAATTTTCGTGGCATAAATTTCATTGCCCAATCCTGCACTAGTAACACGTCGCATTTGCTCTTCATTTTAGCTAGAACAGAACATTTGGCCTGATTTTGGTGAACGGAGCGCAACTGGTGGGCTTTCCAGCTCATGATATTATTTCTGGCCTGCTTAACAGCGTGTAGCATGTCCGATTTCTGCTCCTCGTTACAAACTGCACTTGAACACTCACTCTCCAAGATACTTAGAACTTCTTGCAGCTGGCAACACTGTGCACATGTTTCGTTGCGTGAATGACTGCAGTGGCCTTGGAAGTCAGAGTCTGTTGAGTCACTTAAGGCGTAAGTCCTACAATGATCAGCAATGCTCGAAGACTCAACCACATGGACCTGAACAAGCCGAAGACAACAAAAACGTAAACAATTTCAATCACCGCATTTCCTCCAATAAGCGAGCTCCTCTTAAGTAAATCGCCCTTGGAACAAGCGCCCAACCTCTATATTAGGAGCCCCTTCCTGACTCGATCCAGCGCCCGGGCACTTAGCGGAGGAAATACAGTAATTATATCGTCCTGATCTTAACTACTATTTCTATAAAACAATTACATTGAAAAGGCCGACGGTCCCCCTTTGTTTTCAAAATGTATAAATATAACTTACAGGTTATCGACAATAATTCCTTCCTTAGTTACGCACGAGAGAACCTGGAACTAGTTCAAGTATCAATATTATGCATTTTCAAAGATTTGAACTTTAGGAAAATAATTTGCCTGTGTTGTTGCATCAACTTTCTGTCAGTTTTGCGCCTTTCTTTTGAAGTACTTCATAACAAACCGTGTAATAAAATAAATCAAATACCTTGTAGTCACTTTTCAGGTATTGCTTTGATGAGCGTAACTGTTGCTTCATTTCCTTGGCCCACACTTCTGTTTTTCCACAATCAACCAGTTTATCGACCACTTTGTCCAGGTCATCAAATGCCTCTGCTCCTTGAGATGAAAAGTTATCAAGTCCTTGAAAAGACTTCCTAACAGACGTAGAACACTCATCTAGCACTCTATGCAGTGTTCGCCTGCTCATGGGCTCAAAACCTCTTTCACTGCAATATTGTTGGTACTGTTGAACAATACGCCCCGGAATCATCATTCTGATTACATTTGGTGTTTTAATAACCTCACCGGTTGATAACTTCAAAAGCCTTTCGCCAAATGGAACATCTTGAATCACATGTGAACTTGTGATAAATGAAATGAAATCTTCCAATTTTCCTTGGTCAACTTTCATTCTCCTGTTTTCTTGGCGAGGAATCGGTTCTGCTCTTCCATGAAGCAGGGTGTGGTGTCGCGCTATGTCAGAGCGGTAACTTGTCAGGGTTGGGATGAGTTCTTGCACCTCTTTGAAAGACAACTTGTCAGCCAGGATTGAGAGTATTTGCCGACGGGTACTCCAGTGTTGAGCGTTCAAATAACTCTCGGCAAACGCTTGAAGAAGCTCCACTTCCTTACAACTTTTCCCGCCAGTTGTTCTTCGATTCACTTCGCGCTCACATAATTCCCTCCACAGGCAATTCGAATCTTCAGGAGCAAGGACTTCCATTACTGCTGAAGCACACTGTTCAGCTTTTCTCAAATAACGGCGTTTAGTACGGCTTTGAGCTACATTCCATGGTACTGATAGTACGTGGCGGACTGGGCTGGTGTCACGAAGCTGTAGAAAGCGATTGAGCTGTTTGAGGGATTCACCTTGCACATAGTTTATGTCATCTTCGCTTTCTTGCGAATCTTCGTCTGGCACGTAAAGGCTCGCTCGTTTAGATCTACCTTCTTTGCATTCAGTATCAGTGATCGGTACAGGAAGGGAAATATCAGTGTCAGCTTCATGATCGACCTGTAGTGCGAAAAAATTAAAATATTTTCTATATACAATGAACAAAAGATTCGCCCACGATTCGTGGGCCGGTTCGACATTTCTAGTAAAGTTAGTGTTAAAACACCTATGACTTCCTTATATCATTCACGAACCCTGCTTCCGACTCTGGATTACCAAGTTTTCCAGTTAAACATTAAATTAACGAAATTCTAATTAAGAGCTGTCTAATTTCGGCTGCCATGAACACATATCATAGGACAAGTAATTTAACAGTCCTCGACACATGCTTTTTTGGATTTCAAATGGTGTAATATATTAGGTTTTGATGTACAAATTAATTTTCTTACTTCTGCAGATACACAATGGAGAGGGTTGGCCACCCATCCAATCTACATCCTCCTCTCTCCTGTCATAATGATTTTGGATTGTGAGTTTGTATGACTTTGTGAAGTGAAAGGATGAATGCTTATTGGTGGCCTGAAGAAACGTTTAGAGATGGGCTGACATGACAGAAAGACTATAAGGTCTCTGATAAGCGATATAACTGGGAAAGTGTCTTGCCACCGGTATTTCATATTATATAATAAAGCATGTGCATATACTCACCAGGTTTAACTTGTTCAAGGTTTCGGCGATCTCTGAAACAGCGGTCATCTGGCATTTCTCAGGTGCTCTTTCCTTATACACACTAAGCATCTTTCTGCATTTTACGCATATTCCTTTAGAAAAAACATAGTCAAACTCCCGTCAAAACTCCGAAATTACCGAAAGGCGCGTATTTTTTAAACACAAAAGTCTGAAGTTTTGTCGACCCACAGAATAAAATAACAATCGAAAGTTGACTGCGCGATAAGAGGTGAGAAGAAGGGGGGGGAGTAGCATTGTGATTAGACTATCCTTTTTTTTTGTTTATTGTTTATATCTTTCTCAAGTGGTTTTTTGCGAAACGAAATTGAAATGTTTTAAACAAAGTAAATTAACCCCTACTAACCGAATTCCAGGTGCGTACTGTAAGTTACAGACCGTGAAACGAGGTTAGTAAGATATTCATTATGTCTCTGAGGTCAATCGGGCGCGCGGGAATGGAAACTAGTTAAAGTTTAGTGGGCCGCGCAAAATTGACCAATCACACCCTGCGTACGAACTGAGAGATACTGATAAAAAATAGGAACTCATTGTATACATGTGGGTAGTGCTGTGCACGCGCTGCGGACCTGTTTGTTTACGGACACCGGCACTCACTCACTCACTCACATACCTGGCGACAAAGTGGGTAGGGCACTATACAATGCACACACTAATATAAACGCAATCCATAAAAAAATGAGAGGCGTGAAATAAAGGTTGTTATAAAAAAATTGGATTGGACAACTGAATGAAGAGATAAGTAACGAAATGTCCTTCATCAACCTTACTTATTTCTCTCCGTCGTTTAAACAAATGATTCTTTCATATAATCTCAAGTCATCAGAATGAATAGACTAAAAATAATTCATTGGAGACAGTTTCTGTTTGGTAGAACATCAAGTAGTTGGTTGCTTACCTGAGCCCATAGGGACGAGCTGTTTTGAAAGCTCAAATATCTTCATGGATTGGAATAAATTTTTTCCTTTTTCCAGTGCGGGTGCCTTCCTCAGCTCCTTGCAGTGACCAGAAACAACTTCCGGGATGGTGCAAAGATTACCCGTCCTTCGCCAACCTAAATCTAACTTGGCACGATGAACCGGACAGATAGTCATATCCGATAAATTCGCCGGCTTTTGAAAACATCCACATCTCTCCAAAATTAATTCTACCTCCGTTTCAATTCCGGAAAATTTCAACGACTTTTTGTGATTTCTGATATCCCTGTTACACCGCGTGAAAGGCGTGACGGAAGTTGAAGAACTTGTGCGTTCGCCTGCGCCACAAATCCCACCAACAATATTCAAGAACGAGCAAGACATCGCTGTTCTATGAAGTTCCCTGACAATAAACTCTGGTTTTAGATGCAATGTTTCACAGATAAAGATAATTCGATTTATTTATTTAAAGAACGATGCAATTTTCGTGAGAACAGGTACTTCTGATTGGCTATCGACGGCATAAAGCTTCTCATTCTTAATAAAATCAATTCTTATCGTTTCAGTTTGAATTGCTATTATGATATTTTCTTTTATTTTTACTTCAGCAAGTTAACTGGGGAACCTGGCACATCGTTGAGTAAGATATTTTAAAATAAGACTTATTGTAAATTAACAGATATAAATATCTGTTTGTTACTGTACTAATTGTAGGGAAGTCGCTCGTGCGTGACACAGATTAGGGAGCGGGCCTGTGAGATTTAATTTCAACTCGTGGTAATTTTGGTGTTTCATAGTTTTTTTTACCTGTGTAGACAATATTTAACATCAATATATATTTTTAAAAGGTTCAAACCGCTAAGAAAGTAAAACCCTCGTGTTTTATGTACAAACTTTGGCCGAGGACTTAATTTATTCAATAGTGCATTGTTATGAAGAGTTGTAGATTTCAAAGGCGCTCAATTGGAATTTTATCGAATTTTGATCGGCGTTCATGCAAAAGTGCTACTAGATCCTAAAGATTTAAAACCGTAGACCTAAAAATCAATGACTGAACTGTCTTTGGTTATAATATCAGAGGATTTGAAGAACTACCGGTCAGCTTTTTTCGTCGCTGAGTTTGGATTATTTTACACCTTCGCGTAAATGAGAAAAGTGTGTCTTCTTAATTGGGTCTCAGTTCACTCACAAATAAGCAGAGATAAAAATAATTCCCATGGTTTGACTAAGGAAGAATCAATGTATTCAATTATACTTAAGAAAGATTCACAGCTATGTAAACGTCTGTGTAGCGAGAAGCTGAAAAGTGTAAAATTTCGAGTTTCCGCCAGATGAAATCCGAGCTTCCGGTAAGGTGACCGTTTTTCGTGGTTTTCTGCCGTTATATGGAATATTTCAAAAAACTAACCTCATATCCTTCAGTTACTTACCTAAGCCTTCAAACTGACAAAGTATGAGCGAAATCGATTTTTTGACCGTGGCCACGATTTCTTTGATTTTTATTGACAATCACTCTTAAATGTACTATATTATTATAACTTTTGACAATAAAAGTGAACGATAAAATACGACGTTTCGACCAAACTTCGGTCATTTTCAAGTGAATAGTAAGAATGTCACGATGAATTTATATATGCGTGTAAGAAGCATAAAATTCTTTAGAAGTGTAAACGGACAGTAAGAACATACAAAGAGAAGAAATAATTAGAAGTTTATTAAAAAAAAATTTAAAATTTGGTCGAAACGTCGTATTTTACAGTTCATTTTTATTGTCAAAAGTTTTACGAAATCACTATTGATATTACTATAAAAATGATCTTTTGTTCCTCTTCAATAATTTTAGTCCCCTTTTCTTTGTTTTCTTTTCTTTTGTTATTTTTTTAAACAAACGTTATTAAGTACTTCTAAACCAGTTACCAATAGCCTACTTCGATTAAGCGTTTTTTTTCACAAGACTCCAAGTTACTTGTTATCTTTTTTGCCATGCTCATTCTTACTACCCATTTGTCGTGCTTCAGTTATCGTCGACTAAAACCCAAACCGGAGTTCAAGTGAAGATTATTTCTTTAAAACTCTTTGTAGGTATTCACCACGGGTTTAAATAAACCTGAACTCGAATAAAAAGGCGTCGAACATTCATTGAAACAAGTCTCTGTCTCATTGCAAATTTAATCATCTCGACCGCTGTCGCAAGCAATAACAATACTTCCGTAAAAGCGGAAAACTGTCCATGATACAATGCGGCTGATCACTATAAGCATTGATACGACTAATGTCTCCTACAAGTGATGGCTCGCCCTCCTTCATTTTAACCGTTGCTTCATAAAATGCATCATTTGGCGATGTTTCCAGTTGTAGGTGATACATTGTGTTCTGTGCTAAGGTATTAACTGATTTCTTACCGTACGACAACCCACAAGAATCACATTTCTCGTTGCGATGTGTCTTCTTCAAGAACTGCACTTTCCCGCTTGGCATGTCACGATAACCGTGCGTTATTTCTTTTAGAACAAGTTGGTGGCACAGTTTTCCCAATCCGGAGTGCTTCTGAAACATCAAATTGTTGATATAGCTAATTATAAATTCAGCAGACTTCTCTATCCAAGGGTCATTGATCGAAATTTCTTCAAAGTTAAGACATGGGCACCAATGTTCCTCAACACCAGCATTTTCGCATGTGCGATTCTCTTTGTCAATCCTGTTAAGCAGGCTTTGACCAGTTGTTATCCCGCTCGGATAACTTGGATACGAAAGGATGTGACGCAGGGTTGCGTACACGTCAAAGGGTGTGGTTAGTACTTTAGAATTATGCATCAAATTGGTGTATAAATCTGGGTACTTCTCTGTGAACCACTTCGGAGCTGTAAGCGACAGATAAGGAAGTCTCTCCTCCAGCTTCCCTTGGATTGTCTTTCTTTGGACAGAGAATCTAGCTCCATGATCACCAAATATAACTAAAAGAGTGTTTTTCAAGAAGGACTCTTCGTCAAACTTTTTTATAAAGCTCTTTAAGTCTTCGTCAGCATAACCTAAGGCATTCTGATCGTCATGACATATGTTGATTGCTATTATAGCAAACTTCCGTTTGTCTTTGTATCCACGATAAAAGCTTAAAAGATACTCCAGTGAGATGTTATGAACAGCTTGGCTACCTAAACAATAATCATCTTTGATTTTTAAGGCCTCTAACCAAAATGGTCTGCTATAATGATCTGAGGGTGGCTCTTTAAACCCGTGTAGACGGTAGGAAAACGAGCCAAACTTTGCATCGTCCTCTGAGAATAAAGTGGCGTATCCCTTTTCTTTGAAATCTTTAAAAATCCACCTCCACTTGTCCACCGGCTCAGCATTAGGCTCACTCCTTCTTGCTTCAGGTTGCATTTTTTCAGCTATCCCGGTGAGCATAGCCGACATTGCGGCTGTTGTTCCATCCCCAACAATTGTCTCGCCTGGAAATTAGTTGGAGTCAGAATATTAGTGTTTGCAGTGAGCTTGAGTTCACTGTTCTGTCGGAGACTAACGTTAGCTAACATAAATACTGGTATATAAAAGAGGACACCGCAACTTAACCTTGTAGAAAAACTGTGGTCGGGTGTTCGATCAAATACTTCAAAGTGTTAGGCATTTTCCTTCTGAAGTGAGCATCAGAAACAGAGTCCAACATAATCAGAGCGACATCGAGCGGAATACCACCAGGCTTCAGAGGTCTTGATAAAACTTCCTCTTTAGGAGACACTTGCAAGAGCATGTCCGTTTGAGTTCTTCCCCAAGTCCTGCCCGCATCCACTCGCACAAAGTCAGTTTTAACTGTTGCTTTTCCGACAAACGCCCCTTAGAGTAAGGGAGAATCACAAACATTTTCGTTATCGCAACAATAGAAACATGATACATAAACAACAGCCTCCATTTGGCGCGCAAATATACAAGGGTATTTGTCCGTGGACATATCCTTGGATATTCACCAGTCTTAGCAGGTGCATATTCGGTCGTATATGATGTTTTAAGACCAAAGGCGCACGTGCAAAAATATTTGGTGGATTATAAGACATGAAACGACATGACACCTGAGATGCATGACAGGATATGACATATGATAGACATAACGTGGCAATGCAGCCATAATAAACATAGCAATATCCTATTTTATACAATAAACGGAATTTGGGGTGCCCTGTGTTTGGTTAATGATAATGATCTGTTAGAGTACAAAAGAGTGACAAGCGTCCTACAAATAGTGTTTTGTCACTCTCGACAACTTCAGTGATATTACTTACCAGATAGCCCATCAATGCATTGACTAAAATGAAAAGGTACTATTTTGTCATATTTCTGTTCAGTCCTTGATCACAAAGGACTTGGTAACATGTTGAGAACATCAAAGAAACAAATGATAATGTTATGCGTGACAGACATCTCATGAAAGACATTGCGTGACATGACAGGACAGCTACAACAGTGACTAAATTCCATTTGGATGCGTCTTTTCTGTGGTAAATCACAGATGACGTAAGAACAAAAACATAGCACTCGAGGAGCAGCCTAGTGTGTAGCTAATGTTCTTCCCACATTTCGATTTCCTCTGTGATCCTCTTTACGCGTTTGTTGTTGTGTTGCTTTAATCTTTATCAAGAAAATTACAATTTCCCCGATAGCGATTGGTTTAAAAGACTCTTATCATATCTCTCAGTTATAAGATCCGTTCGATTCATGAATCCGAGCGGGAAAATAACTTACAGTACGGACCTCGAACTCGGTTAGTAGGAGGTACCTATTCCCTACTAATTCACTTGCGAATTTGTTATCGAGCAGTTTGTTATCGACCAATCACATCCTTGGTTTTCATCACTATAGAAACAGTGTACAGACTCCTAAAATGGGGCTTTCTTCTTTTCTCGAGAATTGTAATTTTTAAGATTCATTGGTGATAGGACTAAGTGGAGTCCAATTCGGTCTGTCGGACGACCACGCACTTTATTATTTACCCTAGTAAAACAAAGTGTTATGTTGTTGTTACTGTAAACAAGAGAGTAGCCTGTAGATCTGGCGTAATTCTGGCGAGCGAGTGCTCAGTAATTTCATAACGAAACTTATGGCCGCCATCTTTGATTTTAATGGCAGCGGAAGGCTGGGAAAAAAAACAAATTTGTACCAAGGGGGCGGTCGGTGGGGGAGTGAGTCTTTTCGCCCTTCCCCCGCCCCCTACCCCCACCGTCCACTCTAACTGCAAATCAAACATGGCTGGTCGGATAAACGATCGCGAGCTTATAAAGTTAGCTCGCACTAATAAGACGCCTGCACTGCAGGCTTACAAGATAGGTTCGACTTCGCTGACATCACAAGTCCAGACCGCAGTTATTTGACCGACTTCGGAAAAACGACGAAACATATAAGACATTTTGTCAAATGATACACTTGACACGACATGAGATGATGGACATAATACAACAGAAAACATAAAGTTACACGAAATTCTCTTACACACAACGCAGCAATTACCATAAGCGCTACTTACTGGAATTACTTGAGAATGGAAGCCATGATTTGAACCTCGACCACTAAAATAAACAAAATATGCAAGTGCGGAAAAGTTAACTTCTCGAATCATTGGCCAGCTGGAGGAGAATTATCTTTTAAATAAGGTGGGTTTAGTTGAAACGAACTCGATCGGCTTGCGAATTTAATTTGTCAATTTTATTAAACAGAGATATAGATTTTCAACGGTGTATGATGATAAAATGTGTTGTCAGATGCGCTTGGTACTAAAAAGTTAAGCCCTCACGACTTAATCCTTTAAATTTTTCCTCTCCTGCATGAGATGAGGCAGAGTCTTATATTTGTATATTTTTTTCTAGCTTGCAGTTGATTTTCTTTTAAATGCTATTTATTAAATATTTTTATTTTTGAATAGAAGGGTTCAAGAAACACCTAATTATTAATTCCCATGATAATTCCATTTAAACGCTTAAGGACTGGCCCCAAGGGAAAACGAATAAAGGGGTAAGTTTCTAAAGAAACTGTGGTGCTGCGTCGGTGGGAGAGTATAGCAGGTAATTTAGTGTTAACAACTGGGTTGAAAACGTAAATTAGCCACCGTAAAGAGTAAAAAAGCTGACGTTTCGAGCGTTAGCCCTTCGTCAGAGCGATTGACGTTAGTTAACACTAAATTACCCAAGGGAAAACGTTTGTTTCTTCCTCGAACCCTCAGCGGTTCTACCGGCCTCTAAAGCTCAGCGGTTCTACCGGCCTCACCCCCGGGGAAAGTGCAAATCAATGAAAAAAAAAAAAGCTCACCGTTTCACTCAGAACCAGTCATTACGTGTTTTACATCAAAAGGAAAATGATTGCTTCGTTAGGAATAAAGTCGGCAAGAGTAGAAAGAATTGAAATAAAGCAGACAAGGGAGGCCGCCTTCGCAGTTTTGACTATGTAACCAGGCCATGTTACCAGGATGTATGACCACAGGGAATCTAAGTCACTCACCCCCCATCCCCCAACGCCAGGCAGAGGCCGAACACAATATGCCTCTTTAGCTTCTACTTTTTGTTTAGCTATTTTAGGTCTCCAGGGAATTCCCAGTACACTTCTTGTTAATTGTGTGTACTGATGCTCGTAAAATTGGAAAGCAACAGTCCTGGAGTATTGTCACCTGCCCTGAAATGGGTAAACAAAACATTCAAGCTAAAGAGGCCTTTCGAGGGGGAGTTACTGATCGCAAAACCGTCAGATAGCGGAAAAAAAAAGATGAATAGTAACCCAGTATCCAATGGATGTAGTTCTCAAATATAACTGTATCGCTATCGCTTCGCACAGCCAAGTCCAACAAATCGACAACCTTGTTCCCAGGGTTCTCTCTCGGGCTCTTCCTTCCTCGAGAAGGCCTCTCGCAAATATTTTAAAGCCCATATTATCCAGAGGCAACGTGTCGTTTCCGCCATTTCTTAAATTCTTGTTCAAGGACTGTATGCTTAAGGAAGTATGGGGCTGTTCTTAAAGCTTACATTATAGTTTGTAAATTTTGTAATTACATATCGCGGCCACTTGGTCCCACTAAGAAATCGTCATATAATATTCGAAACTTAGATAAACATAAATAAACAAACACTGTTTATAAACGAATGAACCAATAAACGAGCAAATAAAAAACAGATAATTCTTACCAGATTTGCCTTTCGTTGCTTCTGCTCTGGAAGCGCCTCGTTCACCAAATGGATGGGATCGGATAGTTCAGCGTGGAAATCATCTCCGCGTGGTCGTCCGATCACACTGTATCGCACAGAGTGTAATCCTTCTCCTTTTACTTCCAAGACGTTATCTCTGAAGTTCGAATGTCTCTCTCCACTACACTGAAGCTTGCCAAGATCTTTCATAAATTTCATCAAGCTAGGGTGGAATGGATCCAAATTCGGCAGACGACAAGCAGAACTAGAGTTTCCAACGTGTTTCACAAATTTCACTCGAGTCTTCGGAAACGTGGATTGAGAGGAACCGAAAAAAAACCCATAGGCCTCAAAATATAATACAAACACAATTCCACTGGAAACGATGAGTAATATGGAAGCGAAGCGACGACGACGTAATTGCACTCGACGAAAAAGCATTTTAACAAAACAACAGGCCTCAGACATCATGTTCAGGATTTGATTCTGCTCTTTACCGACTCCTAATTACGGTATTTGTTTCAAATTGTAATATGCGCCTCCCGAAGTGAACACGGTATTCGCTCACATTATATGCCAAAGAGTTTAGATATGGCGCTCGCGCTTTCACACGTGACGGGGTTAGTTGAGCGTCTGTTTGTTGGTAGCGATAACCGCAGTAAAATGATATGTTAATTCAGTTGACGTGTGTAGCATAGTTTTCCCTTTTATTTGGATGAAGGAAAAAATCGTTGAGGAGACAGTTGCTCCATTTCTCGCGCAAACAAGAAAAAAAAACGTTTCAATCACTAATCTGTGGTGCGGATTTTTTTTTTCCGTGCTGGAGCAGCAACAAACCGATAGCAAATATTTATTCGCCAAATGACGGGTGTAGTCAGTGACGCAAGCAACTGACACGGAACTATCGTGTACTTTTGTGTCGCTAGAGCGAAAATATTTAAGTCAGTCATTTTAGAAAGAAACTTGTTGCTGCTGATGACTCGCGAAATCTCCTTTACAACATTAGGCGACACGAGACGAACAATAAACGCCTTTGTTTTCATGAGACAAAAGAAGGCAAAATACAGGTAAATGAAGGGGGTAAGTTCTAAAGAACCTGTGGTGCTGCTTCGGTGAGAGAGTATAACAGGTGATTTAGTGTTAACAACTGAGTTGAAAACGTAAATTGACCACCGTAAAGAGTTTAAAGGCTGTCGTTTTGAGCGTTAGTCCTTCGTCAGAGCGAATCGCTCTGACGAACGAGCGTTAGTCCTTCATCAGAGCGATTCGCTCTGACGAAGGACTAACGCTCAAAACGTCGGCCTTTAAACTCTTTACAGTGGTCAATTTACGTTTTCAACTCAGTTTTTAACACTAAATTACCAAAATACAGGTACTCTTTCCTAGAGTCAGCCGTGGTAATCCGAGCGAGAAGCTGTAAATAATTCTTTGGCGAATCTCATTATGTGTGTGTTTTTTTTTTTTCCGCTCAAGTGACCAACAGTTCTAATTACGCAAACAAATGGTGTTTGTTCGTCGGTATCTTGATATGCAAAGAGGTAAAAAAAAAAAATTTCTTAATCAAACAGCTGTCCACACACGACTCTCGATATATTTGCTCGGTTAGCATAGCTGTCACCCATTTTTTTTTTTTTTTTCACCGAATACGGAAAATTGAGAATCGTTAAAACTTTTTAATTAACTGTAATACTTTCATACCCCGCCCCGCCTCAAATGTTTAAAGACTTGGAGACGAGGCGAGCGTCAGAACAAACAAGACTCAACAGGGGAGATGATGGTAAAAAAAAAGAAAAAAAGATTATCGTGAGGGGTCCGCTGAAAGGAACACCAAAGAATTTTCTGAATGTTAATGGCGGGAAATAACTCAGTCATTGTTGTGTAAAGCACGCCGTTCACTTAACGCATTAGCGGGATTTTACGGTGTCAGCTAGGCATCTAGGGGCTAAAAAGCACTTTGAAAATCCGGGTTTCGCCATAGCTTTGTAAACAGCGAGGGATGGCGTCGCAGTTTTCGTTTTCGGAGGAAGGTTTGACTGTCAATAGCGGCCGGGAACACATTTTCGCTAGTAACTGTTTGAAAAGGAAACTCGAAGCAAACGGTTGTAATGGATTTTCTTCAGTGGGAGACCATGAGTCAGTTGAGCAGGAATATAATCTCAACAGTGAGGTGAGACAATTTAAAAAAAAACTGAAGCAGTAAGATAACTCTGGTTAAAAAACATTTACCAGCTGAGTGCAATAAATTGACCCGATACTGCGATCAGGATGTTCGTGATCTCCAGAGTTAACCGTTATTACTAATCCAACATGCAGAGGATAGAAATGATTGTTCACAGAAAGCGTACAGCAGTTTGCCTTTCTTTGAATGCTATGCTTATCCTATTTTCGATTTAATTTTTCTTGTAGAAAAGACAGCGGTTTTCAGCCGACAGCAACGGCCATACGGAGTGTCTCGCGATCGTCAACAATGACGAAAATAGTAATTGCCAGAGTTTTACTCACAATAGGAACATCATGGGAAATGATTCTCTGCTTCAAAATAACGTAGAGTGTGACGCATCGATCGGATGGGAAGAAGTTAAAATGGACTGTGTAAACGAAACAGTTGCTCAAAATCGATCTGCTTGCTGGGAAGAACATGTCACTTCCGCCTGCCCGCCAAATTTGAACAACAACGTTGCTGTTGGAGATGTTTCCGTTGAAATAAGTGGCCGAGACAGTTCCCCAACGAAAGGATCACCGGCAAGGGAATTTCTACAGACGTTAGTATTATTTTTTTTTTCGGTACACTTGTTTGTCTATAGCTTTATACTGAATTTGTTTGCACCGGTTTAAATTTCATACCAGCTCTTACCTTTCAATTTCATGAAGGTGTCAACCCTCACAACATCACCCCAGTTCACACATATAGGTCATGAGAATGAAGGAAATAATCACCAACTAAACAAGCCCTCGATTGTTACACATTTTCTCCCTGTCAGCACCTTAGGAAATGCATAGGCAACCATATGGAGCATATACATACTGATGTGAAGGTGTTAGGTAATGAGTGACAATTACTCATTGATGTCGATTATGATCACTGAGTACTTTTCTGTAGGATGTTAGTTAGCTTGTTCGATTTTGTCTTTGAAAACAAGCAAAAAGTATAACATTCTGCTGTATGTGTTTCCTCCAAACTGCTTGAGTGCCTTTGTGGTATAGGAATCTTGCACAAAAATCTGGAAAGATTTGCTTTTTTTCTACAAGAATCATTTAACAACTGGTTCATACGTCAGCGTGCGTTACATGTTCATAGAGATATGAAGCATGTGGGAAGTTGGAGAGCACAAAAGATGAGTAAAAGTTGCTCAAGGCTCAATCAACTCTAGCTTCTTGAGTGCTCTCCAAACTTCCCAAGTGCTTCATATCTCCATGAATGCACAGCTGATGTATGAACCAATTGTTTTATAACATTTTCAACCTGATGGAAAACTTTTTTTCTTGAGGGATTTGTTTGCTGATGTCATGAACATGCACAATAGGAATATGAAGCACACTTGTGCAATTGAATTTGATTAGACAAATTTACTAGCTATGTTACAAAACTTCTTAAACCAAAACTTTCAAGAGTTATTGGGAGTCTGTACTATTGAAAGCAGAGGGAAAAAGATGAAGTTAGCATAAGCTTGGAGTCAGCAAAGGTGGTAGCTATAAGGAAGCTTTCATTTCTTAGCAAAATTTTGAAAATTATTCAAGATATCCCAAGGGTAACATGTTCAAAATGTATTTTGTTGTTGTTTTCAAGCCATGAATACATTGTTCTCAGGGCTTGTAGGCAATAAATTAACCCATGGTTCATATGCCCCCTGGAATATCTGGAAAGTCTTGGAACTTTATTTGAAATTTTCCAGGACTGGAAAGTCTTGCAAAAAGACTACAGATCCTGGAAAGTCCTGGAAATCTTCCTAACTCAAGCTAGTTTTCAGAATTTACATTATAAGAAATGTTGTAGACTGTAAGGAGAATTGAATTGGAAATCTTGGGAATGATTGGGGTTAAGATGAAACTTGGTGTCTTGGAAAATCAAAAAAAGTCCTGGTAAAGTCTTTGAAATTTGTTTCTGAAAAAAGGTTTAAACCCTGTTAACGTTCTGTTTGACAATTTTAAGAGAAATTGGATGTTAGACTTAGGGTATTCATTGTATTCTTGACAACCTATTTACAGTGCTTTCCATTCATTCATTCCTTCATTCAATTGTGTGTTTAAATATATCCAGACACAGGCCAGAGCACCTAATGTATTGCATCCCATCCTACTGTCACCCAGGGGGATTATGGGATGTTATGCTGGAGGTATATCATGGGCTGTAAATCTAAATAGATTTCTACAGCCATTTTGATTGGAAAATTGTAAGGTAAGAGAAACTTTTACTGATAAATGACTTATACAATACAGAGATCTAGTTTTCAGATTGTGTAATGTTACAAAGTGTACCTGCTGATCTATGGCAAAATTCAATGTGAAAGACAATATCACAGCCCTAAAACAACAATTTTTTTTCATTGATAGTACAAACCTTGCTCTACTTAAGACAAACAAAGGGAGTTTTTTGCAGCTAAAATGCTCTTGCCTCATTTTTGCATTTTCAAGCAGTAGTTTTGGCATCTCACAAATCTTGCATTGTACCCTGTGCCATCCCTGAAGTAAAGGCTCTGCCCCCTTTGGCAATCTGAATGGCTAGTTAGCTAGTTGTATGTGCAATTACACATTACATTTACCCTTTTATGCTCTCAGTATTGTTTAATGATATCACTTTAAGAAAAGCATCAGATAATTATAACTGCTAAAACATGGCAGTATACCAACATTTATATTTAGACAAAAACTTACATGTGCCGAATGCTCCTTCTTTGCAGATGATACATGGACGCAACATAGAAGAGAAAAACAAATCATACATTAAAAATTTTATAAACTTAAAGCTTTACATGTCATATACATTTAAATTACTATTGTGGCAGGTACTATGTCATATTAAAAGCTTAAGTGTTTCAACAGAAAAATTATATAAATACTGATTTTATGAAAAAGTTAACTTTTCCTTAAAGCTTTGGATATCATATACATTTAAATTACTACTGTGGCAGGCACTATGTCGTATTTAAAACTTTGGAGGTTATTATGCAATGTGTTTTAACACAAAAATTATATAAATACTGATTTTTTTGAAAAAAGTGAATGTTTCCATTATTTTAAATACTTGTGATAATTGTTCTGTAAAACTTTTCACTCTAAGAAGTGGCAAAAAGAGATCTTCTCGAAAATCTGACAACATTTTTAGCAGAAGTGTAAAGAGATCAGAGAAGAATATCAAGGAGTGTCCAGGCTTGTGGCATGGGAGGCATCTGGATTTGGTACACAGGCATTCACAGAGGTAGTGCTCAAACAGCCTTGTCTTCCCAAGCTTGTCTGAAGTACTCTCAAAATTTTGAAATTCTTGGCACACAGGCATACACAGAGGTAGTGCTCAGACAGCCTTGTCTTCCCAAGGTGGTCTGGAGTTCTCTCAAAATTTTGAAATTCTTCAGTTACAGAGTGCAATTTCCTGTATTTGGAGCAGAAACTACATGATTCATTTCCACTAAAAGATCATTTCTGTAGATAATTGATCATGATTTGACGCATTAATCAACAAACAAATCAGTTTTCTAATGCAAATACATAATCTTTTACCTATTCAGTCAAGTTCAGATATATTTTATGTTTGAGAAAACACTTAAGGAAGATATGGGATTGTAACATACATAAGTGTAGCAAAGTTTTCTTCACAGCTAGTTAGTTTGTTTGGTGCCTGGCCCCAAGTGAAATTCTTGAATATGAATCAACACATAATCTTTGACTTAATCCTTTAACTCCCATAAGTGATCAAGACAGAATTTCTCCTTACAATATTAATACAATATCAAGCAGACAAGTGATGAGAATGATGAAAAATATCAATCAGGAGATCAGTATGTGATTCAATACCAAATTCTCTAGAATTAGGAGATGAGATTTTGGGAGCAAAAGGGTTGAGACACTTCTCTAAGCTGAAATTATCTAAAATGTGAAGTAGACAGTATGGAGAATATGAGGTATATATCTAGGCAGTGAAAGGGTAAAAAAGAACTAATGGTTTTTACTTAAATGTCAAGTATTACCCCACAAGACAACAAGCTTAAAATTAAGGGTTTTTACTCAGTAACAGAAAATGAAAACAAACCACTGCTATATATCACATTTGCTCAAAATTTATTATAAGTGGCACAAAGACTGAGGTTCTGAACCAAAGCACAGAATGATGGAGTATTTGTTCTTGGTTATTCTATGGTACAGTTTATGTTCTAGCCATTTTGTAGTCACTTGGGCACTGACATTGTACATGTACATAGCTTATGTTAGAAAACATAGGTTCTCTTATTTGTAATGTGTTCATTTGTTTAGAAACTGTAAGAAAGAAAACTGCAACAACAACTGTTCAAGGCCATACTGTGCAATTTCAGAAAAAAGGCTTGTATTCATTATTCATTTTATTTTTTGTACCAGTACTCTTTTTTTCACATGTTGCAAAACTTTTGCATTTTACAGTTTTATTCTGTATTAGCTGTAAAATATCCCAAAAGTTTAAAACGTACAGCTAAACAATGTTACAGTAGCTAAATGTATCTTACATACACACTGCAAAATTACAAACTCTGAAATTTGCCTTAACCAGTTCTTTTGGTATATTTTTTTGGTGCAGTTTTGTTTTTCATTCAAAATTCTTATTTTGTTACTGTTTTTAGAAAGTTTTTAAATATATTTTGGATCTATTAAGTTAACATGTATTGTTTACCACTTCTCCCATGGTGAAAGCTCTTTGGTGGTTGTAATTTCTATATAATTTTCTTTTCTTTTAATTATTTTTTATCATACAGACATTATACAGTGTAAAATATATGCCTTTGCTTATTTTTTGACCCCTCTGTACATTTCAAAAGTGTTGATTAAGATTCCCAAGCAAATGTATAGTGTAAATTAAGAATCAATATATATTATGACTTGTAATTTATATTACAGTGTGTGACATCACAGAGTGAACTGTTTGCCTTGTAGCTTCTATCTAAGAACAAATATATCTATATTCAGCATGTAAAATACTATACACTTAATGTATGGTCCCAAAGGAAACTGTTAGTTTTGTTTTCCTAAGAGTCCTGGTGTTTCCTGAGACAAAGTTGAGGGAAAACAAAACTAACTAGTTTCCTGAGGGACCTTACATGAAGTGCATTGTTATATATTTAATCTTTCCTTAAACAGTCATGTGCTGTTGTATTCAGTGCATGGGCAACAAGTGCGCAATTGTATTCCAGTCAGGATGTTTGAATGTGATCAGTGGCACGTTACCTAGAATCAACCAATCACAGTGCTCGTTTTGTTGAGTGAAAGTCCTGGTATATAACAAATATATTTATTTCTTCTACCCTCTGCAATTTTTTTTATCCACCTGCATGCTATTCGTCAAGCAATGTAAAGTGGATGTGGCATGTTCAAAGGGCACGACAAGAATGAAACAGCTGTTGATGTATATTTTTAAGTAGCCAATGCTAAAGAAGTCCATTGGTGGTGAGATTGAAACAATGGAGGAAGAAGCACTGTGATGAATTTACTCTTGAAACTAGTTGATTCCGTTAAACTTGATTCTAAAAAAGAAAAGAAAAGTAATCAATGGTTTTTGTACCTCCCTTCCCCCCCTAGCCCCCCTTTAGAATTCAAGAGGTCCTCTATGGTGATCCACTTACATATGTGACCCATTCAAGCATCGGCTTGAGTTTAGGGCAAAGGGACTACTCACCATACCCTCCAGAACTCACTTACCCTACCCTGTGGGTGCCCTCTCACCCCCATGGATTGTGGGTAGTTATTGGTCAAAGTATTTCAAGATGGCGGACGTGAATGCGGTGAATCGGCGTCTTCTGGAGATTTCTATATGTGCTCTGCTGCGAGAACAAGGATTTTCATCAGCTTCTAAGATAGCTTTAGAGACCCTTACTGAAATGCTTCAAAGCTGTGAGTGATCAACCATTCCATTTTTTTGTTTTGATTTGGTTACAAGTTTCTGAATCGAACACTGCTTTGAAAGAGATCCTCCTCATAAGAGGTCTTGGGTTTGTCCTTTGAGGTGTTTTTCAGAGGAAACGTAGAAATTTTGCCGATATACTATTCTGGGTTTTTTAAATATCGCCTTCCATTTCGATCAATTGATCCTTCGATTGATCGATCCGTGGAGACATTCGAAGAAAGTTAGAAAACGCATCTCCTGTGATAATGTTTTGCGTCTGATCGCCCTGATCACAACTGTATTTGTTTTGCGTTACACTCTACTTTAGACCTGGGTGAGCTTGGACACAGTTGCAAGCTGAGCTGCGAACTTTCCGCCCGTGTTAAGCCGACTCTAAGTGACGTTAAAGTGGCTCTGATTGATATGGGTATGTATTACAGCTACCATTCCCCAAAATGCCGGGGACTTGACATTGTCCCGAGATTAGAGATAAGTGTTCCAATTCTAGCAACTGAAAGTACATGTAGTTTGTTGAAATCACAAAGATCCATCTATTTTTCAATTGAGGAGCTGTAAGGAATAAAGCTTTCACAAGCAGTACCCGGCAGACTATCTTAACTCTTTACACCCAACAGTATCACCCTTGAATCAAGCAGTAAGGTCATAAGAATAATTGGAAAGCTTGCATACTCAAGAAGCTCTTGATTGTTAGACAAACAGTCCTTGTAAGTACCTTAGGAATTGTACAGAGCACAGTATGGAGAACTTGCATGCTGATGTCAGGGTGTAAAGGGTTAAGTCACGTTGAGCATTTTCCCCTGTCAGTTTTCAATTACCTATAGGCTCTAATCTTAAACTTTTTTGTCAACCTTTACTGAGACCAGTATAAGCTTGCTGACATTGTTTGAGTAGAATGCAGGAGATTCTATCCCTTGTCTGAAAGCAGGATATTACTTGAAGGAGCAGATCAAATGAGAGGAAAGCTGAAGCTTACCAAAAACCTTTTAAAGATTTCAAACATTCTCTGGAGGGTTTCAACAAAGGTTGCCTTCATTTACTAAATTGCAGTTTTAGGGATGAAACCTAGGTTCATTTAGTCCAATAGCACTAATTGCAAATAAATATAACTGTGACATGAATGAAAACTAAAGCAAGTTGTGGTAGATGTGTTGTCCATGGGATTTGTGTGTCTACAGTTTTTCCTATGATCTCTGTGTAGCATGTACACAAAGCTGTGCTTGTCAACAAATCACTGGATGCCTGAGGGCTCTTGACTCAGAGGTGCAGGATGCATAGTTTTCATTTAGGGAAAGCTAGGCAATTTCTCAAATATATAAATTATTTACCCTTGGCACAGTCCTGTGTCATCCAAAGTTATGTAATTTCACACATGCTACAGGCTGGAGATGACGGATTATGTACACTCTGCTGGTTATTGTGCACATACATGTACATGTATGGATATTGTATCTTGATTTACTATAATTTTTCTTTCATATAGGTGCAGACCTTGATTCTTTACCACTATATGGAAAACGGACCAATCGAACTCATGTAAACAACCGTAAGTTGAGTGCATTAGTTCTAAAATATTGTTTTGTTTATTATGCATTATACAGTTACAGGTATCTCACTAGTATCTCAGCATGTGAATTAATCTTTCCCTAGGTCATATATGAATTATGAAAGCTCAGTCTTTTCCTTCTCTTGATAAATATAGTGAAGATCTCTTATTGACAGTATTGAACAGCAATGAAAATATTTTTGCTTTCTTTATTTTCTCTGCACATATATTTTTAGCTCTGAAGTCTCGCATAACACCAACACCCAAAGCTTTAGCAGCAGGCACTAAACAGACACGGCCAGCTCATATTCCTGCACATCTTCCACCACTTCCAGATCCTCATTCCTACATCAAGACACCAGTAAGTTTTAATTTCAGTTAAGGAAGTGTGAGATAAGGTTTATCTGATAAGTGTGGGGTAAATCACAGAATTGTCATTAGAGGCTGGTAGGCAGCAGAAACCGAATGGTTGATTGACTAATTTGCAACAGCTACTATGTGAATTGTAATCAAAAAGACAAAAGACAAAAGATAACTATTTTTGAGCTGATTCTAACTTCAATGTCTGGCTAAAAAAAGTTTTAGACTGTACTCGAATATAACAGGGTAATTTAGTTTTATCAACTGAGTTGATAACATAAGTGGGCCACTGTAAAGAGTTTTAAAGCTCACTCTCAGAGCATTAGCCCTCCAATAGAGTGATTTGCTCTGACAAAGGGCTAATCCTCTGAGCGTGAGCTTTGAAACTCTTTACAGTGGCCAATTTATGTTATCAACTCAGTTGATAATACTAAATTACTCTGTTATACTCTCTCACCAATGCAGCACCACAGTTTCTTTAGAAACGTACCCCCTGTATTCAAATATGTCTGCTACTCCTGAAAATAACGTCTCAGAGAGTTTTAAACTTCAAATTTTTCTGAGGAGCATGCCCTGACTTCCCCAGAGAAGTGTGTTGTAAAGCTGACATAAAAAATAATTAAATAAACACAAAAGCTGTGTAACATGTGTCATTCTTTAAGTTAAAACTAGTCTTCCTCAAGAAAACAACATGAAAACCCTGAGTGGATAGCCTTTCTTATTTATATCAGTTCTGTAAATGACACTTCAGCTGATGTAGGATGTGTGTTGCTGACTTGCAGGCCTTCAGACAGTCGAGCAAAGAATATCAAGCAGTACGAGAGAAATATGCTGCACAGAGAAAAGATATTGAAGAAGGGTTATCTAAGTAAGTTGGAAACGACTACTTCTTTTTCCTTTCATTTGACACTCTGCTATAAGCTCCTCTCTCTTTTTTCACTCTACAGGTTTTTGGCAAAGACAGCAGAACTTAGCTCTGGGATTTGTGAAGGATTGGACCCACCAACATATCCTTGTGAGTTCCATGGAGTTTTGCATTTTTTTTTTTTTTTTTTGTTACATGCCATGATAAGCTGAATTCTGCACACAGTTTGATTAGTTCTTACTTCTGATGCATGATAATGTCACCATTAACAACATTTTGCTTTGTTATGGTATAAAACAAACAGATTCTCTGTTCTTTGGGTCTGTTCAGTAGTAGATTACACAAGAGGTGAAGATGTGGTAAGAACATCAGTGACACACTTGGCTTCACCTGGAGTGCCAATTTTTTCTTCTTCTTACTGCATGTTGACATCATCTGTGATCTATTAGTTAATAGAAGCTTGACAACAAGGGATCTATTTGTTAACCATCTCACCCACTTTTGAATTTCTCTTCATGGATACTCACATAGTTTCATCCCTGCTTCAGGTCACCTTGACAAAATCCACTTTTTAAAGTTCCCCCCTGTTGATATCACTACTGAATCTATTTAATTTCTGTGTTTTTCCTCTTTGATTGTAAAAGAAAAAATGTTTCAGGGGTGAAATCATGGTAAAAGACTAAATGAGTGGGTAATCAATGGATAATCACTGACATCAGTGAATAAACTTATGGATGAATTAGAAATCTAGTATGTACCAGATGGTTCGATTTTGTTTTCAATAACTCAATGTTGTTTACTCATTAAACAGTGGAAATGCTCAAAAAGTAATATTTTGATTACTTATCAATATTTACTCTATTTCGTTTCATCTCAAAACTTTGCGCCATATCCAAATAAACGCAGCTGCACTACTTTTGAAATCAAGTCTATAAGTGCAAACAGTCATGTTATGCTCAATAGCTACTGTAGCTCACGCTTTTCTCAGTAAACTCGTTTCTTCTCATCAGTTCTGTGGAGCACGTCATCTATTATGCTCAAATTACATACCAAGTCAATATATATAAAGTTAAGTGTTAAAAGCTTCAACTTATTTACTCCTTGTCTTCATGCCCCAACCTATTTTGATGATCCTTAGTCAGTGAGAATTTGTGAGTTATTGATGTTTGTATTGAAAACGCGGAGGAATCGCGCACGCGCAGCAAATTACGCAAGTGGTCGCGTAAGTTTCTTTTGGTGACGACATAAGCGAAATCATGTCGTCACAAACGAACTATCAACGTAAAATATCAGTTAGATTCGATTGTTTCTGTAAATGTGTTATTTCTCTCTCGGTTGTAAATACACCAATGATGTACGCTCATGTTCAGAGTGAGATAAAGGAGTTCAACCGTCGTCACTCCGAGAGCAAGGGAGGTAAACTGCACACGGATCCTTCGTTTACACAATCAGCAACCATCTCAGGTGAAGGCTTCGAAGCAAGAGTACGGTGTTCAAAGCGAATACCACAAAAAGAAAAAAACCGCCAACTCAAAAAAATTTTGCAAATAACGAACGACATAATGAATGACATGAGGGTTTTAAGGGAACAAATGAGCAAGGTTTTTAAGGAACAAATGAGCACATTGAGTGTAAAGCAGAGGAGCTTATGTATGAACACAAGAGAGCTGTCGTCCATGGCGCCTCCACCAGTTGAAGAACTTGTGATGAGAAATTATAGTGCTAGTGCTGCAGGGGAAACTGCATCAAGATCGACTGAAGTTCTTCATGAGGTGAATTCTGGAAAAATTATGAACAGTTCCCTTGCTGATGATGGTAGCAGGTGGTACTACTTTGGGAATTTAGGTCGTGCTTCAGCTGCTAAAGATGCGATGATGGGACCAAGTTCTAGGGAATTCGCACCCGCAGATAGAACCGAAGATCGTAACTTGCCTTGCTTTGTAAACCAGGTGATAAACGCGCTAGTTCACGCGGTGCAGAATATTAACGAGTATTTCCGCCGCGAGTGGAACCTCTTCAATGATATTTTTAAACAGGAAGCTTTTGAAGTGTCACATGTAGAGCCCGCTGTGATTGCTTGTATCAAAGGGGAAGACACTTGCACAGATCATTACTTATCTAGTAGTCATTTGGGCTATTTAAATGAAGATCTAACTCGTTGTGATGACAAGAAAATTGTCTCTTGTCATTCTTCAAGCTTAACCTATATTAAATGATTAAAAAATTATTTCATTACTTTTGTCAAAATCGATTCATGAGGATCATGTTTTCTCGTTCTCAATTTGGCCCTAAGGACAATGTTATTGGTAAATAAAGTAAAAGTGCTGTATGATATACCGTTAATAATTTTATATTTAGCAGTTTACACATGTAACACTTCCCCAGTCACCTCAGTTAAATTGGACGCGTCACTCAACATTCAGCGACAGTGGTAACAAACCTATTGCTACAGTCATGTAACCTGCCAAATGCTCTCTTTTATCCCTGATGCATTTAATTCATATCTATTCATCCCCCCTTTTTGTTCTTAAACTTTTCCTCGTCCCTTCCGGTTCCACCACGTTTGTTCATTAGATTGCGTTCTACTGTGAACCGCTGGGTGAACATCCATGTTTCGTTTCTACGCATGGTAAGGGCTGTATCTTTGCAATGCTACAGTGTTAACAGAAACGTTTCTGTCCGTAAGCGAGAACCTTTCATGCAAAACTAACGCACTCAACAGCTGTCGGTATGCAGTCGCCTATTACTGAAAGATGAAGGCTGCATACAAGATTGACTCGCATAGCAATGCTAGAGTATTGCTGTATATACCTCTACTACTTATGCGGAATGGAATGCAGATTTATCCGTGGTAGTCTCCCTCGGGTTCTCGCAGCATTTCGTCGATACCCATTTAAACTCGTGGGTGTTAAAAAGCACTGTGAACATGAGGGAAAATGTCTTTTGGAAGATTACAACACAAAACTCTTCTTTTGGGCTTGAACCTAAAGCCTGTTTCTCGAAAGTTCCGGTAGTGACTGGTCAGAAAAATATCTTTATGTTGTTGTTGTTGTTGTTGTTTTGGTTTATTTCCGCGTTCACATTCTCTATCAGGATATTAGTAATTTAAGATTTAGGGAAATTGAATTATCAGAAATTACCGCAGAATATAATGTTTGTTGAGCTGGTATCGACCCTTCTGCTCCTTATATGTACTAGACTTTAAAATATGGCGTCGAGCCGGCAGAGTTAGAGTGAATTTCGACCAACAGGTTCACAACATTTCTAATCTCAAGTCTCGTCCACTCTCCGGAAAGCTACCTCGACTTTTTATGTATCACCACTTACACGTACCTTTGTTTTACTTTCTTTCAGTGCTTGTGAACGAGTTCAGTGGTCTGCCTTATTTATCTGCGCTTGGAGACTTCGACGACGCTGAGCTGCTTGAACTTGATGAATCCCTTGCTAAAGAAGCACCATCAAGTAGTGTTTTACCAACAAGCTCACAGAACACGGAATCCTTCGATAACCCTTACCTCAGACCAGCCAAGAGAGCGCGAAAAGCTATTAAGCCAAGCTGAAGTGATACAGGCTTTGATCAATTCTCGCTGGTGTTAACTTCACGTTTTGAAAAGAATTGTCAGAAACGGAATTTAAATTTTTCTTTATTCTCGTTCTTGTTTGGAAAATATCCGTAGAAGCCTCCAAAGATTTGACCCTTTTCTAGAAAATGATTTGAAATTTGTTACTTTTTATAGCCCACACGGACGCGAACTTTCATCACAGAAGAGAAATATTACATCTTTTTAATCGCCCATTTGTTGTTACTTGTGTGACTTAAACTTGCCCCCCCCCTCCGCCTCACTCCCAGGTCGAGAGGGAATTATCAGTCCCAGTTTGAATATCCACAGCGCTTTTCACCCTGTAACCCCTAAGAGTAACTAGCATCTAATTTCTCCTTACAATATCACCCCTGAATCCTACATTAAGGTCACGAGAATAAAGGAATGATCAACAACTAAAAAAGCTCTCGATTGTCAAAGAAATTCTCCTTGTCAGCGCCTTAGGAAATTTACAGAGAATGTGCATACTGATCTTGAGTTTTAAAGGGTTGAGAATGTCACTTTGACCTCATAGGTGTCCCTTCCATACTGCAGATTTGTCATAGCATTAACAATAATACATATCTTTAAATTTCCTACCTGCACCGATGTTCTGATGATGACAATGAGGGACAAAGGCAGACTTTTTGCAGACCTCTTCGTAAAACTTCCGAAAATATGTATGGGAATGAGCCCCGGGAGCTTTTCGAACAGCTGAAAATGATGAATTCCTTAACCCTTCCATTAGAGCAGCAAACCACGAAGTTTCAATAGCTTATAACTTTTTTGGTAAATCTCAAAACAGAATGATAAATCAACATTGAATAACCTCTGTGATAGAAAAGTCTCCAGTTTTCTTTTTTCCTACTTTTGTTTCCTTTTACTGATTTCCATGAACGTTTCATGCTTCTTTCGCCTATTTTGCGAGACAACGGTTTTTCTCATATTTCCTTTGAAAATTTGCGCGGGAAATTGACACGCGGTCGGCCAGAAATGATCACCTCGCGCATGCTTGACGTATGACCGCTGTGAAAACGGCGGAAATGCGAGGCTTCTTCTCAACAGCAATGGTTCTTTCGAAACATGCACGACCTACTTGAACTTATATAATGATAATTAATAATGATAATAAGAATTATAGTATAATAATAGGATAGTATGGGGATAATAATAATAATATAAATATGGCGCGATTTCCAGTGATGTCCAATCGCGCTTTACAATGTATAGTACATAAATTCGATTAAAATGTAAAACATCGAGGAAAAATTACATTTACAAGCTTAAGGAAAACTGCTAATAGGTAAAATAAGTATCGGAAAATGATATAATATTATGATTTTAATGCTAAAACTAAAAAAATTGACTACTAAGATAAGTGTTGCCTTAACTCAGCTAGTCTCATCAAATGTGGTAATCGGTCTCTCAATAAGTTAGCCGTGGTGAATCAGTGAAATCTGATTACAAACAAATTAAAAAATGTTAGAATTTCACATACCAATACTAAATAAATGGAGAACGCTCATCTGTCTGTCTTTCGGTCTGATTAGCTGACTGACTGACTGACTGACTGACTGACGAGCTGATAGACTGACTGACAGACTGACTGACCGACAGACTGACTGACTGACTAACGGGCTGACTGAGTGGTTGACTGGCTGACTGATTCTTCGCTCGACTTTCCTCTGGTTCTCCAGCTCGCCCGTCTGTCCATCCATCCACGGATTCATCCAATTTGTTTTCGTCCGTCGGTACCATCCTTTTTCCGTTTGTTTGTTTCGTCAGTTTGCCTGTTTCTTCGTTCACGCAGTTCTTCGTCCATCTGGTCCTTCGATCGCTCATTTTTTGTTTGTTTGTTTTCTTTGTTTGTTCGTTGATTGATTTGTTCGTTTATTCGTTCGTTTCCATTCGTTCAGTCGACCGTTTGCTCGTTATTTCATTTATTTGATTCTTCGTTCTTTCATTCGTTCGTTTGTTTGTTCGTCCAGTTTGTTCTTTCGTCCGTTTATTAATTCATTCTTCCAACACTGGGAAACTGTACGTGTTGATCAATTGGTTGACGGTGATGTTAAAGAACACGCACACGAAAACAAAGAAAAAAGCTAGGTAAGGGGTTTGAAAAATACCTTTGATTGAATAAGTTTGAAACAGAGGCATCACTCCTAATACACTCAAAACCATTTGCGGGCCTGTTAGTCAGTCCTTGCAGTTGCAGTTCGCATGACTCATTCTGGGCAATTCATTGCAATTTAAGCGAATTTTTAAGCTAGCCGTGGTTTGTTCTGCACTCCTCTGATACGCAGTTAGCTTGAATTAGCGCGAGGATCTTCAGACTCCTTTATTCGGTAAGCCAATCATAGCTAGCGAACGCGTAAAGACTGGGTACAAAAAGAATGAAAACCACTTAAACTCTTTCTCTGCGGCTGTTGTTTATTGTCAGTAAAACCCCAGGATCCAGGGGTGAGGTTGTTGGCGCGCTTGTGAGGTAATCCGCTTGTTCATATTTCATCTTGATCAAGTTTACGTGATAGGTGGGGTGACCCGCTCCGCTCCTGCTTCCCGGACCCCGTTTTCTGCTTTTTCCCTTCCACGCAGTCCCCTTCCACCCAGTCACCCTCCACTGAAAACTGGCAAATACCCTCCAAGTTTTCACAACACTCGCTCCTGAATGACAATGGTAACGTTTCACTGTCTTAGTGTGACAAACGTGTGACTATCCCAAGATCGATCCTAACACGTTCTTTCACCAAAGCGAGGCCAAAGAGTCAGCAAATCTTTCCCCCGAGAACGAAGGAAGCATCGATACGGTGTGGTTTGAGGCTTGCCCAGGTACGATGGATTTTAAACACTTATTTATCAATGTGCTGTATAGATATGAGTAGAAATGCCAATTATCTACCTTAATTTAGCCGAAGTCAACAACGTAGTAACAGTGCATAGCATAGTAGTAGGTCGTTTTTTTGTTTGGGAATGTACAATTTCTCAAGTTCAACACAGGCCTTCAGAAAACACAAAACAAAAAACGCGAAGGATTTCTTGATATTCTAAAACAAAATCATAGTAACTAATGAAATCTACCGTTTTCGCCATTGTTTTCTTCATTCAAGAGAGCAGGCCATCTTTTACTTAAGAGCTGTATGCGTTTTAAAGATCAATGAAATAAATAGGGGGCTGTGTGGTAATCTTGCCTGTATCTTTTACAGGCTCGAAATTTGAGCGGACTATGCACTTAGATCAGTCATCCTCTATAGAAATTAACCCGTCGGGCACACTTTGTCACACGAAATGTTTTTTTACGCCTGTACTGAAATGGTAAGATCTTATAACAACGGTTGTTGATAGTACATGTTTTCAAATTTTGCGTTGTATCCATCTCAGCTTCTTGTAATATCGATTTGCACCGAGCTAAACAAATTTCGACTCTCTCTTCATGTGCAATCACGACACGACTTTGATATTTAAATTCATTCGCGAAGGAAAAATGTCTGATATTTTTTATCTCGTCTTCAAAATTAGTGATAGTTAAGAGGTCAATTCAACGCAGATGGCCTGTTCTCACCATTGAACGACCCCTTTGAAAACAATGTATTATTTTAATAACAATTTGACGTTTTTCTTTACGATCTGCTGTGTACATTTTCCTTGATTGAGAATGATTGTTTTGATTGCAAAACACCCGCGTTAATTTATTATTGTTCTCTCCTCTTCAATCGTTTGAATTGCGATCCTCCAAACCTGAAAAAACGCCTCTATGATGCAATAATAATATATATGTAGTCGCTTAATATTGCTTCAACGGACTCGTTTCTTTCTTTCTCTTTATTTTTTGAGGGCCTGAATTAATCAACTGAATTTGAAATTGTTTGCTACGGTGATGGCTCATTTTTCTGGTCACGCAATCCTGTACAACGAAAGTTTGTTGTCGTGTTTTTTTTTGAGACAGAAAAACATCGGCCTAAAATGTAACGTGTGAGATGAATCAGATTTGACGTATAAATGATTGGTGATCAATTCGATCGCACTTTAATGCTGCTATGAAACCGAAAAAGGAAACAAAGGCGCAAGTGCATTAAAGCGAAACTGCTCAGTCAGGATCATGATTAGGTTGTGAATCGTCTCAGTTGAGACAATGACTCCGAAATTAAGTTTTCTTTCCCTTGTCTGAGTGGTTTTATGGGTCATTTTATTGGATCTCATTCTACCAAAAGCTTCAAATGTTAGAGGAGGGGCTTGGTCAATTTTTCCATCAATTTCGCCTAATTGATTAAAGTGGCATAATTTCCATGCCTTGGGTGAGTCTTGCGGATTGAAGCCGGACAAGTCAAGGAGGCTAGCTGTCAGCAAGTGTGATGAGCGACCTTTGCTCGATTGCAGTAAGAGACAAAATGTTTTCGCTTTTTTTTCGTTTGTTTCCAGCAGCACTTTTAATAAGTTAATCAACAGTTTTCCAACATTGTAAGAATAAATAAAACAGACTGTCAAAAGAATAAATAAGCGAGTAAACGCACAAACACACGAACGAACAAAGAAACGAACGAGAGAAAGAGCGCACAACCAAAAAAACCAACAAACGAAATAACGAGCAACTGTCTAATGAACCAACGAATTAAAGGGGGAACGAACGAAGGAATGAAAGAGGGAATGAAAAAATGAAAAAATGAATTGAAAAATTAACAAAAAAAGGAGAAACAAATGAAATAACTAGATACCGAATGAAACAACGCCGGAACGAACAAATGAAAGAACGAACAAACAAAGAAAGGAACAAACGAAAAAAGTGGATGAATGAACCGACGGGCGGGCCGGAGAACCAGAGGAAAGTGAGAGTTCGTCAACCACTAAGTCAGTCAGACTGAAAGACTGGAAGACATAAAGATGAACGTTCTCCATTTACTAAGTTTTCTTCTGAGAAATTCTTACATCATGGATTTCTCTTTATCAGATCTCAATGATTCATCATGGCTAAAATATTGAGAGGCCGGTTACCGCCATTAATGAGAGAAGCACTGGCTGAGTTCATGGCAACATTTATCTTAGTGGTTAGTATTGGTAGTATCAACGTTATTTGTATATTAAATAATTCTATTGATCAATTATACATTTTGCCTTTTACACATTTTCTTTAAGCTTCTAAATATAATTTTTCCTCGATGTTTCATATTTTAATAGAATTTATGTAATATCATGATATACAATTGTAAAGCGCGATCAGATATCAGTGAAAACGAAATCGCGTTATATTATTGTCGTTATTATATTAAAGAGCAAGTAGGTCGTTTTCCTCTGGAATCAAATTTGTTAGGTTGGTTGGGTTTTTCTGGGCTGTATTGCAAATAAAACACTTTAGACTGATATTGTTGATCGGGTTGAAACGGTCAATGAAGTACGAGTAAAGACCACTGTCGTTTTCGCGGGCTTAATGTAGTCAAGCGCAGGCTTCAGTTGCCAGCCACGTTCCTTGATGTGGACTGTGACAAAATGGTGATTAACTCGTGCCCTTTCAATTAACACGCTAGTGAGGGAAAAAATTTAAAGGGTGCAAATCGGCGAATAAGTAATTGGTAATAATCAACCTGAGGTCGCCCTCAGCAGGTACTGCGTATCAACTCTTTAACCTCCATGAGTGACCAAGACAGAGTCTTTCCTTACAATATGATTTAAACAAGTGATGAGGATAAATAAAGATATAAATTTGGGGATTATTAGTTAGCCCAATACCAAATTCTCCGATTTAACATCATAAAAATTTTATAGCAGACATTAAGGAGAATTACTAAAGAGATCTTGCAAGTGAAAGGATTTAGACCAAAGTTCTTTGCTTGTTTGTTTTGGTTTTATTTGATTAGGAATTATGAGAAAATACTACGGTAAATTGTACTTTATTCCTTTGACAACTTTATCCTCTCTAATTTCCTAGTCCTTTGGCCTTGGCTCCGTAGCTCAATTTACTCTGAGTCGCAGTCAACTTGGAACCTTCTTCTCGGTAAATTTCAGCTGGGGAGTTGCAGTCACGATGGGTTGTTACTGGGCTGGGGGAATATCAGGTGAGTATGTTTTCACAGTACAGAACCAATAGTGTTTCCAAAATTATCTTTTAATGTTTTTCCAAATTAATTTAAAGAAGATGCGCCGCAGTAATGTTTTAAAGGTTGAAAGAGGGTGGAGGGAATTCATTATGCGAACTAAAGGTAAATGAATACAAATACATCTGCTATTTATTGCATCTTCCCTCGATTAAGGTGCACATATGAATCCCGCTGTGACCCTGGCCCTTGCTGTGGTGCGGCGATTGAAGTGGACCAAAGTTCCTACATACTGCCTCGCTCAGCTGCTTGGAGCCTTCTTTGCGTCAACTGTTGTTTACGGAATTTACCGTGGTGAGAATAAATTTGTCTTCTTGTCATTAACTAGAAGATTTTTAACTATCACAATGCTATCATTATCATTTAAAATATTTACAATAGAAAACTAGTAGGAGGTACGGTAGCCTGATGTTCAGTGTGCGAGGATCTGGGCTCTGTGTGGTGTTCTTTAGGAAAACAGTGAACATTCACAGTGCCTCTTCATACCCAGGGAAGCCCGATCAAATTAGTTCTTGGGGGTAGGGTTGCGATGGACTTGCATCCCATCCAGGGACCGTTATTTGGCCTCAATGGGGAAGAGTGATACTTCGCTTCATGCTAGGGAAACCGGGATAAGATCCAGTTGAATGGACCAAGTCAATTAGAGAATTTTTAAAATGGAAAGCTAGACGCATTTCCCAAATCGTTAAATGGTGGAAGAAGTGCTTGAAAAAGGGGCCTGTTACTTTCGAGCGTCTTACAAGCGATCGTGGGCACGCACGAGATGAACACAAATCACGAGTCATGCTTCTCTTCTCGCGCGTGATTCACACTTTGTGCTCACATCACGGCTATCTCCACTGGCCTGAAAAACGCAAAAACATGGCGCCTGTTTTCTTGCTGTAGAAAAGTAACTTTGTTGAGCTCATGCGACTTTATGAAAGGTTTTTAGTTTGGGTGATCATGAGTCGCAGGTATCACTCGAGTCCAGAATCATGAAAAGCATATGCGTTCATGTAATTTTCTTTGAAATTGGAATATCCGTCTGGTAATAATTTTTGTACACTTATTTGATGCTGGGAAAAGAAAATTTTTTGTCATTATTTTTTTTTTCTGCGCATGAAACCAGATGCTCTAGACGCATTCGACGGTGGTATTCGTCAAGTGACAGGCCCCAACGCTACCGCAGGGGTATTTGCAACGTATCCAAAGCCTTTCGTGACGACTGCAAATGGATTTGCTGACCAGGTAACAATTTGTTCTCTTAAGTATCAGCTCTTTATTTTACAAACAGACTTCAAATTAATCCCTTTTGCCTTTTACAAATGGATTCCTTATTGCCGTACACATGATATATATATATATATAGAGAGAGAGAGATCGATAGATTGATCGATTTTTGATAAGCCGAATAAGCCGAATTATACACGCGTGATTGTCAATTATGATCCACTGGAGGACAGACGCATAGATATAAATCTGCTCATTTATCCTATGAATCAAGTAGATTCTAGTGGCGGATCCAGACATTGAGCTGAGGCTTTTCTTCCTTCTGCGATTCTTTTTTTTTTATTTTTTACCCAAAGTAAGGGGGGGGGGGAAGCCCCCCGGTTCCCCCGAGTCTCTCCTAGATCCGCCACTGTGGGTGGGTCTGTTCGGTAACTCATCACAGAAGGCGTCAAAATTTGGAAAGAACATCAGTAGGTGATCAGTGATAATTGTCGGCAACGCCTCGTTCGCCAATTTTTTGTTCTTTCCTCATTTTGATAACATTTTGACACCGTATGTGATTTATATTACTGAACAGACACACAGTAACATGATGTATTTGTTAAAAGACGCAAGGCAAAGTGAAATCTATTATGGGAACTTTCTTTCCTCTTAAATCAGATGACTTTAATTGTTATAGTTTTTTGGCACCGCTCTCCTTGTCAGCTGCATATTCGCTATCCTGGACCGCAACAACAATGCCCCCGACCAGGGGGTGGCACCGGTCATGATTGGTCTGGTCGTGTTTTTGATTGGCACCACCTTTGGATTAAACTGCGGTTACCCCATCAACCCCGCTAGGGATCTGGGGCCAAGAATTTTCACTGCAATGGCTGGATGGGGATCTGAAGTGTTTACGTAAGTCGTTTATGAAGTAAAATATCAATGGAAATGTCAAATAGCATGTTACATGTAAGAAGTCGTATAGTAACTAGGCATGCAGAAAAACAAGCAAAAAGATCTGTCGAGGCTGTATTTTAACCATGTGTTCAGAACGGGCCTTTTTTAGCGAAATTAATTTCCTATTCTAGAGGTAATACCAAAGACCATATGATCTCAAGAACTGCCTCAGTCTATTCTAACAATCTGCGACCTCAACCTCTTGTTCAAACGATTAAACTTGCAATTTTGCGATTAATATATGACATTGCAACGATCCGAGGATCTGAATTTGGTAGGATTGATGGAAATCACGTTTGCTGCTAAAACAACCATTTCCATATTCCGTTTCAGGGCCTATAATAATTGGGCCTGGGTCCCAGTCGTAGCATGTCCGTTAGGGGGAGTACTGGGTGCCATTGTCTACATCATAACCATTGAGTTTCATCAATCAGCATCTGCAGATACAGAACATCCCTATGAACCAATTTGTACAGCAGCCGCCATGACAGAGCAGAAGGAATCACTGTTATCCTGAACAACAATGACTTAGCAAGATGACTGATCTTCATGACTAACTATATAACTATTTATTATCTCGTGTTCTCCCAACATCCCAAATGGTTTATCAGCCAGTAAACCGATGGAAAGTGTGGTTAAATAACATTTAAATAATATTTGTATACTCTTCGCACAGTCTAACATCTCAAAGTTATACGCCGAAGGCTCAGAGCATTTTGTTGATTATAACCCACCCATTAATTTTCAAGTTATTCTATTAGCCTCTTAACGTCACGTGGTTCAAAATCACCTGACAAGTATTACGCAACAGCCCCCGTTCAAGTCGATATTTGACCTCCTCTTATTACCGTAAAAAAAAAAAACAACAACAACAACAACAAAAACAAAAACAAAAAAAAACAGAACTTGCGGGAAAAATTAAAGACTCAAGAGTTCCACTTATTCATCTTTATTACTTTACATGAAGGGAAACGAATTCGTTTTGTAGATTCCAGTGATAGTGACATTAAAAAGCTGGTCTCAAGTGCTGGTCCGCAAAGTACAAAATTTGCTGCCAACGTGCGATACGAAATTGAATGTGAGGGTCATAGAATAGATAAACCCCCTTCTGGCTTGCTAGTATATCGGCTGATAATGTCCTTTGTTGAGAGATTGCTCTCAAAATTTCACATTTCTCAGACAATATCTCAACCGCGGAAATTATTAGCAGACACAATAGCCGCCTGAAAGGGTTTATTCACTAAATGGTTATCTAATAAATAATCAAGGGGATTATTCAACAATACTCATTGAGCCTGAGGCGAATAATTGTTTAAGTATAATTACTCGGTGCTTTCTCTTGTAAATTCGTTTTGTTGTTGAAACCATTCTGTTACAATTGTTTTAATTACTTGTATTAAAATAAGCAGCCAGTCTCCACTAGAATTTAACAGTTTTATCTGATTCAGTTAGCAGAAAGATCATATCTTTCTTTCGAAAAGTGTTATACCAAGCTTAGTGGCGTCTTTTTTGCTATTTTCTTCTATCGCTTTCGTCACTTCCTCCGTAAACTGACAAAATGCGAGGCAGCCATTTTGAAATTTAGCACCCCTGCCGTAATCACCTCGCGCGAGGTGATTAAAGCGAGATATTGCGCAATTCTAGACCAATCATGACATACCATTGTAATTATCTGTTTATAATCTGTTTGGCAACACAGAGCATCACAGTCTACGTTGTTTATTTCGGTACGCTGCATAAATTTTACAAGCTAACAGCTATCTTGTCTCGTCCGGGCCTCTCTCATTTCTTGCAGCTCAATGTCCACGGTGTCATGAACTTGTTCAACTTATCACTTAACCATGAAGCACTGCGCGCTCTATTTCCCGTTCAAAGGCACCTGGTGTCGAGGTGGTCTCACGGTACATCTGCGAAAGAGCTTTTTTTTCTATAAGTAGTAACAATACTTCCGTAAAAGTGGAAATTTGTCTGCGATGCAATATGACTGATTTCCATAAGCGTCGATTCGACTAATATCCCCTCCTAGCGAAGGAATACCTTTCTTCATTTTGATCGTAGCTTCGTAAAATCCATCATTGGGAGACGTTATGAATTGCAACTGATACAATGTGTTCTTGGCCATAGTGTTGGCGGATTTTGAATTTCGGATCATGACAAAAACCATAACCAACCTTGAAGTGTTGGGCATTTTTCTCTGGAAGTTAGCAGCAGATGTGGAATCAAATATGATCAAAGAAATATCAAGTGAAACACCACCAGTCTTCACCAGTCTTGATAAGACTTCCTCTTTAGGTATGATCTGCATATGTACATAACTCTTTACGTCACCGGACGTCGTTACAACATCGACTCGGACAAAATCGGTTTTGACCTTTGCTTTTCAAAAAACTTCCTAAGAAGTTAAAGCAAACATTAAGAAATATTTGATCACATTATCGCCCTGCACGAATCGAAAAACTTCGGATGCAAATGTCATTTAATCCGCTTTACCAACCCCCATCACCTTGCTTAGAACATGGCAGACATGCCTCTTACTAACAGAGTTCCAAGTCCGTTCTTTAAGTTGCGGACCGAGTAGAAAAAGTGCCGTTCTATGACTCACAGTATTGACCAAGAAAACGAGGTTAACAAGATATTCACTGTATCGATCTCTTAAGAGGTTCGTTAAGTTTGTTTGAGTGCAACTTAAGCAAACTTATGAGTTTAATGAGTCATTCGGAAAAACAAAAAGCACGTGCTAACTGGGAGATATAATTAAATAAATTGTAATTATAAAGCTTCACCCTAAACGCTACGAGGAGCCTCAGCTTCATGACATCATTACCAGCAGTGACGGTACCACAGAATTAAAATGTGTATATCATACTTACCAGAGTTGGAAGCAGCTGCTTTACTTCGAAAAAGCCAGGACCGCTGGAAACGACAAGAAAGGCAACAGTAGGTTTGTAAAGCTTGATTGGCCCTTTATTTCAAACCCCTACTAAGTGACTAGCGTCTAACCTCTCCTTACAGTATCACTTTGAATCAAACATTAAAGGTCATGAGAAACCTTTGAAAGGAGATGATGACCAACTAAAGAAGCTCTCGATTGTCAAACAAATTCTCCTTGTCACTTACCTTGGGAAATGTGTAGATAAAAGCAGGGAGAATACAAGTACTGATGTTAGGATGTTAAGGGTTGAGCTCGATAACAGGTAACATGAGATTATTTCATTACAACGATAGGAAAGTTTGATTTAACGTCTATGGATTGCAGCCTGTTTTGCACATCAGAATACAGCTGTTTGCAGGAAGGTTTTCGGAAAAAGCGCGTGCACGCGACATAGTAAGGCACTAAAGCTCTGTGGGTAATTGGGGTTTAAATTTGAGCTACTTACAAATAACTTTTATTAGGTTGATTCAGGAGCCATGACAAAAATGCAGGGCAGTTGAACGCTCCAAGTAATGGACGCTTTGTGCTACCAACAGAGCTGTGATGCCACGAGTTAGCCGGTGGAGTGAATTTAAACGGGTTCTTTGTTTCCCTTAGAGAGATCTGGTCGCATTCTGGAAACATTGAATAGGTCATAATTTGACCTATAGACAAGACAACTAGTGACGAATTCATCATATTTGGTATTGATAGCGCGCCGATACTGGCACACAGATCTTGAAAAAATTCCCCCGTGACTGATTTTGCAAGAAGACCTTCACAAGGGAGCCCCAAATTTCCTACAGCCGAGGAGAAGGAAAAGAATTCATCTTATCCATTGATTTTCAATCGAAAGATAGAGATTCCAATTCAAAATGTAACAATTTGTAATAATATTTATCTTAAGAAAGTTGCATCGTTGCGGAAGGGGACTAGGCCTTGCTAGACCCAGACCCAACAACATTCTTGGAGTTGCTCGGATCAGTCATTTTGAAAATGGCGGGTATTGTGGATGTCAGTGAGTAATGGCACATTTGATCGGAATTGTGTGACAATAAGAGTATTCCACGGTTTTTAGAGGTCTAATGGCTTCAAGTCCCGGTAATGATTACCTTGAAGTTGTAGAAATTGTTGTCTATGATTGACATGATCGCAGAAATGAGAACGTCGTGAAGTCAGAGGACGAGTCGGATCACAAGGAACAAGAGATGGAGGTGGACACTGGCGGAGGTGAACAAGGAAGCGAACGCGTTCAGCAATCAAGCGAAGTAAATAACGTGCCAGATGTATCAGAGGCGCATGTGACGCCGTGACGCCGGCGGTCGCCAGAAATGTACAAGTTCTTGGAGCGTCAGCAGTGAATTCCCTAGAAGATTATTAAAAGAAGTCCTCGAAAACAACCACTAGAGACATTTCTGCAAAAGATGAAAATACCAGGTCACCAGTTAAATCACCCGAAAAGATGATGATGTAAGTTTTGCTCAGTCGTTACAGGATAGTTATTTTCGCGAAAATGACCCCCTCCCTTCTTGCCAATGTTGCTAGCTGACTTCACAAGTTAGAATAGAAAATTTTAATTCTGGACAAGAGGGTAGGATACTTAAGTCTTGCGCTGCCGATCTGTGATGGCTACAGATTTTAGTAGAAAGCTGATTTTTACATGAACTGTCTGGAAAAACTTTATGCGGCTCTGAACTATTCTTAAACAATTAATTTTTGAATTTACAGTTAATAGCTTTTGCATGTATCTAGGTTGGTCTGTCTTTTTCTGACTCTGGCTGACTCAAGTGTGTGTAACATCATTTGTCCTACTTAAGTGTAATTTTTCTTTTAGTCCCAAAGTTGTCCAATTTGGAATCGAAACAAAGTTTCCACTTGATTGCATCGCTCTGCACTTCTGATATGGACTCCGACTCTGTTGTAACTGAGAACCAGTGTTTAGCTGGTGATCATCTCCTTTACTCTTGTGACCTCAATGTGTGGTTCAGGGGTGATATTGTAGGGAGAAATTAGATGCTAGTCACTCTTGGAGTTTAAAAGTAAAGTCCAATTATTACATCTCCAGGTCCAGCTTATGCTCTCAGTGCAGCTCAGGATCTGATGGGGACATCAACAGCTGTGAGAAAATTTGGGCAAAGCACCTCTAGTCAGAGATTATTATCAAGGAAATCATATGTTCTACAAACATCTTTTCAAGATTCACAGGTACAGCTTGAAAATTGTATTTGCCACTTCTTAATACAGTAATATTCAGTTCATATTCTGATAATATAATCACCTTATATGGAAATACATTGTGCCAAGTTTTGTGAAGCTAAAAAATTTGACTTTATAAAGTTCCAGATATCCATAAATTAAGGATTTAATAACAGGCTCATATCCAATGTGCTCTTATGGAGTAATTGTTAAATATTCAATCATCATGGCTTGTTAAGTTTTGTACCTCGACTGATGTAACTTTTGTAATTTAGTATTTTGTACTAAATTGATAAAGTAAATTGGTCACCAGAATGCTGACATTTCGAGCATCAGCCCTTCATCAGAGCAATTAGAGGAATTGTGGGCTGTGTGTAGGTTTATATGCAGAAAATGGAGCTATGCTGGGATTATGGAGACAGGAAACAGGAAAACAGCCTCATTGTTGGCTCTGCAGAATAAGTGTTTCTCCACCTGTGGGAATATTTAAGAAGAGATTGAAAGAGGTGTGCTGTGGGTGTGGCTGACTGGTTTGGCTCAAGGCCTTAAATTTATTTGTTTGTGAAGAAACACTCGTATTAAAGTGGGTGTAGTGTGGACCTGCTTATACAGTAGTGTAGGTGGAACACTTGTAGGAAAGAAAAATGTGTTTTGCCTCATATAAGTTGTCAGTTATTGTTTGTAACATTCTGAAAGCTGTTTTGTTTTGTGTCATCAGTCAATGATAAAAAAAAAAAGGTTAATGTTAGACTTTCTTGTGACAAAGATTTTTTGTCATTTAAGTGCTGTAGAATGAACAAACAGCTGCCTCTCCAAGTCAAGTGAGGGAAATCTGCACTTAAAAATATTAACTTTAAAAGTCAAAACTACTTGAAATGTCAGCTTTAAAACTCTTAGCAGTGGCCAATTTGCATTATCAACTCAGTTGATAAAATCAAAATTATCTTGTTAAACTCCCCCACAGTTTCTTTAGAAACTAACCCCTTTATTAGTAATAGTAATTTGTAGCCTTTCCACACAGTTTCATGTAATTATGGGCATCTAACACTGTATTAGGTGAACATTAAAGGAAAGACAAATTCCCTTAGCAATTGCATCCATGTGAAAATGTAATTATTACAGGCATGCATGTAGGAAAGAAAGAATAAAAAAATATGCATTTGTTTCAAAGTTATCGCATGATGTATTTTTTTTAAATTCATACAATTCTGGGGCATTGTTATCTTGCAGTTGGTGCATGTTACTAATGTAGAAGGGAAATGCCTAGTTGCTTGAAGAGAGAGGTTGAATGGACACTCAAATTTACTTGGGGTTGCTTTTTCTTTTGGCAGACCTGGTGAAATTCTTGTGTGCAAACTTGAAGGAACTTCATTCTGGGAAAAAACACCTGGAGCTTATTTTGTCTCTCATTGTTTTACTCTTCCTGAAGGTAATTGTAATGACTGTATTAGAAAAAATGACAGATCTGTAGAGGGTAAACTGTAATGTTATTTTCTTAATCATCTTTACTCAGGGGAAAAGTCGAATGCGAATTTCCTAAATTTTTTGAGGGGGTTTAATTGACTGGTATAGTTGTCACTTTTGTGCATTGACTATATTCTAACAAAACCAATCCCAGAATGACAAATTAACGCCATCACCGTTGTGAGGGACATAATTATGTTATGTACAGTGTTCACATATGTGGGCAGTTAAATTTTTTTTTTTTAATGTGACTCTAAGTTTAGGCCCTTAATTCCTGTAGGTGGTTAACATGTACATGGTGTAAGTTCTCTTTGCAACAAACACATTAAGCCAGACCCTATTTGCACAGACAACTTATAACACATGATCATGGCTTTCATTCTATTTTGTTTCATACTGTTTAGTGTCTTGCACCAGTTTATCCTTTTATCCTTTTATCAACTCATAATTGTATGTTTTCACTTCGCTCCTTCAAGAAATTCTCTCAAACAAGACATTTGGTAGGCCTTTCTTTTCTTGTGCAGTTCATTTGTCAAATGAATGTTTACCATATGTTAATTTTTGGCTTAATCTCAGGGCTAAACTCTGATGTAATTATGTTTATGTGTTAGTAAGATAAAAGTTTAGCCAGTGAGAGTAAATAAAGTCTTTGTTGATAGAGTGTCTCCCTCATTCAAAGATACATGACTGAATAAACAGGCAAAACTGGTGGGGAAAGTGCTAGAAACTCTTTAGGTGGCCAATTCACATTATCAACTCAGTTGATAAAACCATGCAAATTACATATCTTGCAATTCTCCCCAATGATGCAGCACCACAGTTTCTTCAGAAACTTACCCTCTTCATTTGTGTGTCTGTTCAATAGTCTAAAAGAGTGATGATCAATTTAACCCTTTCACCTTTAAGATATTGAGATTAATACTCCTTCCCACATTCATCAACAGCTTCTTATGATGGAAAGTCTTAGAATTTATTGTCAACTATCAGCTGCTTGATAGTTTTTGTTATTCTGATTACCTGCCTGCTGTCTTAGTAATTTGAGTATTGTTTGGCCTCTTCTAAAAGTGAAAGGGCTACATGTATGCTAAGAAAGGTTTTTGAAATTAAAGTACATGTATAACCGAAATCATTAACCTTATCTTCATGCAAAATTGCTGTAAAATATGTAAGAGTTTGTTTGAACATGATGCCAAGAGAACAGAAGTATGTGCTTGTCATGATCTTAACATTAGCGTACCTCTCAGCCATAAGATTAAACATCCTGTCCAAAAGAAAGACATTCTTAAACAGCTACATGAATCCAGCAATGGAAAAATTGTCTACCTTTGTGTGTGGTTATTTGGATGAACCCCACCTTAGCATGCAAAATGTTTGTCTCTTGTTTATTTTTTTTTTCTCCTAGACTTTGACATGGAATGACAGCAATTGAAACCAGTTGCAGAAACTACGTACCCAACCAAGGAAAAGAGGTGTTAGATGTTCTTCCCTTTGCTGCTAATGGAAATGACTATCTGAGCAGAAATTAAGTGTTTACAAATGGATGAATGTACAAAAATTTATTGACAAATTCTGCATTGCTCTAAGTTAGTACCTATTTTTTATATACAAATGTGTTGTATTAAATAGTATACAACATGCAAGTAAAAAGTGGTTTTCTCACTCACTGATTGGCTAGTTTGGAAAAGAACAGCAAGTACTATTTAGCACCAAGTGACCAATGAGACAAAATTGCACATCAAGAATTTAATTTCTGACCATTTTTTGGTATACTAGAGAAATAAACTAATTTCTGGTATACAGTGTATGTGTGGAATATACTAAAACAATTTTTCACCTCAGCATTGGTGAAAGTGAATATTTATCTTACCGCTTTGGGGCATGGTGAATATCTACCAATATTCACCTCACCATTTTTTGGTATACTAGAGAAATAAACTAATTTCTGGTATACAGTGTATGTGTGGAATATACTAAAACAATTTTTCACCTCAGCATTGGTGAAAGTGAATATTTATCTTACTGCTTTGGGGCATGGTGAATATCTACCAATATTCACCTCCACTTTGATGAATAATTGTTTATTAAAATAAATATCTTTAGTTGGTAAAATAATTTTCATACTATTTAATAAAATAATGAAGTAACTTATAAATTTAAAATAAGTGAATATTTTAACCTTACTGACAATTACTTTCTTCTTAATACTATAAAATGTTTCATACTCCTTTTTAAAATATATTTGAATTTATTCTTTAACTCTTAACTTGCAATATTGGACTGAATATGAAAAGTTAAGGTTAACTTAAATGAGGAAAAAATTTTTTTAGTCAACTTAGTAAATTTCCATTAACTGGTAAAAGTCAAGTTTGATACGTTTTATAGAAGTGTTTGAAAGGACAAAAAGGTACACACCTCAGTATGATAATCCTAATTTACTAACACAGGGAATAAATTCCATGTTGCTGTGGGTCTGTTCAGAAGTAGATCACAGATAATATCAAAATGTGGTCAGAACAAATAAGTGGCACACAAGGCACAGCTGAGTGTGTCACTGATGTTCTTACTGCATTTTGACATTTTCTGTGATCTATTATTGCAAAGATCCATAGCAACACAAAATCTAACTGTTTTATGTAATAATATAGCAAAATGTTGCTATTGGTGATGTCATAGACCTGTCTGTACTCGTATAGATCATAAGTAAAAAAACATTTAGAATGCCTGACTGTATAATTCCACTTATCATATATAATAAGAATATTTGATAATAATATTATTCCATTAGTGCATATTGGACATGAGATGGCAAATAATTTTTAAATTAAATTTCATCAAATCCTGAAGATTTGGATCTTTGAAGCTTTTTTCAGCTCTACAAGTTGAGTGAAACAACCAGAAAACTCTTGCTTCATTTGGAGTTGAAAAGTTACTGTTTGATATTTGGTATTGAGTTAAATTCATGAGTCAGCCAAGTACAACACAGAGTAGAGAATTCATGGTTAGCATTTTGAAGTGAAGCAAAGTGGTTCAAAAGTCTGAATCTAAATCCTCTGGAGAGCATTATAATATTTTCCCTAAAAATAAGATTTTTGTTTGATAAAAATACAGCAAGTTTCAAGCTATGAGACTTTAACTAATATAACTAACTTTTATCCTTTGATCTCAGTAATACTGGGTCATTTGTTTTGATCCAACTTCCTTTAAAGGAATGTTAAGCCTTCAGTTAACTTACACATTGCTGTTACTCTGGTAACTAGGGCTGAAAGTAAGAGGGAGGTTTTGACCGCATAGCATCAGGCCTATTTCTGATGGAGAATCACAAATGAGGTAAAAGCTAAAACAGACATTGCAGCAGTACTGGTTCTAGAAGTAAAGGATGCTGCTGACCAACCAAAGTTTGAAATCAGAAATGCTTTTAAGCCAGCTGTAAGAAGACTCCACAGTACCCAACTAGAATAGAAGAGCCATGAACACAGCTTAGCTATAGACATACACAGATAAATATAGGGTTTCAACTGCATTAGCCAAATACGTACAGGATGTAAAGGGAATCATTATTGTATCACAAATGCTGTAATTTCATTGGTTATGCTTTTGGCTACCAACAGTATCTATTCTAGGATAGACAAAATAAAAACACAATCATGAGCCCCTCTTGTTAGTATTCTGATAGACCAGTGGAAAACTTGTTCGCTCTCCATTTTTGTGCATGATAGAAGCCTCTCTCTACTGATTATTTAATTAGAAAGAGGAAATGGACATCCTGGCTATGATGTATTCTGTTAAAGATCTGTAGATATAGATTGTGCACCTCGCCTTTCTCCTATTCATAAATTTTGAGTATAGTTTTAGGTTACGAAGAGCTCAACCTCTATTAACAATGTTTAAAATTCGTGAGAAGAAGGTTTTAAGTGAGCTTGTTTTGGAACGGTACAGAGTGTTAACAACATTTAAGGATGTACCTACACCGGTATACCACAACTTGATACTTATTTTCTTGATCCTGATTTAAAATTGTTATCGATATCGATGTTGCAAATTTCCTCCTCCCAACTTAAATTCATAGTTTGGTCAAAGTAATTTAAGTCGACTACGGTAACTAGGTAGTTGTTGCAAGTGATAAACTAGTGTTTTCTTGCAGTAAAAAAAAATATTTCATGTTCAGTTCTATTTGCTGTGACCAGTATATAATTTTCTGTTGAAACTACTGTGTTTAAATACAAAAAGTAAAGACAGATTTTGCCAATCACCTTTTCAAAATTTCGATTTACAAGTTTCTTACGTCATTACCCACCTCATTAGGAAAGAACCACTCTCCGGGTAATTTAGTGCAAGGCGGCCAACCACAACCTTGAGCCAGACTATTCATGCTCCAGAGAAACGTCAAAAGCTAGACCTTCCCAGTGAATCCAATAAGAATTTTTATCATCCCAGTTAATAAAGTTCCTGTCGTAAACATCTTTGAAGGACTCAGAGTATCTGATAATAAGCCGCCCGAAAATTTTCCGACACTATACAACGCTGCGAAACCACTCGTTACTACACCAAGTTCATTCTTCTTCAGGTAAAGGTTTCGTATTAAGGCCGGTATGGCGAATGTGTAAGACTTTCTATAAAAATAATAGAAGGATTAACCTAAAACTGGTGAAATGTAAACCATCCATAGAATTATTTAATAACGGCGAAAGTTAGAGTCCTTCAGAGTCGCCATGTTTTTTCATGTGACAGTGTTATTTTTGTCTCGCAGCTGTTTTCGGCTCGTCACGCAACTACATTTTGGCTTGTCACGTATTATGTGTCAGGCCAAAATGAGAGCGTTGAGGAGACCTGGGAACTCTCTCTTCATCTATATCAGGTAATCTTCCTCTGTCGAGCCTCTTTCGTCTGAATCATTTCAGCTTCAATCCTTTTTAAATTTCCCTCCCGTTGATTATCTCCTGGGGAAAAGGGGATCGGATCCGATAAAGACTGGTCCCTAATATACCAGCATAGAAGAAAAACCAGATAAAGTACAGAAAGTTATCGAAGGTGAAAAAAATACTTCCAGTGAAGCTGTAACCTGACTGTTCATTGAATACAATATCTTTGGCGTTCACGCTTAAAATTTATTTCTTACACACACTGATCGTTGTAAAAGTTGTCAATGACTTTCATCAAGTGTTCTCGGAATCAACCTTGAAAATTCACATTTACCCTGAAACATCGTTTTTCTTTCAATTTCAACGTTCCAGCGATTATTTGTTATCTGAAATATAGCTTCCTCTGGGGTATTCTGGGGTATTTACTTTGCGTGAAATCGTGTATTGAGATCTGAAGTGATAATTCGAAAACGTGATTTCCCCCTTTGTCAAGAAACTTGTCCTTCGAATTATTTGGGCAGGTGAAATCATCGTTTTTGCCATGAGCTTCATTCTTGTAATATTTGTTATGGTAAATTTTTTATTTTGGAGAGACAGGTAGAAAAAAATTGTTTGATAGGATTCAGGTTTTGAAGAAAAGAGCAAATTATGTTGTGTTTTACTTGAAACGAATCTCTTGCAGATTTGTATTGCTAAGACCCTGAGCCTCGTAATTCGCTTTTTCGAGCTGCATAACCGAAAATTTACTCAGCTGAAAGGTGCATTTTCCTGTTGGAAAATACAGATTGATGCATTGTTTGTCTGAAATAACCAAACCTTTCAGATCAAAGAAATTATTAACAAGCTTGTCATTTTTCACAAAGGTATTTGTTTTAGTCGAAGTCTTCCATTCGACGCCTCTTTAAATGCAATAACATCTCCAGAACTTTAACTATCTCATCACTAAACAAAATTTTACTTTGATGAAATAAACTCTATGGATAATGTGTAAAAGTAGGCACACTTGTATGGGTTGGTAATATCTGAGTCGAAAACAAGGCGCGTTAGTGGGACGAACCTTAAACAAACAATGTTCAAAGCTTTTCTCATTTTTTATTCAAGAAAGGTCGCAAGCAGACTAATGATTAGTCAGCAAGTAAACAAAGAAATTAAAGATAATGCTGCGCAATTGTTATCTGTGTTAAACTTCAGAGGTCGGATCACGATCTTCTCATTGACCAACTCAAACTTGGACGTGGAGTTCATTTAGTTTTGAAAATGTTTGAAGTGAAAGTCATCGGATAGCGAGGAAACTTCTTCGAGGGGTTTCTTTTCTTGATACTTCATAATCGTTAAATTCTTCATTTGCTTTGAAGAGAAGGTCAACAGAGCCTTGCTGAACAAATGAATTCAACCGGGAATCAAACTGCTCCTTTGACACAAGGAATGATTTGCAGCAATGAAGCAGAACTTGTCTCGATGGTCACTGTGCAATTCTTATCATTCCTTGCAAATTTGGTGGCAGCGATAGCAATATGGAGGCTTCCAGGCCTAGAAGAAAACAAGTATCATCTTGTTGTCAGAACTCTGGTTGTCAGCGACCTCCTAATCCCAATCACAACGCTTCCATTCTCCATCATCTCCTTTGCAACCTGTTCGTGGATTGGAGGCGAGACTTTGTGCTCCGTAACTGCGTTCATCTCCACCACGTTTCTAAGCTGGTCTTTTATTATCGTGTTTATAATGTGCCTGCTCCGTTTCCTGGCAGTTACAAGGCCTTTGTACTACAGAAACCAAGTTACATATGCGAGAGTGCGGAATACTCTGATAGTCGGTCTGTTATGGCCTTGCGCTCACCTTATTCTTCCTGCTACGGGCTTCGGAAAGTTTCGTTTGTACAGTAAAGGACTGTACTGTGCTCTCGATTTAACAACAGAGGAACCAAATAATAAGATTCTACTCTACGCCACGGTTGTGGAAGGAAGCCTAGTTACTTTGGCTGTGTCGTATTTCTGTACCACTATCTTGTGTTTTGTTAAGAGGAAGCGAAGAGTAAACAGTTTGCTCTCCGAACAGCAGCAGCGAGGAGCTGGCATCGAGAAAGTTAACAGGCAACAAGGAGGATTTGCACGATTAACTTTCGTGATTGTTGCACTGTTTTGTATTTGTTACGTTCCATTCTTGGTAAGTATTTAAATGGGGTAATTTTGACGAGCCTGTGTACGGCCGTAGGTAAGATTTTCATTCAATTACTGAAATTACATCCATAAACGATCGATGTAATGACATTTTTTCTTCCAGCCGACAGAAGTTGTTAGAAATTGCCAAATTTGTGGTTGATATTTTCTGCAACAAAATTAACTTTTTTCAACCGGCTAGCTGGCGTCATCAATTAAAATCACTCAAAAATGCAAGATGTAGCGATTCATCAACGTCTCTGAGGATGGTGAAACGAAATTCTGAGTAAGAAGAACGAACAACAACCTTCAGCAATAACATGAACATATTGAGAGAACAAAATTTTGATTTCTAAGGATCGTCGATAAACTCCCTTGTTGTGTAAGAAAAGACGATGAAGTTTGAAAATTTTGTCGACGAAGGATCAGCACAAAACTCTACTAAAGATCTAGCAAGAAATAGGCCATGAGAAGACCTGTAGGACCCGAAATTTTCTGTCCGCGTGAGAATTTGGGACCAGTCGGGTAAAAGTTTACCGGAGGTCTGGCACTGATAATGCTTTTAGTGCCAGATTCCAAAGCTTTCAATCACAGAAAAAAAAAACAAAACATGAAAGTGTAATTAACTGAAAGGTAATTTTAAACTTATGGTATGGTCCGAATTCATTATTCTTTCAGTCTTACCGCGTGTTTATTCTGATACGAGGCCCATCCTCATACGACGACCACACTTACTTCTACTCTGAGTTATTGGCTCACGTCAACCCTCTTTTAAATCCACTGGTATACGTGCTTTGCAACAAACAATACCGTGCTTCTATCAAGGAGCTCTTCACAAAAAGTTACTGCAAAAGCGTGAGATGGTGGTTGGGCGAGAAATTTTACTTAACAGGTAAAAAAAAATGACGTTTATCACTACAGTTTGAGTCCACCTTAGTCGATTAGACCGCTCTTTCTTTATCGGTCTCAAGGCTTAACGACCCACGAGAGAACGTCCCTGAGCCAGAAGGTCTTCCAAATCACGAGCCGAAGGCGAGTGACTCTCAAAGGTCTCGAGTGTCCATCATGTTTGATTAGATAGACAAAGTAGTCACTTTCCAAAACACAGGCATACACAGTCAAGTCTTTGATTTTCGCAGTTAGTTTTGCCCTAAGATTTTCTGAGATGAAAGTTACCTCTTTCGTAGCCGCACAGACCGTGTATCGTAAAGTTGATTTGATGTGCCTAGACTTGCTCATTCAACGTTTTGTTAAAATTTGATAGCTGACGGTGATAAAATCAGCGAGCTTGAAACTTAAATTTCTGTAATGCGTACCCTATTTCAATGTTATTAACTCATTTTTAGTATATTTCCTTCATTTTTTTTTAGATGAAAATACACGAAGCATAGAGTTGAGGAAGATGTCCGCGTTTTCTACAAGAACACAAAGTATTGTTTTGGAATAACAGGTCTTAGTTTCCCTTGGATCTGAATCGTATTTCTCCCATCTAGCTTGCATATAATTCCTTAAAATAGGTCAAGAAAATTTGGTGTTATATCAAGAAATCATTATCAAGCTAGCGCGCAGAACAAGCGTCAATTTGTTTCTGCATTTTTTCTCAGGTGAGCGGAGGCAAACACACACGAGAGGAAGGAGCCCCTCCCCTTACCCTCCCCTCCCACTCGCCTCGCGCTTGCCTGCGCTCGCCTAAAAATGAAAAGAGGATTCTACAGGTCACCATCAAGCTAATGAGTTAATTCATTCTCATTACTTGTTTGAAGGATAAAGTTTCCATATTGGAAATGCTACATGTCAATAATATCTGGGCTAGTCGGCTGAAGTTTTGACAATTTAAGTGACGGTAAGGCCCCTTGGTTGACGGGGGTGGGCTAGTTGATTTCGGGTGAAGCTAATAACTAATGTTAAAGATCTAGGATTTTTCGTTCGTCTGTAGGTTGCTCTAAAAACAGTTCGTTTGCTTTCGGTGATTCCCAATAAAATATATGAGGTATTTTTATCTCCGTTGTGATTTTAACTCGATAAACAAGTTCTCTCGCTCACAGGTCCTCACAGGAAAAAGCAAAGTACATGTAATTAGAAACTCCCAGAACGCGCAAGGACACTCGACTGAAATGAGGCCGTAACGTTTTTTTTTTTTTTGTTTTTTTTTTTTTTTTTTTTTTTTTTTTTTTTTTTTTTTTTTTTGTTTTTTTTTTTTTTTTTTTTTTTTTTTTTTTTTTTTTTTTTTTTTTGTTTTTTTTTTTTTTTGTTTTTTTTGTTTTGTTTTTTTCAATAATGCCGTTTTCCTTGCGAATAAAATGTGTGTGCTGTGTAGGATATACAGGTACACCTTTAATTCGTGCTTTGGTAACCTGGGAGACACTGAGGTCACTGTGCGTCTTGCAGTCACTTAGCATCGAAGGAGAGACACAAAACAGGTCTTTATATTCATGTGTGGTTTTGATATCTTTTGTCATAATTTCAATTGATGGATTGGTTCTTATTTACCGCCTTAGGCGAAGGGAAGAGGGGGAGGGGGAGGGGGAGGGGACTGGACGATTTTTGTTGTGTCATGATAAAATCTACCTGACCCCCCTAAGGCTCTACAGTATTCTAATGATCCCAATCATTTGCAATCAGTTTTGTATAGTCCTCCCTTTATACTCTCTTACCGACGACTGATCCCCTCTCCGTTCCCCTTGCCCAAAAACTCCTCCGGACCCCCCTCCTTAGTGATAAATTTTTGACAGGTAGCGAAATTCATAGAAGTGACGTCAAGTTTTCCGCTGTTGTCCCCATTTCATTTATTAGCATTCGAATTCGCTTTTGAAACTTAGAAACTCCTACAATCCGTCAATTTGCATTAATTTTTAGTTACCTGGATACTAATATTAATGAAGCAGACCATACAGCAAAATTGAAACTTTTCACTATATGCATTTGCAGGCAAAATGGAGTAAGCTTCCTAATAGTGTTACTCTTTTCGTGACAAAGATTTCCGCTTTCAGTTTCTAAAATTAGGGGAGCCCCCTAATAATGTTGGGAAATTTCCCTTTTGAATACACTTCCTCGGCAAGTATATTTGATAGCTGCAGTCGGATATTTCCAAAGTCTTGCTGTAAAGACTAGTGAAGAAAACTAGACAAGTCGGAAACGCCGAGGTAAGATTTTGGTTGTGGTATATGTGAATAATCTCGCCCTCCTGATGACTCAGCGACACAAACGTAGGTGCAGTTACAAATGTCCGCTAGTGTAGATATTTTTTCTTGTTTAGCAGAATCCTTCTTTGAATGAATTGAAGAGTAGGTCAATTTTGTCAGCTCACAATATCTGCGCGGCCTTTAATTTCTTCAGCATTGTAATTTTACCCACGATATTTTATTTCTCGGCGAAGAGTCATTGTCAAAATTATCAGACGGCGGAGAAATTGGCTTCGTTAGGTTTATTCAGATCCACAATGCTACATTTAATTTAAACGGGCATAAATCAGGTCGATGAACTTACTCATTGGTAAGAGACCTGAGTTAACATGTCGAGTTTTGTACAGACGATAGATTATCACTCTACAGAGTAAATTTCTTATTTAAATGTGATTACATCCCATGTCAGAAGTCGCAACGCTGCAAACCTTTTCTACATTCCAAATTTTCTCGATATAAACGGTTGGTTCGATTGTTTGCCCATTTTCAACGGTTTACTGTGGGTCTAACGTCAGTCAGCTGAAGATATTTGGAGTAACCCACGCGGTCTGTGGTTGTTAATCGCAGGCGAAGTTTTAAACTTATGGTTTATTTAAGCCTTACACGAAAAGACAGCAAATGATATTGTTACTGATGATTTCCGCTGTGTCTGTTCTCTACTTTTGCTTTCATTTAGTGACTCCAAAAATTATTTGTAACTCGTGCATTCTTTGTAGGTGACGTAGAAGCGAGGATTTGGCGATTTTCAAAGGCAAAAAGTTTGTAAGACTAGAAAAATCGGTCCAAGGTTTAACTAACAAAAACAAAATGGCTGACCTTGTTTCAATTGCTATGAATCTCTGAAAAAAACACACCCAACTGACATGAAACACAAGAAAGCTATTATTTAAGATTAAACCAAAGCATGATTAGAAAAAAATTATTGATTGGTTTCGAAAGCTCAGAAGCGAATTCAAATTAGAACAATTTATAACAGTCACGTCAAGTTTTCCGCTGTAGTCCCCATTTCACTTATTAGCATTCGACTTCGCATTTGAAACTTAGAAACTCCTACAATCCGTCAATTTGTATTTAATTTCATTTATGCGCATACCTGATATCAATAAAGCAAACCATACAGCAAAATTGAAACTTCTTTTGACCAGGTACATTTGCAGGCAAATAAAATGAGCTTAATAATAGCGTTACGCTTTTCGTGACAAAGATTTCCGCTTTCAGTTTCTAGAATTAGGGGTGCCCCCTGAAAATGTTGGGAAATTTCCCTTTTGAATATACTTCCACGGCAAGTATATTTTAACAGCTGCGGTGGGATATTTCCAAAGTCTTGCTGTAAAGACTAGCGAAGATAACTAGACAGGTCGGAAACGCCGAGGTAAGATTTGGTTGTGGTATATGTGGATAATCTTGCCCTCCTTATAACTCAGCGACACAAACGTTTGTGCAGTTACAAATGTCCGCTAGTGTAGATATTTTTCTTGTTTAGCAGAATCCTTCTTTGAATAAATTCAAAAGTAAGTGAATTCTGTCTGCTCACAATATCAGCGCGGCTTTTAATTTTCTTTAGCATTGTAATTTTACTCAATGTTTAATGATCAGCGAAGAGTCACCGTAAAATTCTCAGACGGCGGAGATGTGAAATTGGCTTCGTTAGGTTTATTGAGATCCACGATGCCACATTAAATTTAAACGAGCATAAACCTGGTCGATGAATTTATTGAAAAGAGATCTGAGTTAACATGGCGAGGATTGTACAGACGATAGATTGTCACTTTACAGGGTAAAGTTCTTATTTAAATGTAATTATATCCCATTTCAGCAGTCGTAACGCTCCAAATCTTCATTCCAAATTTCCCTGCATAAATGGTTGGTTTGATTGTTCGCTCATATTCAACGGTTTACTGTGGATATTTGCATAGTCTTGAAACGGAACTCTTGCTGTGAGTTTAGTATATCAGCTTTTCTCTTTGACTCTTTGTGAAGGCTATTAAAAAAAAACTTAAAAAGAAAGTCGGAAACGCTGAGTTAAGATTTTGGTTGTTGTATATGTAATTAAATGATTTTGCCGTCTCGAAAGCTCGGCAACGCAAACATAGGTGCCTCTAGGCAAGTCCATAGATGCAGTGAGATATTTCTAGAATCCTGCATGTAGTTAACTAAAAAAGGAACTCAGGAACTCCGGGGTAAGATTTTGGCTGCAGTATGAGGACTAGTAGATGTGATTAAACTCGCCCTCCCGAAAACTTGGCGACATATACGTAGTTGCAGTTACATATGTCCGCAAATTTATAATATTACCTCGTTTAGCAAACCCCTCTTTCATTGAAGACTACAAAAGTAGTGGAATTCTGTCAGTTTACAATGTTGGGGCGGCCTTTAATTTTGTTTAGCAGTGTAGGTTTACACAGAATTTTAATTATTCGGTGAAGAGTCGAGGACATTGATCTCATTCATAACTGTGCCCCGGTCAGGATACATTTTAATCTACGCATGCAGGGTCACGTTTATCGCAATCGTCTTTAGGGCGAGGAAAACTGCAGATGAATGGCAAATTTAGTTACATCTCTTTTCACCAGTCCTAATACATCAAAGCAGGTGTTCATTGCACCTTTACCTACGTAAATGGTTGGATACATCGTCCGCTGATATTTCACGGATTATCGTGGATCTGACACAATAAACAGGTCTAAATGCTGGTAATTTAGTGTTAACAACTGAGTTGAAAACCGTAAATTGGCCACCGTAAAAAGTAAAAAAGCGGACGTTTCGAGCGTTAGCCCTTCGTCAATTGCTCTGACGAAGGGCTAACGCTCGAAACGTCCGCTTTTTTACTTTTTATGGTGGCCAATTTACGTCTTTAACTCAGTTGTTAACACTAAATTACCTGCTATACTCTCCCACCGACGCAGCACCACAGTTTCTTCAGAAACTTATACCCCCTTAGTTCTAAATGCTGTTGGAGTATTTTTTGTTCACCAAAACTGACAGTTAGATTTTTCATTTGGGTAGAATTAAAGAAAAACCGCCAGTATTGACACATTGTCGTTCATTTTCTGTCAGCGAAACCAAGCTGCAAAGTTTCCCTTGCCAATATCGCAGAAATAACTCTAAGCTAGTCGTCCATTGGACCAAAATAAAATTTGCGTTTGCATTTTATTTAACTAAATTCAGAAAACCTGGGCAATAAGCTTTCTGATGCGAAATTTCCAAATACCTGGATGATAAACCTTAGTAGTTTTTTTTGTGGAGGAATGCGTGACGTTATGAGTTCCGGTTTCGGTTTCTAATGAAGGGGAACCCCCTTTTCGCAACTTTCGGGGAAATTTCCCAGTAACGCTTGACATCTTCAATAAACTTCCGAAGCGTATGAGAAGCCCACTATAGTAGTGCTCGAAAATGGGTCTTTTTTTAGGAAAGTTTCATTGTGGACACGGCATGTTCCTTTCACTCAGGCTTTTATAAGAACACTTTTGATTACCACGTGGTTCAACTTGAAAGACGAGGATCCAGTTGTAGCAGAAGTGTTTATTACCTTCGAATTCAGATAATCTTTAAACATTGTCGCAAATAAAGCTGTTCACGCATTTATCTTTGAGCGATTCCAGTAACATGTGTTAAATTAGCCCAAGTTTTTCTCAGAGGTTTTTTGAAGTACATATTCTTCTGTACTATAATTATATTCCGGCTTTGAGCGATGGTGTCAATTGAGTGAATTCGCTGTTGACCTACATTTAACCTTGCTCAAAAGATCCCTAGGATAAACACTTGACGTCGCCTGGTCTGCGTTTGGATGTTAGTTTAGGGAGCCTTCAAGCCCCGAGGTATATCGCTTTTGCACTTAAGAGGTGATAATTCCCAATGCGCCGATCCACCTACACTCTTGTATATGTAGCTGTAGTTCAGGGAGGAGAGGAGCTAAATTTGATTAAATTTCAAACTAAATTAACCCCCAATTACAGCGCGACTTGATGTCTTTTGATAGACCCATAGTACACGGGATGACTTCCCTTGAAATCCTCTTTGCGAAAATGGTTAAGGAGTCAATCTTTCCAAATAAGGCTTTGTCAGGAAGCGAATCTTGTGATCTTTTCCTTTTTCCGGTTGAAAAGTTATCTTCGTGCAACCGAAGTTCACTTGACAAACTCTCGGTACCAATGGGCGCACACGCACGCATAGCGTGTGCTATGGCGAACCTTAGAAACTGGGTTAGAAACATTTACTTTTCTTAACCTCTTAACCTGTTTTCAAACATTTCGAACATTATGACTGATGTCGTTAGCTCTTTACACTTTTGTTGACCCCTTAAAAATGTTATTCTGTCTCCAAGTGTTGAATCTTGTGCTTTTACAATCATATTTCTCAACCATAGGCCTGATTGTGGCTCATTAGCTTTGCTGTTAAGGACTAAAAAAGAGTGTTTTTTCCTTTAGGTTGACAGGTCATGTGACTTATCTAACGCTAGTGCGTCAAGTTCGTTCAGTTCACTCTGAATAACAGAGGTTTGTTGTAGTTCATAATCCATGTTACCAACCCTGCCATAATAGCCCTAATTCACCGAATGAACCCCTCCCTCTCTTACTCTCTGGGTGAAAGTGAAAGCCTTGACGTTTCTTTCAGCAACTATTGTGGAATCCGGTCCTGATTGTTTTCACCCATTTATATCATTAATTACGAAAAATCAACAAATGACGGGTGAACAAAGTAATGATTATGTTGAATTTTCGGCTAAAAGAGCCATTAATGTTGAAAGCCGTTCCTTATCGATTTACAACCAAAGCCTGTAAGATTGTGCTCAAAATTGATATTATGAAGTTTTAGAGTAATTGGTTCTTTTTTCAGTGATGGCGGAAGGTGGTAAGGTGAATGTTGAAGATGGGAAATCTACAGAAGGTAAGAAGGAAAAACAGTTTAATTACAGTCAACTTTCTGTTTGGAAAATGTCACATGATCATCACTTCCAGTTTGGGGCTTGATTGACAAAACACATTATTTGATAGTTTTTCTCAAGCATGATGATAAATAAAAGTAAAACCACAAGGGAAAT